GTGCTTGCCATAAAAGGCGACTGTGCTTGTCGTAAGAGGCGACTAACGGGATCGGGTGGTCAGTTTCGCTGACTTGGTTGACACATGTCATTGGTTCTCAATTGCGCAGATCGATGTTCATGCTGTTGTTCACTGGATTGTCTGGTCCAGACTCGATTATTTACAGACCGCCGCCATCCCAGATAGCAATGTCCGTTGGGCCAATGTTGGACCAACATTGGCCATCATTGGGCCTACGTTGGCCAATGTTGGCCCAACGAACATTGCTATCAGGGATATAGCTGGGATATTGCTGAGTGCAGCATAAAACTAAACTCACTCACTCACTCACGTTACGACGGGTAGGAATTTGCTATAAACCGGTCCCTTGTTCCCTGACTGCTGCAAAGTGAAGATCGGGGTTAGGATTGGTCTTCAGTAATCCATGTTTGTTGAAAGGGGTGACTGACGGGATGTGCTGGTCAGCGTGTTGACGGACCGAATGCCTGCCATTGCATTCTTATTGGGTAGATGTTTGTGATGTAAGTCACTGGGTTGTCTGGTCCAGATTTGATTAGTTACAGAGCAAAGTCTCAAAGCTACACTGCTGTGATACTTAAACAACCGTGAAAAAGAGGTAAATCCATGTGCGAGGCACATTCTATGTGTTCCATCGTGATGTGTCTGAAATACTGTAAAATTTGTGTAATTTGACAAACTGAACAAAATCCCGACGTTTCAAGCAAAGGGAAGAGGACGCGTGTTAGAATAACTTACACCGTGGCTTTTACCATTCAGTAGAAGCATTGTCCAGGCTTGTGACTGACACCCAATATCTGATTAATTTCCTGTTATGGACCACGTCTGTAATTTGTGTCCCAGAACCTAGAGTTTACTAGCCCTGTTTGCATCAGCTTCGTGTCTTGTATGTTTATTTGTCGTTTACCCCTTGATTTCAGAGGGGCATAAGCCCCTCCTCTTATCGAATAAAAGTCGAATAAAACTCGGAATGTATCACGCAAACAAATAGACTTCAAAGGTTTGAATTCTGACATTTCCTGTTCCCTGATGTGACTCTATACAGTATCATTGTAAGCAAAACAAAATGTCTGACCTCTGAGAATTAGGTATATTGTAAATCTCGCCGTTATTTGGCACATAATGAAATCGCCATTCAGGTTGTTATTTTGTGTGTTTTAAAATGTCAATATCGGATACTGGGTACATTACACAATCACGTTTCACGTAGATCGGTCATGGGACGCCTATTACACCACGTATATTTCAAACACATACACCCCAGGATTTCTCATACATCAAGCAAAATAAGTTAGGTGTGAAAACGAACGCTGTGCTCGGATGACTGTGCCTGTTCGAAATGTAAACATAGAAAAATTCAGATTTTATACTCTGCAGCATTTCCTCAAATTTTGAGAGATCCATTCGTCTGTACGTTGACTACATTTGCTCGATATTATCAGAATAAACATAGCAAGAATTAGGGAATTGAAAAAAGATGCATCACAATGATTGGGTAAATTCAAACGAAACTGGCAGAATTTCTGTCCAGCGTTACACCATGATTTACACAGAATCATGCACAACAACGGTGTTTGTCGGCAGTTCAGACTACTTCTCTTGGTTACAATGGCAAACAAATAACAATACGCAATAACAATAATCACTATATTACGTTTACTTACATCATAAACATATGTGCAAACGATCCCTGATTGGGTGAAAAGTCACTCGCAAACCCCAGCGTATCGGTCAGCGGTATAGATGTTATACACCAACATTCAACACATATTTGGTCATTTCTTAGAGGTGAAGGTCGTTGGAATAGGAGTATACACACGTTTATCCTACCTGGTGCTCATTTGACCCTTGAAAATAGAAAATATATGCTCTGACAGGTCTTTTTTCTATGGTTTTATTCCAATTATATGACTTTTCCATCCCATGTATTAGTAGTTCCATGTGCCCTCTTTGAAAGTATGGGGCGGTGGGGTAGCCTAGTGGTTAACGCGTTGGCTCGTCACGCCGAAGACCCGGGTTCGATTCCCCACGTGGGCACAATGTGTTAAGCCCATTTCTGGTGTCCCCCGCCGTGATATTGCTGGAATATTGCTAAAAGCGGCGTAAAACTAAACTCAGTCAGTCAGTCAGTCTTTGAAAGTATACATATAAAAGTACATTTGAGTGTCAATATGACATTTTAAATAAAAATCTGAAAATTTCAACTTTTCAATGTTTTACCTCAAAAATAGGACTTGGCATATTATTATTTGACTTTTCTAACCCATTTATTAGTAGTAATTGTGTTCTCTTTGAAAATATATATAAAAAGGTAAATTTGAGATTTTAGAAAATATTCACTGAAAATTTCAATTTTTCAACTTTTAACCCCCACAAATAGGACTTAGCATCATATGTCAAGGGAGGACTTTTTAGTACTCATTAGTTATAACTTAAACATGTTGAATACACTCAAATAATTTCTGTACCATTGTTTTTTTAGGTTTTGTCACATTCTGCCTGGACTACTCGTAATGAACTCGACTTGGAAACGAACTCTACTCGAATACGAAATGTAGAAAATCGCAACGACATGAAATATATGGACAGTATGAAAAATTAAGACTTATTCAGATGTGAAAATGTTTAATTGTGGCTGATGACTGGCGGCGAGGAGAAGGACATTTTGTAAATCGACGGACAATCTCAGGAATCAAACTGATCACCGTTTGGCAAGATTTCTTCTGTCTGACAGTTGGGATAGTATTAGTATTTTTTTATACCATGGCTCGTATCATCCATCAATCCATACCTCGACCGGTTTGGGTGTCCTGTAAAATAATTTGTGGGTTTTGGGGCTTGCTGAATTCCCCAGTCTTCGTAATATAACCTTTCGTAGGCAACTGTTATGTACAGCTGTCAAAGTTAGTAATATAAATGTCAGAGGCTTGTTAAAATGTAGCACAGATGCATGTAACTGGTGGGCTTGTCGCATTCAAAATGAATATACTTGACAGACCTTGAAGAGAGAGCCTTCCTGACTTCACCTGTCAAACCCATGTGTTGGCACCGCAAGGCTGACGACACGTTTGCCATTCTCCACCCAGGCCAAGATCCAGGTCAGCTACTAAAACATCTGAGGTGAGATGAGGTGAAATTGGGTTTTACGTCGTGCTCGAGAATGTTTCGCTCATATGACGACGTGCATGCGTGTGTATGTGTATGTGCGGCTGCTTGTACTAGCCCAGACTTAAGATGGTTTTATAGTGCTAGCCCATTGAGATACCATGCCGCAGTGAAGCAGGAATACCCCACTCAGACACAATATACTGACTCCGAGCCGACCAGTCCTTGCTGTACCCATTAATGCCGAGCGCCAGGCAGGGACCAACAAGTACCATATTTAAACGTCTTTTGGTATGACGCGGTCGGGGATCGAACCCCGACCTTCCGCTCTCCGGGCGGACGCTCTAACCACTACACCACGGAGGCGGTCAAAACATCTGAACAACCAACACCATCGCATTAACTTCACTATGGAACCAGAAACCATCAGCAAACTGCCCTTCCTAGATATCCTTGTGCCCGCACCCCTACCAACACACTCCAGACCACAGTTTACCGCAAGCCGACGCACACCAACCAGTATGTGCAACCATCCACCACAGGTGAAGACTGGCATAATATCTTCACTAACCAGGAGAGCAAAAAACATCTGCTCTACAAATCTTCAAGAAGAACTAAACCATCTTAAAGAGGCGTTCATTGACCTCAATGATTATCCACCCAAGTTAGTCAATAGGACTATCGTATCCACCCTCACAACATCATCGAAGCACCCAAGGCCAGAACAAGCACCTATAAAACTATCCATACCCTACATTGGCAAGACTTCACACCAGAAGCAACAAGTGGATATAGACACCACATTCTCGACTTCCCGTACTCTAAACAACCTACTGCAGGCCAACGGGCGCAATCACACCAACAACGGAAAATTAAACCCCAAAGGTGTTATTTGCAAAATAACTGCAACTGTGGAAAATCATATACATGTATTGGTGAAACATCAAGACCAATCAACATCAGATTGAAAGAACACCAGGTGTCTACAAACAAATAGGACAAGAAATCAGCTATCTCTGAACATATACAGAACAACCCCAATCATCAAATCAACTGGACAGAGTACACAAGACTGGTAGGCAACCAACCTGACTTCACCAAACGAAAATTGACCGAAGCCATCCACATCAAACGACACCGACCCTTGATCAATAGTGATCAAGGTTACTTCATCCCCTCTGCGTATGATGAACTCATCAACCAACCCTAACTGATGTTTTATAGGCATTTAGAAGTTGGTAGGGTAATACAACACACTTGATATGGATGTGCAATATTTCTGTAGAATAGTTAACTCTACTATGTACTTTGATAATAAGGTCAACATGTTTGCTATTTACGTAATTTATGCATTTTAGGTAAGAAAGTGTGTGTGTGTGTGTGTGTGTGTGTGTGCGTGTGTGTGTGGTGTGTGTGTGCGTGCGTGCGTGCGTGCATGTGCGTGCATGTGTGGCTGTCTGTCGTAGGTGTCTGTCTGTAGGCTCGTGCGCTTGTGTGTGTGTGTATGTGTGCGTGCGTGTGGGTGTGTGAAGGTGTATGCGTTTTGTGTTTGTGCATACGGTTCGGCCTGCGTGTGTGTATGTGTAGGTGTGATTTTATTACCAATGTTTTATACAACTGTGACATTTGTGTCTCATAGGCCTTATGGCCGGATGCTGCTTTTAAATTCTTGCAATAATGTACCGTCTTTTTTTAATGTTCTGCGGTATGTGAAACATTGATAAACTATATTTCTTCTTCTTCTTCTTCTTCTTCTTCTTCTTCAACTTCAACTTCTTTTATTTACACACGACGTTTCTGGGCTAATACTTGCCCCTTCATCAGGTGAATGAAAGTGAATAGTGATTCTTAACTAAGTGTTCAGAAAGAGCAGATTTTTAGTCAGATTTGTTGACAGATGTTTTGTGCTCTTTTATCCGAGTGGCAATAGGTCTGCCTGTCTCACCGATGTAAGTGTCACCACAGTTACATTCCAATTTGTAGACACATCCTGTTGGGTTAGGAGTGATGTTGCAGCTGCCTTTGCCATTGGATTTTAGTAAGGTTTTTAGTGTTCTACCGGATGAAAATGTGGTATCAATTCTGGCAGTTTTCTTCAGTAGTCTGCTTGGATCCCACATAGGGGATGTTAATAAGGATGGGGGTGCTTCAGGCTTGGGTCTGGTTCGGTCTTGATGTTGGAGAGTTGACTTGATGGTGGTTTCCATTAGTTGTCTCGGGTAGCCATTGAGGGATATGAAAGTGGTCTTGAGGTGGTCTAGTTCTTGTTGGAGATGAGAGGGGCTGCAGATGGATTTGGCACGTCTGGCTAACGTAGATATGATGGCTCTCTTGATCTGGGGGTGATAGCTGGAGTGGTAGTGGAGATATTGGTCAGTGTGGGTCGGTTTGCGGTAGACAGAGGTGATGAGCTGACTGTTGGAGTTCTGAATGGAGATGTTGAGGAAGGGGAGCTGGTGTTGTTTTTCAGTTTCCATCGTAAACTGAATAAGTTGATGTTGTTTGTTGAGATGGTTGAGCAGGAGAGAAGGGTCGTCATTGCTGTTCAGGATTGTGAAAGTGTCATCCACTTTTCTGAACAAGCATAGCGGTTGGATTGGGGATGTGGATAGGGCTGCTTGTTTAAAATTCGTCATGTAGATTGCGATTATGAGGGGTGACAGTGGCGAGCCCATGGGAAGACCATGGGTTTGATGATATATTTGGTCTTGTCATTTGAAGTAATAAATTTCAACAACTCTGTGGCTTCCTGTACATACTATATATACCTCTGTAACTATTCCCTGTCATTCACCTGATGAAGGGGCATGTATTATCCCAGAAACGTCGTGTGTGAATAATAAAGAAGTTGCACATCCATATCAAGTGTGTTGTACAACCCTAACTGGTTGTATTACTTGTACAAACAGGCCCGTAAACCCCTCTGGCTTCTACATGTAATCCCTTGTCATCACATTGTTACTGTACATCCCAATTAACGTCCTTGTTGTTTTAGTTAATTATTTACTGTATGTATATATTCCCCTGTTTTCTACCTTACTCATACTTGTTAGACAACGATACAAAAATCTGTATCGAAACGCCACATCACCCGAATAAAGAAATTGTTTATCCATAAAGTTTGTCTGTATATAACACGGTTTGGTCGCTAACATTTTTATCCATTTGAAACTCATCATCGCCTCGTAATGAGTTCGGCGCATGTTCAGAAAATTCAAGTCATTTCATAATCATTTTGTTATGTTGAGATGCAACTTGAGATTTCATTTTAGTGTGAACTTTCAGTGGTTTCGGTCCAGTATAGGTTCATCGTTTCTAATTTAGCGAGTTTGTCTTTTCACGTTTTAGCTCCATCTGAGATGCGCCACTGGAGTTTAGTATGAGTGTATATGTGAATATTTTAGCTTCAGCTTGGTGGCACCGCCTACATTTACTATAGGTTAGAGTTTGAATATTAAAGCCCTAACTGAGAAGCACAGTCTTCCATTCTAATCAGTTGTTTTTTTCAAACTTGTGCTGCACTAGATAAACTCCTCATGCGGTTTTGCATTACTTGCTCATTAAATGTTTAGGCTCCACTTGAAACGAGCCTCTTGGTTTTACACTGGATTAGTGTGTTAATGACTTTACTCTTCTATTATTATGATTTTTTCTTGCAATACTTTAGCTCCAGTTGTGATGCACCATATCCTATTATAACACAATATTCCCTTAACAGCGCCATCTCTTATTATACTGAAAGGTATTTTAATGTGTAGTTCGAGCTGAGACGCAACATCGTCTCATATAATGGCCTGATGTTTCCATCTTCAGGCTCAAGAATGTTTTAGCTTCAGCTTGGTAGTACCATCTATGTTTACTATGGATCAGTGTTTGAATGTTATAGCTCCAATTAAACACAGTCTTCTATAATAATGAATTTGTCTTTTGATATTTTAGCTCCAGTTATGATACACCATGTCATGTTATGACAAAATGTTCCTTTAATGTTCTACCTCCAACTAAGCAGCACCTGATCCTATTATAGTCGAATGGTCTTTTCATGTTTTAGCTCGAGCTGAGACGCAACATCTTCCAATGAAGTGAATTGGTGTTTCAATCTCTAGGCTCTGGTTGCGATTCATCGATCTACATGTATTACTTCTCCGTATTTATTGACTTGGTCTTTTATTGCCATAGCTCCAGTTGAGACACATCGCGTCTTAACATAATGAATGGCCTTTGAGTGTCTCGGCTCCAGGTGAGACATGCTATATATAGTTTATCGTTCGATGTTTTTGGTCTAGTAGAGATTCATCATCTCAGATCGTAATGTGTTTGTCTCTTTGTGTGTTTGCTCCAGCTGTGACCCGACACATGTGTCTAGTATGACTAAGTCTTTGAATGTTTTAGCTTCAGCTGGGTAGCACCACCTATGTTTACTATGGACAAGTGTTTGAATGCTATGGCTCCAATTGAGAAACACAGTCTTCTATAATAATGAATTTGTCCAGTTATGATACACCATGACCTATTACAAAATGTAAAACAAAATGTTCCTTTAAATACCTCCAACTAAGAAGCACCAGATCATATTATAATGAAATGGTCTTTTCATGTTTAGCTCGAGCTGAGACGCAACAATGTTGACAACATCTTCTTAAATCGTGGGGGCGGTGGGGTAGCCTAATGGTTAAAGCGTTGGCTCGTCACGCTGAAGACCCGGTTTCGAATCCCCACATGGGTACAATGTGTGAAGCTCATTTCTGGTGTCCCCCGCCATGATGTTGCTGGAATATTGCTAAAAGCGGCGTAAAACCAAACTCAGTCAGTCAGTCTTAAATCGTGAATTGATGTTTCAATCTTTGGGGTCTGGTTGCGATTCATCTCTTTAATGATTGAGAGCCCTCATTGAGAAGGTGTATGTTTGTTATCTGGATGTAATATTGGATCAGTGTTTCAGTTTACCTGGGCACGATTTAGCTAGACATATACGTCATGCGGCTTCTGATGGTGTACTGTGGAGGTTGTAATTTGTTGTGGCTCTTCTCTAAAGATCGAAATTTCGGAATCGATGCAGTAAAGAAATGAGGGCCACCATTTGTTGTGAACTTGTTTGTCTTGTATGAAGTGTAAACATAGCGTCCCACTGTACTAAGCCTGTAAACATTATTCCCTCTCCATCTGTCTCTCGTTTATTAAATGCGTCAAGCGACTTCGACGAATGAACAATATGTTACTTGAAATTAGCACAATGGAACTGTTAGACAACGAGAAAATAATTTCAGTGAGACTCACGGAAAATGTTATTCCTAGTATGGTTTAAACATATTTTATTCCATTCAAAAAAGAAAGAAAAGGATTGGCAAACAAACCTAATTGGCTCATTAATGCCGCTCCATAATATACTGAACAGCAAAAGAAACGCAAGTTTCGAAAAAAAGAAAACTCATGAAGGTAAGCGTTCAGGTTTATGGAACGTTCATGGTAAAGTGACGTAATGATCTCAGATTAGATGATGTCATGCAATTTGACGTCCACACGAACCATTCGCACAAACACACTAACAGTGCGCTGTTATCTCTGAATAATAACAATCTTGGATATCAACAATATTATCTTGGGTTTTTTTTCGTGGCCAGTTGATACAAATAGGAAAATAATAGAAACTACAAAACCTTTTATGAATCAAATCATTTTGATGTAATAATGAATTGATGGACTGACCGTAGAATATCCATATTCGTCTGATGAGATACTGAGTTATTACCGTTTAGCACATCCCGCAGGGAGAAAACTTTTACTTAGAAATAAGATTCGTATCGAATGCTATCATGCATATTTAGGACACATGAAAAAATAGCGGAATACATCCTCATAATCTTGTGAGCAGGAACAAAAAGCATTATCAGAAATGAAACGATTATACTTATCACTGTTTAAGTCACTGCATCCCCATCTAAGGCGGCAACGTATTATTTGACAGAATCGACTACCAAAATTTATATCGAACATTGTGTTGGTATTATCTTGTGGTGGGATTAAATGTCCAACAGAGGAAGCGTTTGTCGCATTTGTAGGTAGGTAAATCCACAGTTTAATTGTTTCGGGCAAAAACGATTTGGCATAATTAGTAGGTTTGCATCTCATAGTCTGATAATTTAAGGGGTTAATAAAAAGGCATGTTATTAAGAAGCTATTTATATTATTACACTCCATTACGTATTACCAATGTTTACGGTTTTACAGGTACGCACTTTTTCCTATTTTATAAGAATTTATACGGGATTCGAAATATGTGTCACCCAAATTAAATATTTGTTTATATATAGTTTATTAAACTGCCTTAGTTTGTGCTGTATGACTTCGGTAGCTGAGTCACTAGCCTTTAGAATGTAACTTGGTGTAGTGAACTTTCAACCTGTATTATTTATCGTGGTGTGCAATGCATTCCGTCGCACAGTTCCGAGTTGTCGCCCATAGATAGATTCACGGATGTGACGTCACAACCACTTGCCACGGGTGTAGTGCACTATTTTCGGGTTTGTTATTATTTCGCCGAACCTGAACTAAAACCTAATTCCGATAGGTAAGATATTGTAAGTACCACCTATGTCTATACTGAGCAACTGAGAAGAACCAGACTTTATCATAAAACCACAGCAGGATTAAATGCAAATTTAATTAGGTACTATTTTCATGTCGCGGATCACCTCACATCTTATAACGCACCGCCATATTGCAGGAAGGCAATGTGGTAAATGAATAAGAAAATATAATATCATACCTCTACGATTGGGTTTTAGAATTATTCGACGGTTGGTGCCTTTGGATTATACCTACATAGTTTGAATTTACCCTTAAGGTGGCACTGAAGATCTGTCGCATACTATTACAAGGTAAAATGACACCGGCTTGCAGCCGTCCCCACCTCCTTCGTATGCTAAATAGTCAACAAATTATGGCAGGTGAAAAAACCGTCACTCACGATCAAACAACTGCATGCTTATTTATACTATTGTTTCTTTGATTGCAAAACAAGTAGTTGCTCCGATAAAATCAATATGTAACTCATTACATTCAATGATTTTGAAGGGTGTACATTTGTCGTATACTTCTTTTAGCATTGACGCATGTGATTGGAATTATTAATATTAAATATGTACCATGTGTACAGATCTCTTTTTGATAATTGGAACTTGACATAAGATCATACAATTTGAGGATATATATATATTTCTAGAAATGCAGACATTAATTCATCTGTCAGTGGTTACAAGTAGTGCATGTTGAAAAACTGTGCAATCACCTGTTAGAGGAATGTTGTTATCGCCAATATCGGTGGTGAATGCAACTGATAAAATAAGTCGTGATTGAGTTCTTCATATAGCTGTTTTATGTTCAGTTCCAGTGGTACCTCTTTTCAGTTTGAGATCAATGGTGAAAATATGACTGAACCTAATAATAATCCTTAACCTCCAAGCTGTAAATTAGTTTAACTTAAGACCTAAGTTATTACATGACTTTATGCAGGATGGTATTATATTATTTCTTCCTATTTACCATGTTTACAAACTCCTTACGTCTGGACGTGATTGTGTTAAATATTTTGATGTCCAAATGATTGATTATTTGTCTTTTGTTTCTTATGATTGATACAAGACAGTGATCATATGTTATCTGTAGACAGTTGTGGACAAACTATTATTCAGTATAGACTGTTTATGTCCAATTTGAGACATTCATTTCATGTTTTCATCATAAACAAATTATACATACTCATCATTAATCATGTTAATGATGTCACATGAAAATGCAACCAATAGCATGTTTTTAACATGTGTAGCATGTTTGGGGGAAATAATAGTTTTTTCAATAGTTAAATTCTAATCATACTGATTCATAGCAGCAGGCATTTTCATGTGTTATTTTTTAAATTCTAGAAAACAGGAAAATGTGAGAATGGCTGTCATCGACTTCAGCCACTATGCTGAAGCAGAAGTTCAGCAATATAAAATTAGCTCGTACTAGTCAACTGACGTTTCTCGAGCGAGGTAGAAAAAACACAATTATCTTTGAGGGATATGTTGGAATTTGATATTGATGATACTTCCCTGTTACCCGGTAGCAACTCTGGGGTAGAACAAGGTCCCCAGTTTTAATAGATAAGGGGGGGTCATGCTCTGTTGCTTGGTTGAATATTGATCATATAGTTGATTCATGTCATTCTATCTTGACCACATCAGTTGATGCTGTCAGTCACTGGATTGCCTGGTCCAGATTTAATTATTTACAGACGGCAATCATGCAGCTGTAATATTGTTGAGTGCTGTGTTAGTAGATAACAAATCAAACAGATTCGGTTTATATGAAGTATTATGGGTCCATTACTGCTAGTGTTATTATTACTGCTGATTAGGGGCAAGGGTTTCCTGAAGAAGTAAGTTGTAACCCATGCTTGACTTTGGTGACCTAATAGATCAGCTGTGGTTAACATATGTATGAAAGCCAAGCATCCATGTAATAAATGCAGTGTTAAAAGATTTTAGGGGTCCCAAGATTCTAATGCTTTAGCGTGTTTAGCACTAATAGCAGCAAAGCTCAGGATACCAGTACAACCTTCAATTTGGAAAACTTTATTAGGTGGTCAAATTCTGTGATTTGTTAGTCGAGCCAAGCAACAAGGGAGGCTCATATAGCATCAATTGTTGGTTGTGGTCCAAACTCGATTGTTCACAGGCCACTGCCATATAGCCAAAATATATCTTATTAGTTGTGAAACAAGAAGTTAGGGTTCAGAAAAGGGTTTATTTTTCTATCAATGTTTTTACAGACCACTGCCTTACAGATGACATTTTCTTGTCGTAAAGCAGGAAGTTAAAGTTTCAAGGAATTGATGTTCTCGTTGACATGAAGTGCTAAATAGACTGTGTGCCAAAAACATTTCAGTCTTATAACCTAAAATGTGATTAGGCATTATTTTCAGTATATTTTAGTCTTTGTTTATGGACTAGTATTGTGTAATCTCAACAGACTCAGACAAAATGGAGCATGATAGATTTATATAATAGTTATTTATTTCTCAAATGAAATATATTTCTGCTTTGTTCGTGTTGTAAGCTTAATAACTATGAAACTTTTCATTTTTTACAGTGTTTAGGCACTAGCCATGCCGACCCCCAAACGGCTGCGTGACCTTATACGGGAAATCCGATCTGCCCGTACTGCTGCAGATGAGAGATCAGTCGTCAACAAGGAATGTGCCGCAATTAGAGATTCTTTCCGAGATGAGGACAACACCTACAGATGCCGCAATGTGGCCAAGCTTCTATACATACATATGCTTGGATATCCAGCCCACTTTGGTCAGGTGAGATCTTCAACAGAGAATGGTGTATAAATGCGTCTGGGAAATATTTGTTGCAGTTGTTGAAAAAGCATTTTGTGATGTATTATTACGTTCAAATTACATTAAACAATGTGAAAGTTCACAAATTGAGACATGTTATTCAGAATTACTTTCTATTATCTTAATAGACTACCAGTTTTACTGTAAGGTTGATGGCATCTTCGTTACAGATACAATTGGCTAACTAGTGAAAATACTGTTATATTTCTAACCTTGAATATTTGAGCAGGGTAACAAGGTTCTTTTTTTTCATGGCCCAATAATGAAGAAATGCTAGTTCCCAAACAATTTAAGGTTGATTTTATTTGGAGTGGCAGGACAGTATTGATGTAACACACTTGATGTCCAAATATGAATGTGTTTGTGGCCTGTTGGGCTGCTGTTACGTTACCTTCCCAGCTGACACTCTCTCACAGACATATCTCATCTTATTGCATCTTCAAATAGAAGCCATTAGGTTTTTGTAACTTGGGGTTCTTATGTTGTGCTAGAATTTTTGTCCTGATGTAGGTTTGGCGATTGACATGGTCAGTGAGTGATTATATTTTGTATCCCCTTCAATGTACATTAACGTACATGTATTACAATGGACCCTGTCCGTGCAAATTCGTCATTTCTCTGGCAGAGCATAAAAACGGTTTATTATTTCTTCACCACACTTGGCACTTAGATAGTTCTTATCATGGACTAGTGCCTTTGGATAGTGTTGGATTTCTGAAGAAAATTAATTTTGCGTTACCATGGCAACAAGTTTGACTTCAGTTGAAATTGGTGGTAGTGCTCCCTTGCGGTGTAGAACTTAAAAACTCTTTCAGTACTCTCTTTCCACTTGTGGGTATCCAAGAACTTAATGAGATAAATGAACAGTACCACTCTATTTCCAGTGTCAACATTACTGAGGTACATCAAGCCGTACGTTTTGACAAAATCATTACTAGTTGATATATTCATGAACAGTATTTTACCATTGCGGGGGATATTGATGACTTTGTCTTCTTCTTGTTACTTGGTGTAAAAAAACCCATGTCTGTCAATGGGTGAAATTAAATATGAGATGAATTTAACAATTTCACTGCACGTTTTTTCAGCTGGAGTGTCTGAAGCTGATTGCCTCACCTCGTTTCACAGACAAAAGAATTGGGTACCTTGGGGCCATGTTGCTTCTGGATGAGAGACAAGATGTCCACCTTCTTGTCACAAACTCCCTCAAGAAGTATGTAGCTACACACCTAATGCTTTTGTGGTTTCAGCATTTCACTGATGAAATAAACTTAGATTCATAAGAGACCCGTGACGATCCGGGTTAGAATTGACCTTCAGCAACCCATGCTTGTCGTATGAGGCGACTATCGGGATAGGGTGGTCAGGCTCGCTGACTTGGTTGACATGTGTCATCGTATCCCAAATTGTAGATTGATGCTTTTGTTGTTGATCACTGGATTGTCTGGTCCAGGCTCGATTATTTACAGACCACCGCCATATAGCTGGAATATTGCTGAGTGCGGAGTAGAACTAAACTCTAAGTTACTCTAACCCAGATTAGCAATGCTGACTAGAAATAGTGTGAAATACAAAAGTCTGTATTAATTTAAGTAAACCATGTATATTTTGGAATTCTTGATAATTGGTGATTTGGAACAGGTGTTCACTAGTGTAGGACTAACAGACTTGTGGCCATGTCTGACCATGTTTAGCAATGCTCATTCGAAATAGTGTGAAATGCTGTTGCCTGTTTTGATGTAAATACACTTTTTAAGTTGGGAACTCTTGAAAATTTGGGACTGTTAACTGAAGGTTTCAGTCTATCAATCAGCAAGTGATAATGCATTGAAGTGGCTGTGACATCTGACTTGTTTTTGTTCCAGTGACCTGAATCATCAAACCCAGTACATTCAGAGCCTTGCCCTCTGTACACTGGGCTCAATATGCTCGGTGGAAATGAGCAGAGACTTAGCTGGAGAGATAGAGAAAATGATCAAATCTTCAAATGCCTACATAAAGAAAAAGGTAAAATAAACTGATGATAAACTGTTGCTTATTCTCATTCTATCTGTTTCAGTGTTCAGAGTAATATTTCTATTCTGGTTGATTTTAAGCCTTGCTGAATAGGGATTAATGGAATTGTCACTTTTGTCTACTGATTGGTTCATTTGAATGAGTTGATATTGTAATTTTTTCTGTGCTTGCTTTGATTGAGAGTATTGTACATTTGTTCAGTTGTTACCTTTTGTCATTGCAGTCCATATTGTGTGCATTCCGCATCATCCGGAAAGTTCCCGATCTCATGGAGATGTATATTCCTGCAACACGCTCACTGCTCAATGAGAAGAATCATGGTAAGGCCTCTATGCAGACTGTGGTTCAGTTAATGGTATAGCATCTTCTTTATCTCCTGGGGCTCCTTTCATTCTGTAACATTGCACTAAGATTACCTTAGTGACTTACGATAACCTTAGTGGTTTGTGAAAAGAGTCCCTGGAATCCAATTTGGGTAAACTTACACTAAACCCTGGATTTCCCATTGTTCTTGCCTCCTCGAATTATCCGCCCTTTGATATTCAAAAGCCAATTTGATTTGCTATGTCTCATGGATTAATCTGAATATGAGTTAAAAGCCAGCATCAGAAATAACCCATTGCCCGATGTCCGAGTCCAGTGTTTTTTTCCAGTCGGGCAAGCAAATTTGTATATCACGCTGTACCAATGTCCAGTTGACTTTCCAATGTTAATTATGTTGTTTATTTAAAAAATCAACAAGAAAATCGGCCGGTATAGAGGGAAAATTATCAGGGCAAGTAATTTTACAATTGCCACTGTACCGGTGTACACTAGCAATTTTAAAGTTATTTCCACCCCTGTTTAGTCACCAAAAGATTCTTCATGGGGAAGGATGACTTGTTGAGGAAAAGGAAGGCCTGCTTTAACAGTGTTCACGAATGGTGTTTCAAAGTAACAGGACATTGGGTCCTGTAAGCTTCAGATGTCTGTCTGACCCATTGAAAATTCACAGGACCCAAAGAATAAAATTAAACACACATTTCAGATTTAACATTTCTTATAATTGGCATTGAAATTATTAACAAACATAAGATTTATAAACAGCAAACAAGTGCCACATGTCACATATAACAACTTCAGTCAAAGTCATTGTGAAATATACAGTCAGACACTGGGGCCGGTGGGTTGTAGACTTCTATCGGACCTTTGGCGAATCTGCCGGATTTGTCAGAGGGTCAGACACTATTCGTGAACACTGCTTTAAGTGCAAACAGTCTTTATCATAGCATGATCCTCACGCCTCCTGCAACAAATGAGTTGGGATATGCAGCTGGTCTCAACGCTGTCATGCTTGCTATCTATTGGATGACGACCAGTCTTTTATATTTTACATATTTAGGGAGAATATTATGGATACTCTTCTCTGTTTGTACTTGATTATATGCAGTATTGATCATGTAACCATGGTAACCTTTGAAGAACTGTTTCTCAGTAAAATAGATGTCAGAATTAGAAGACAGCTCTAATTAGAATGCAACTTATTTAACATAATGAGATACTTAGGATTCTGATGTAACCCTAGTCATATGCTCCGCCAGAAAAAGGTGTTTGTCTTTGAAAATAGGACCTTTTGAGATTTAAGTTGTTTATTAATGATAAGGTTGGGATGTACAGTTTTTTTGTTCATGTCCTCAAACCTGCTGATGGCAAGGAATGAAGATGGTCAGTACTAATTCTGCAATGAAAACACAATGAGACAAATATGCATATTATTAGGTAATGAATATGAATATTCGAAATGAATACAATGGCAAGTCATTAGTTGATACATTATTCATTATGTTCAGTTATACAATAACGAGATAACTTCTGTCACATGTTTGACCATATTGGCTGTGTAAATTCATCACCACAATGATCAGTGACCACATTACTGTCAAATTAGATATATATCAGTGTTGACTATTAGTATTATCATGCCTCATTGTTATATTTTCCATTTTGCAGGTCATACTTTGATAAATAACTCCCAAATACATATAAACACTCTTTCATGAACATTCAATTCCAGTAATATTGAATAATGAATCGAATTTATGAAGGTTACAGGTTGATTCACTGGATATCATAAAAGTACAAGATATGTTTGTAGTTGCATGTGTGTCAGATCACAGAGATGTGTTTGTATTGCAGGTGTGTTGTACACAGATGTGTGCCTGATCGCAGGTGTGTTGTACATAGCTGTGTGTCTGATCGCAGATGTGTTTGTATTGCAGGTGTGTTGTACACAGCCATCTGTCTGATCACAGATGTTTTGTATTGCAGGTGTGTTGTACACAGCTGTGTCTGATCACAGATGTTTTGTATTGCAAGTGTGTTGTACACAGCTGTGTCCCTGATCGCAGGTGTGTTGTACACAGACGTGTCTCTGATCGCAGATGTGTTGTACACAGACGTGTCTTTGATCGCAGGTGTGTTGTACACAGCTGTGTCTCTGATCGCATGTGTGTTGTACACAGACGTGTCTCTGATCGCATGTGTGTTGTACACAGCCTTGTGTCTGATCGAAGATGTGTTTGTATTGTAAGTGTCTTGTACACAGCCGTGTGTCTGATCACAGATGTTTGTATCACAGGTGTGTTGTACACAGCTGTGTGTCTGATCGCAGGTGTTGTACACAGACGTGTCTCTGATTGTAGGTGTTTTGTACACAGCTGTGTGTCTGATCGCAGGTGTGTTGTATACAGACGTGTCTGATGGCAGGTATGTTGTACACAGACGTGTCTCTGATCGCATGTGTGTTGTACACAGCTTTGTGTCTGATTGCAGGTGTGTTTGTATTGCAGGTGTGTTGTAAACAGTCGTGTGTCTGATCACAGATTTTTGTATTGCAGGTGTGTTGTACACAGCTGTGTCTGATTGCAGGTGTGTTGTACATAGCCGTGTGTCTGATCACAGATGTTTGTATCGCAGGTGTGTTGTACACAGCTGTGTCTGATTGCAGGTGTGTTGTACATAGCCGTGTGTCTGATCACAGATGTGTTGTACACAGTCGTGTGTCTGATCACATGTTTGTATTGCAGGTGTGTTGTACTTAGCTGTGTCTGATTGCAGGTGTGTTGTACACAGTCATGTGTCTGATCACAGATGTTTGTATCGCAGGTGTGTTGTACACAGCTGTGTCTCTGATCGCAGGTGTGTTGTACATAGCCTTGGTCTGATTGCAGATGTTTGTATTGCAGGTGTGTTGTACACAGTCATGTGTCTGATCGCAGATGTTTGTATTGCAGGTGTGTTGTACACAGCTGTGTCTCTGATCGCAGGTGTGTTGTACATAGCCTTGGTCTGATCGCAGATGTTTGTATTGCAGGTGTGTTGTACACAGTCATGTGTCTGATCGCAGATGTTTGTATTGCAGGTGTGTTGTACACAGCTGTGTCTGATCGCAGGTGTGTTGCACATAGCCGTGTGTCTGATCGCAGATGTTTGTATTGCAGGTGTGTTGTACACTTTCGTGTGTCTGATCGCAGGTGTGTTGTACACAGTCGTGTGTCTGATCGCAGATGTTTGTATTGCAGGTGTGTTGTACACAGCTGTGTCTGATCGCAGGTGTGTTGCACATAGCCGTGTGTCTGATCGCAGATGTTTGTATTGCAGGTGTGTTGTACACAGTCGTGTGTCTGATCGCAGATGTTTGTATTGCAGGTGTGTTGTACACAGCCTTGTCTGATCGCAGATGTGTTTGTATTGCAGGTGTGCTGCTCACAGCTGTGTGTCTGATCACAGAGATGTGTGAGAGAAGCCCAGACACCCTGCATCACTTCAGGAAGGTAGGTCTTGCTCTGGCCTCTTGTCATACGTCATTCTTGATGCTTACTGTATATCTTGCATGGTGTCAATCTTTCAGTCTGCTTACCACAAGGCATAGATGTTGAACTTTGTTACTGTAAATACGATGCAATGTTATTATAGAAGTGCACCTAGCATGCCTACTGTGTATTGTTTGGTGTCATTGTATTTTGATGTTAGGTTTGAAAACAATTTTGGGGAGGTTTATAAAAGCTGATTTGCACCATCATTCCATTTAATTAATAATAACTGTTAACTCACAGACTACTGTTTCCATCATCACTTTGAGGCTGCTCTCAAATTTGCTTCACTTAATTCATCTGAAGAGTGAATGTTTATTGCTGCTTGTTGGAATATTGTCAGGAAGACTGCGAATTGTGTTTAGACAGCTTATACATTCGTGGCAAAATAATATTCAGGGTGTTTTGTCCAAGTAAGCCGCCGATTGGGCACTTGCACTATTTTTGTTGATTGTATTATTTTTTGTTTTGTAATAGAATTGATTTTCCCCATGATGATTAACCTGTGTTACCATGGTTACTGTGTTTGCATTACCATGGTAACTGCATGAGCTGTCCGAGGTTATAGAGAGTAGGCAGTGTGTGCAAGGACTTAGGTGTTTGCAATAGTCTGGAGCAGTTATTCAGCTGAGCTGGAGGGAGGGTAGGGTAGGGGGAGGGGGCCGATGTTGCTTTGGGAGTTTTCTTAATGTTGTGGCTTGTAATGGTGTGAGATTGCAAGATAAGGGTGTCATGTTCCAGTGTGTATAACATGCAGTGGATGGATACCACTTTGGCTTACAGTTGTTAGGTAATTATTTGGTAGCCTTGCATTTTACCTTCAGTAGACAAGATGGTTCTAAAATGTGGTCGCTGTTGTACATACTTGTTTATAAGGTTTTATGACTGTTTATGTATGTGAAATTCAGTTGTTGAAAACCACATAAAATTTGTCCTTTGCCCATTGTATTAAACTTTTATTTATTTTGAAATCATTCCAAAATAGCAAAAAGAATTCTTGATTTAAAGTCAGATTTCAACAAAAGAAATTCCAAAATATTAGTAACAATATTCTGGTTGATTAACAATATTAAGCAACCAATTTTAATACAAGGTATAAATTTGTTGATTTTTTTATTGACGCCATGTAAAGAAATGATTACTTTGTTGTATGTTTGGTTGTTCCTATGTGAGCTTTGTGTTTATTTTCCCATGCTTCTGCCAGGGGAAAGAGGTATGTTGGATAGCTGCGGTTGCATCCATGTGCCACAGTAGTGCAGCCGTTACGTGGCAGCCGTTGCGTGGCAGCACTTCAATTTGCTTGCTCTAGCCTAATGCATGGTCTATTTTACTAATTGGTTTATTTTCTTTTGGGTACGGGTTGGTAATTTCTATTACAACCGTTTAAATCCTTGTGGTTTTGGTATGGAAAGGTTATTTCTTTTGGTTTATTTTGGAATCCTTTTTTTATGAAAATATATTTAACCTGGTTTACTGTACTGCATGATTTGTTGTTTTCGTATTTAAGTCAAGGAATTATATGAAGTTCAGAATTGTATTCATTGTATGGATGTGAAAATTACCAAGATTATAAACATGACTGAATATAGTGTTTTAGAACATGAAGGAAGTTAGGCTTTTTTAGGAATGGGTCCGTTTATGGAACAAGATGATAGTACTTCCCTTAGAACTTTGACAACCAATCTTCTTTAAATAAAATTCTTTCACATTCAGTGTCATTTCCTCCAGCTTAGTCATGCAGAGTGCTTAGCTTGCTGAGTGCTTTCACTTCATGTGCTGTGTCAGGGAGCAGTCATTGTTGTATATTGTTGAACTTTGCGATGCAGTCATTACGTGTATTGTAATGGGTGTCTCAAATGGAAAGAAGTGATACTACTTATGTTTTAATAAGCACATAAAATGCTATCAGCAAATTCTGCAATGGCAATCCCTGTGAGTGACTGGTAGTCCTTGTTTGGTAAGACCAAAGACCATTTAAAATGGTATCTGGTAAAACAGAATTGTGTTGTAGGCATGCAAGAACCTCATTGATTGGCATAAACTATTTGTTTGGCAAATAATACAAACTGTTTGATTGGCTGTTAGAACAAGCTATTTGATTGTCAGACATTACAATCTAACAGAATGCCTGATAAACAAGCTATTTGATTGGCTGATAGAACGAGACATTTAATTGGCTGATAGAAAGAGACATTTAATTGGCTGATAGAACGAGACATTTGATTGGCTGATACTGAAATAACATTTGTCATGTTGTTAGCTTTCTTACTTTCAGTAAAATGAAATAACCCTTTGTACTTAACAGGGCTCTAAACATGATGTAAGTACGATTCCTGTCATACAAGTGGGTGGAGAGATACATTTCATTTGGGAATGGAAACAACACAAATGCAACTGTTTGGGGCTGACACGAAATGGAAATTGATTTTTTTTGGTCATAAATTTATCGAAAGATAGAATTGATTGTCAGTCGGTAAATTTAAGTTTATGTTCGAAAACCACACCTGAAAAATTGTTGCTGATGTTGTGTGTTAACATTGCACTCATGTTGTCAGTTGACAGTGCTTCAGATAATTATCAACCATCGAAATACACGACTGGTCATTAACAAAACATGAACCAGACATATTTTTCATTCTGAAATGTACTGTACTGCTCAGTTGTAACATATCTTATATTTGTGATTACGCTTTCTTAGTAAAGTACAGATTCTAGTACTTTTGTTGGGTTGAGTCCCATCCGGGATTCAAACCCACACCCTCAGAGTTAGGCATCTAATTACTAGCACACAAAATCAGATGTTTAACCTGCTCAGCCACCGCAGCTTCCACTTTTTAAATGGTAATGTGAATTCATGCTCAGTTGTAGATTTGACATGTACACCAATTGGTATGATGAAATAGTTGATATTCATTGCAATTTAATTTCATTCAAGTAAAGATGCTTTCAAACAAACTGTCCTGTAGATCTACGTCATTTATCATGTGATTGATCATTTGTGTGACTATTTCTTGAAAATCTCTACATTAATTTGTATGCTTAATTGGCTAGAAAAAATGTGTAAACTGTAAATCTGGGCTGCATTCATTAGAAGAAAAACCAAACTCACTCACTCACTCATTAAAAGATTACATTGTATTTTTGGATTTTGATACTAAAAATGAACAAAAGCAAGACAAAGAATTTCAAGTGTGTTATTTAATATTAACCAATCACATTGAAGGATTGGGAGGAAATCCATTCAGTCCATCCATCCAACACAAAATGACATATTTCTTGGTAATATACTAAAATGTAATGCCTAATGCAATAAAGAATAGTTCAGAATAGATACATAGTGCAGCTGAAGTTAATCATATGTATAGTATTTCCTTCTGCGTTTGAAAAGTTTGAAATCCAAATTTACTAGTTTGGTTCCACACGAAACACATGATACAGCATTATCTGGAGCACTGCATTTTGGAGGGGTTGCTATGGAAACTAACAATAACATTAATGCAACAGTTTGTAGATTATTTTTGGTTTTGGTTCTGTGTAGTGTAAATGTTGTGTTATTTTGATTAATAATGGTAGTGGTTTAATAAACAAATTTGCAAGACACCATGCACTGCCATGAGAAAGAAGGCAAATAGGCATGTCCCAATGGAACTTAGCATGATTCACACAAACATCTGCACTGTACCATGAGCATAATGACAGTCTTCTGTATATATACTACTCAACATTTCCCAAGGTCTACACCACTAAAGATGCCTATTTTATCCTTAGAAAATGTTGAGCAGTATATCAATTTGAAATGGCCCTCTCATACAGAAGTATATGTCTATGTTCCTTTCTGTTATCTCATTAAAGGCACAATTTCACACATTTTCAACAATATTTTGGCCTATATTATATATATTGGGATGTACACACTCACTTTAGCTTCTTATTGATACAATAAAAGACTTATTATCCCTTACGCCTAAAATTGATAATTGAAACTCAATCACAAGTTGCACGTATGTTTTTGTTTCAAACATTAGCGTCATTTTGTCTAAGACTGAGCTCTGTCTCCAAAGGAGTTATAGAATCTTTGTAATATGATACAAAAATGGCTTTCAGACCATATAGAAGTTCTTGAGTTGTTGTTTTATTTACCAAAAAATAGAGTTTGAGTAAAACAAATTTGATGTAATTCGATGGTGGCAGAAATTTGTATTACATGTAAATGCTTATGCCCTCCTGCTATAGCACCTGCTTCATTACTACAGCTAAAGCCAGACACACTTTACGCATCAGTTTATTCAAGGCTTGTTCATTGGAACTCATCACCAAGTCAGTGCTTGTTAACTATTTTTGTTTACCGTATATGACCGTCTATAAGACGACCCCATGGATAAGACGACCCCCAAACTTGACCATTAAAATCAGTGTCAAAATGGTATGTTTCGTGCATAAGTCGATCCCCCGTGATGGGGTCCTAATCGCAGCATACACAGACCACAGACAACTGGCAGTTACCAATAATTATAACTTTGGTCCACATTATTCAAAGAAATATTGCGTCTACTCAAGGATCGAAACGAAGTGTAGTTGACAGAAAATGTATAATATATTTTGTTTCTCTAAATATCATATTTATTGTACCAACAAACTGGCTTGTTTATTTTACCCCATTCAACAATCACGAACTGATTACCGCCTCATTCTCCACTGACTGCTAGTTTACAGTAACATCGGTAAAATGTGTGAATTTCAATGGCTTCCGTATTTTACCCCATTCCATTTGAGTACAACTTCTGCTTACCATGTTCATGAGGGTCCGTATAACCTTAATGTTGATTATATATATTTTACATAAAAACTGTAATTAAAATTACACAATGCTAGGATATATTTCTTTGGGTTAAATAATAGTGCTCAGTATTATATGGGGCGGTGGGGTAGCCTAGTGGTCAAAGCGTTGGCTCGTCACGCCGAAGACCCGGGTTCGAATCCCCACATGGGTACGATGTATGAAGCCCATTTCTGGTGTCCCCTGCCGTGATGTTGCTGGAATATTGCTAAAAGCGGTGTAAAACCAAACTCAGTCAGTCAGTCAGCTGTATTATATTTTACTGACGACTGCATCAGAATTCGTCCCGTTATATTATTGTGCATGTTTGAACTTGTTCGCTGCTGATTGCTATTTCCGGCTCAAATACACATGGTAATCTTAATCTTAATTAATTTATAGAGCAAAAACTGTAATTACAATTACACAATGCTAGGATATATTTCTTTGGGTTAAATAATAGTATTCTGTGTTATATTTTACTGATGACTGCGTCAGAATTCGTCCCGTTATATTATTGTGCATGTTTGAACTTGATCGCCAGAAAATGTGTGCACAGCTGATTGCTATTTCCGACTCAGATACACACGGTAATCTTAATCCCTGCAAATAATACAATGCCGCGCAAAAACAACTTAGAACATAAAAAGTAAATAATCTTGTCTAGTGATGTTTAATTGCAAATTTGACATCTCTACTGACAAAGTCGTCTTCTGTTGTTTGTTCACGCGAAGTGATACGATGTTGTTTTCTTACACCTGGAAAAAGTTTGACGAAAGCGTAACCCATGGATAAGACGACCCCCTTCTACAGACTGCTTTTTTCGGTCCTCAAAAATCGGCTTATAGACGGTCATATACGGTACACAAAAATTTCATGAATTGTTACATTATTTAAGTTTGCTTATGCTATATTATTTAAGTGTGCTAAATTTGCCATTCACATTCTCATTTTTACTGAATATTTTGCATGTTATGTTGATGTCAACAAGATAACTTCACATCAAAACAGTGGATAAGTACCGTCTTATCAATACATGCATTGGTTAGTACATCCTCATGTGTCCAGGGTTTTTATCAATTTTGTATTGCAATAATACTCTGGACCTATCTGCCATCATACCCGTGAAGATCTGGCATAGAATTTGTCTTCAGTAGACTTGGTTGACACATGTCACCGTATCCCAATTGTGGAGATTGATGCTCATGATGTTGATCACTGGATTGTCTGGTCTAGACTTGATCCGTAACAGACCACCGCCATATAGCTGGAATATTGCTGAGTGCTGCATAAAATAACAAACAAACCTTTGTCATCATCCCTGTGAAGAAATTGGTTAAAGTTATTGTTCAGCAACTTACGTGTGTGAGAAGAGTTAGTGAATGGAATTGGGTGGTCAGGTTTGCTGAGTTGGTTGATGTCAGTGTATCGCAGTTGGGTAGATTTGTGTTTATGACGTCGGTCACTGTAATGTTTGGTCCAGACTCATTTGTTTACCAAGCACAGCTGCATTGCTGGAATAATGGAATAATATTAAACGATTAACAAACGTTTTCTATCATAATCCTTGTGTCCGATGTGACATTTGTATCTGAGAAGTACATTGAAGGGACTGCTAGTTTTAGTTTGTTGAACTTTTTTACAAAAATATACAGCAAGTGACAGGATCCAAAAACTACAGTTAGTTACATGTGTCAGTTTATAAGAAGCTTGTTCATAATAAATAAAGCCTTTTACTTGCATCTTACCATTGCTATCAGTCTAAGGTAGAAAAATATATATCATAGAATGAAGATGTAGCAAACTGGATAATCAAAGATATGTTTCCTAATGTACAGTTGTACTTAGTGAAATGAAGGCATGGTGCTCGGCAGTGTGTGTAATACTAAGCCATCTGTTGCAGGGGATATGCTTAGTTTGCATTATTATCACCTAGACAACACAATAAAATGTCAACATGTTCAACCCACTTTCTTGACAGTATTTATGGGTTATAACATTCACTGTTGCCATAAGAGAATCATTGGTTATGCATTATAACTTCAATGTAAAATCTTTGTGTAATAATCAATATTTTGAGAAATCGTAATAGTCTGGTTCCAATAATTTGGGATGTTATGGTCTATTGAATGTTGTAGCTATTCTTAAAACATTCATAGCCCTACTAACTTCTTAAACCCATTCTTGAAACATTGGCTACGATAAAAGTTAAAAATTCTTAGGGCTACGAACGTTTCGAGGCCCTGCTCAACAAAGTGACTATAATGCTGAAGTTCCGTAACTCCCATAATTTAACATTGACTTACAACTGTCATAGTGCTAAAATCACTTTCTGGAAAGTGGTTGTGATGTGTTGAAACTCTACTTAGATACAGGTGACTCATTCTTGACGCTAATTTTGACGATATACCAAAAGGGCCTGAAAATTATAGAAAGTTCTGTATATTCCTCTTCATGCTTACACCGCTGGAATGTTTTTGACAGGCAGTTGCACCTCTTACGCTGGTTTGCCTGCCTGAGATTCAAACATTTACTGGCTGCAATGATAATAGCATAAAACACCCCACAATTGATATTACCATTGAGAAACGTGTTTAAGATTTAACTCAGGAACCAACACTGCTTCCTTTTGGAAAATATAAGAGGTTGTCTAAATTATTTTGGAATGATTTTTGCATGTTTATGAACTTTTGTTTTATTGTATGCCATGCATGAGGCATAATGTGGTGAAAGCGCTTTCTCATCTTGCACAAACTCTGGCCACAAACCCTTACATTGGACAACAGGGTTTGCATTCAAGAAATCAGGGTAGTTGATCTGAAAATGAAGAAAGTCTCAGGGCTCCTTTCCATTATGTTTTATTTTATTTACTATGAGCTTTTTTTCTGTAAAATATGTTCATTTGAGAGACTAGTTGTAAGTCTAGTGATAACAGGAATCAGTGGCAGTGATGGTGTAGTGGCACCTTTAACTATTTAGTCATTGTTAATACCTTTTGGGACCTGTGAAGGTCCGGGTTAGAATGTGCCTTCAGTAACCCATGCTTGTCGTAAGAGGCAACTGACGGGATCGGGTGGTCAGGCTCGCTGACTTGGTTGATATATGTCATCGGTTCCTAATTGCGCAGATCGATGCTCATGCTGTTGATCACTTGATTGTCTGGCCCACACTTGATTATTTACAGACCACCACCAGATAGCTGTAATATTTGCTCAGTGGCGTAAAACTAAACTCACTCACTCACTAATACCTTTTGGAACAGTGCAATGATGTATGAAATAAATAAATTTTGAAACGAACTTCAACATAATGAAAACAGGAAATGTTGATATTACCATGATATATTACATGTAAAACAAAGACTCCCCCCTCTTAACAGTCTTGTTTGTAATATGGAATATGGAAATGGAATATTGCTGAAAGCATCACTCACCTACTAACCCTCTCACTTAAAAAGTCCTTAGCAAATGGTTGAAGTCTATTAGGGCTGGGACGATTCACTGATGTACCGATACATCACGATACATTCTAGTTTGATACAGCTATCGTAACGTCCACTGGTGTATCGATACAAAACAGTATTATATTAAACATGTTAAAGTACTTATGTAGAGAAAAATACACAAGTATGATGGAGTTACTTGTTTGTTTATTACAATAGTGTTATTGTTATACACAAATACCTTGCAATAAATCTTTTTGAATCTTAACACTGTGTCATTCTTTCAAGGTGTATGTATTGTGATACGTATCGTATCGCAGGTAAAATATCGTGATACGTATCGTATCGTCACATAGTGTATCGTCCCCAGCCCTTAAGTCTTTACCTGTTATTCAGTGTGGAAGGATATGATATCATTAGCTAATATTAATTGCACATGTAATTGGTCTGCGAGATATATTATTGCATATAACAGTGTATGGGAATGTTTCGCTTAAGTTATGCCATGGCTCAATACGTGTTGTGATTCTTTAGTTGGAGAATTTCACTCAATAATGCTACAGTTTGAAATCAGGATGTCAAATGTACCACAACACACATTTTGCACCATTAGTGTGTTTCTGTGCTCAAGTTGGGGAGGTTGTTGTTGTTAGCAATCAGTTTGTGTTCAATTTGAATGACTGAAAAACCAGATTGATTTGATGAGATTTGTTTTTGTTATTTATCTGGTAAATTAATGCCATCCAGAGAAGTTATCTGGCCCAGCTATTGCACAATTTGGTTAGTAGTACTTGCTGACATAAACAGGAAGCTGTGGTATGTCCCTGTGTTAGGGAAGCAGGTTTCTCGCCATATGCATGAGGTAGCCAAGAGGTTTATTGTATTTGCTTGTCACACCCAAGACGGTTTGAATTTCCTCCATGAGTACATTGTGCGGAGCCCATTTTTTATGTCTTCTGCCAAGAAATAACTCTCTTGGGCATGGGTCACCCAGTCAACCAAAGCACCACATTTTATTGTACGTGGGTTTGTACCAGAGGTATGTAAGAAGTCAATGATCGTGGGTTCGAATCCATGTTTGTTCCGATTATGTTTGTCAGAACTGTACCATGTGTTGTAAATATCAGAAACCTTCATCACCCCTTTGTGCGGATGGTTGAAGCTTCTGGTCTTCATACCTGGGTTCACACAATCATACCCAACATACACTATCGTTATGTCTGCATGGTAGTATTCAGCCATGTCTTCAAGTAAATAAGTCAAACTGATCACACCAACAGATAGTATGTGTAGTTCTATTGTTTTTATGTATGAATATGTATGCAAACATCTGCGACCATTTGTGAAAAGTCATCAATTATACCGTATATTACCGTCTATAAGCCGAATTTTGAGGACAAAAAAAGCAGTCTGTAGAAGGGGGTCGTCTTATCCATGGGTTACGCTTTCGTCAAACTTTTTTCCAGGGGTAAGAAAACAACATTGTATCACTTCGCGTGAACAAACAACAGAAGATGACTTTGTCAGTAGAGACGTCAAATTTGCAATTAAACATCACTAGACAAGATTATTTACCTTTTAAGTTCTAAGTTGTTTTTGCTGGGCATTGTATTATTTGCAGGGATTAAGATTACCGTGTGTATCTGAGCCGGAAATAGCAATCATGTGCACGTTTCCCAGCGATCAAGTTCAAACATGCACAATAATATAATGGGACGAATTCTGACGCAGTCATCAGTAAAATATAATACAGAATACTATTATTTAACCCAAAGAAAAAAATATCCTAGCATTGTGTAATTTTAATTACAGTTTTTGCTCTATAAATTTATTAAGATTAAGATTACCGTGTGTATTTGAGCCGGAAATAGCAATCAGCAGCGAACAAGTTCAAACATGCAAAATAATATAACGGGACGAATTCTGAGGCAGTCGTCAGTAAAATATAATACAGAGTACTATTATTTAACCCAAAGGAATATAACCTAGCATTGTGTAATTTTGATTACAGTTTTATGTAAAATATATATAATCAACACTAAGGTTATAATGGACCCTCATGAACGTGGTAAGCAGAAGTTGTAAATTACATGGAATGGGGTAAAATACGGAAGCCATTTAAATTCACACATTTTTACCGATGTTACTGTAAACTAGCAGTCAATGGAAAACGAGGCGGTAATCAGTTCGTGATTGTTGAATGGGGTAAAATAAGCAAGCCAGTTTGTTGCTACAATAAATATGATATTTAGAGAAACAAAATATATTATGCATTTTCTGTCAACTACACTTCGTTTCGATCTGTGAGTAGACGCAATATATATGATTGTGAATTCTTTGAATAATGTGGACCAACATTATAATTATTGGTAACTGCCAGTTGTCTGTGGTCTGTGTTTGCCGCGATTAGGACCCCATCGCGGGATTGACTTATGCACGAAACATACCATTTTGACACTGATTTTAAGGGTCAAGTTTGGGGGCTCGTCTTATCCATGGGGTCGGCTTATAGACGGTAATATACGGTAAATGATTTCTTGTATTCAAGACTTTTGAGAATATTTTGAAGATTTTTGAGTAAATTTGAAGATTTTTTTATCTTAACTGGATGTCATTAAAAATTTAGATGCATTGCACTATGATGGAGTAAATTTGAAGATTTTTTATCTTAACTGGATGTCATTAAAAATTTAGATGCATTGCACTATGATGGTGTCCAGTTTTAGGTCAGACACAATTGTATTGATGTTGAAGGGACCTATGTGAATGGTTTGACTCAAGCACAAAATGATGATTAACTAGGAATATACAGGGAGCAAACTTCTACAGAGTGGTGCAAAAAGTATTCGGACACTTGATGTAATTTCCATAGACTTAAATGTTAATTTAGTGTAGCATAAATAATTTTCATGAATTTAATTTTCATAATATCAAAGTCAAATTTTGCACATTTGTGACGAATCATCTTACCTATAGTCACATAATTTCTGTTTAATTTTCTGTTGCTTCTTTATCATGGGAATGGGAACAATTTTATCAACATATGTACAGTGCCGTGAACTCCTTTAACATGGCGGTCTATTTGATTGTGCATTGTGCAACCATACGTAAGTTGATAAATGTGATGTCATTAGTTATATAGTGGTCCGACAATTGAACTGAAATTATGCGCGCAGAGCTGAGATGATTTCAAATTTGCCTGTAAATTTTACGAAGATTAATCCTAAACTCACTTCAGAAAGATTATTTATGCTACACTGAAATAACATGCAAGTCTATGGAAATTACGTCAAGTGTCGAATAATTTGTGCAGGGGTCTGTACTTCTTGACAACTGAAGGTCCGACTCTCTGTGCATTTCTGAACATATATCAACATTGTTGTATTTTGTTAGTGTATTATTTTTATCATTTATACAATGATTTCATGTTCTTAAAGCAAAGTTACACCTTTTTGAAGGTGGCAATGCTATGTATGTGTGTACAGGTGTTGTAGATTGTGGTGTCTATTGTGTGTTGTTTCTCTTCCAGCTTGTGCCACAGCTAGTCAGAATACTGAAGAACCTCATCATGGCAGGCTACTCACCAGAACATGACGTGTCTGGAGTCAGCGACCCCTACCTGCAGGTGCGTTATTGTCAACAAATGACTACCGGTATTGGGTACTGGGAAGAGTAGGTCCCAGATATTCCATGCTTATGTTCCTCTGAGATTAACCCATGAAGATCTGGGTTAGAATTGGTCTTCAGCAACCCATGCTTGTAGTAAGAGGCATGGACAGGATTGAGTGGTCAGGCTCGCTGACTTGGTTGATACATGTCATCATATCCCAACTAAGTAGATCAATGCTCATGCTGTTGATCATTACATTATCTGGTCGATACTTGATTAATTACAGACTGTCGCCATATTGTTTTAATATTGCTGAGTGCAGCGTTATACAACATCCAAACCAATCTAAAATCCTCTGAGATCAGGATAAAATTAGTCCTGAATCCAGTGCTTGTCTCCTAATAGGGAAGCCAGGCCAGAATAGGTCCCTAGATTCCTAAAACTTGCCTCCCTATAGCCAACTAACAAAAATTAGTATTTTGTTTTTACATTAACCTGGTTCAATATGTGTAAATGATCTGCTAGGGCAATTCTTGGTGTTCACCACCTCGTATAATGCTGCAGTGCATCACTTTAATCATTGAAGACACCTTTACACCTTTCACAAATTCTAAATTGAAGTGTTCCCCCATCATACATCCTTTGCACAAATCTTTATGGTTTGTAAAATATGAGTTATTAATCGTTTTCTGCTTACCTTGCAGGTGAAGATATTACGCTTGTTGAGAATCTTGGGTAAAAATGATACAGAGGCCAGTGAAACAATGAACGATATTCTAGCACAGGTAAGAAGTTAACAAGAACAATTGTGTTTTTTACGTTTGGAGATTTTATAGTATTTTGATGCCATTTGAGATTTCATAGTATTTTGATGCCATTTTGAGATTTCATAGTATTTTGATGCCATTTTGAGATTTCATAGTATTTCAAAGCAGAGTGTGTAAGTGTCCATATTTTGATTACTAACACCTTTAAATATTTTCTTGAAGGTTGCCACAAACACAGATACAAGTAAGAATGTGGGACACGCGATTCTGTACGAGATTGTACTGACAATTATGGGCATCCAATCAGAAGCTGGACTGAGGGTAAGTTCCGGAGCCTTTCGTTGTGTTTCCAAAGTTTAAGTCTATTTGGTCTACCAGAGCTGTCAGTTACAAACACAGTATTGATTCCATATATATTGCAGTTGTGTTGCACACAGTGACATGAGTAATTACAGTGCATTGATTTGAACTCAATAGTTATTTCCTCATGGAACAGTTAACGTGTGGGTTTTTTAATATAATTGTTCATTGGTTTTGTGTGCATGTGTTTGTTTGTTCCTTCATTAATTTGTTTGTTTGAACATCACCCTCAGCAGTTCTCCAGCTTTATAATGGCAATGTGTAAAAAATAAAGACTAGACTAGAAAATCAAGCGATCCACTCTGGAGCATCAACAGCACAGTTTCCATTTCATGTCATGCAATCAGCCATTTCACCATGGCTTACTGTTCAATCCTAGACCTATATTTTCTCTGAGAATCGGACCACCTCCGTGGTGTAGTTGTTAGAGCGTCTGCCCAGAGAGCAGAAGGTCGCGGGTTCGATCCCCGACTGCGATATACCAAAAGACGTTTAAATATGGTACTTGTTGGTCCCTGCCTGGCGCTTGGCATTAATGGGTAAGACAAGGACTGGTCGGCTTGCAGTCAGTATAATGTGTGTGAGTGGGGTATTCATGCTTCACTGCGGCATGGTATCTCAGTGGGCTAGCACTATAAAATCAGCTTAAGTCTGGGCAAGTACAAGCAGCCGCACATACACATACACACGCATGCACGTTGTCATATGAGTGTAATATTCTCAAGCACGACGTAAAACCCAATTTCACCTCACCTCACCTCTCTGAGAATCCGTTCTAATGCGCTTCTAGATCTAAACTAACATGTTAATAAGAAAGTCTCATGAATTTCCTGCCTCAGTTTATAAAACCTGTATTTTCTGTTGAAGTCAACTGTCATGTCTGCTGCTTTCCTGTTATAATACAGGGGCAGTGGTGGTGTAGCCTAGTGGTTAAAGCGTTCGCTTGTCGCTCTGAAGGCCCGGGTTCGATTCCCCACATGGGTACAGTGTGTGAAGCCAATTTCTGGTGGTCCCTGCCATAATATAGCTGGAATATTGCTAAAAGTGGCGTAAAATTAAACTCACTCAATCACTCCCTTACATTACATGTTTTTACTTAATCTATGCTGAAGTTGTTTTACTTTCTTGCAGGTACTTGCTGTAAATATCCTGGGAAGATTCCTTCTAAATAATGATAAAAATATTAGGTAAGTGAGCATTTACATTTAGTCAACCCTTGTATATATATATATATATATGTGATGAAAGATTAACCATCATAATATGCCAGAATCGTGTGGTGCGTCTTTTCATGAGTGTTATATTTCTTACTCTTCTGTTTGAAATGTTGTGAAGACAGGACACTGTCCTTAAAACGATCTTTGTTTTCATAGGTATGTTGCCCTAAATACGTTGTTGCGAGTCGTGCAGGCTGATTACAATGCAGTACAGAGACATCGAACAACAATTGTTGACTGCCTCAAAGACCCAGATATCTCCATTAGAAGGTAAATCCTTACAATATCATGAAAACATGACAGTTTACAAAATATATGTGACACATAGAAGTGTAATGGAAAAAGATTACACTGAAGAATTAATGTATCAAATTTTAAAATGCGAGGGACAGGAAATAATGGTTGCTGGTGTGTTGGCTGTTCAGTTCATGTACTTCCAGTGGCCAATAATTACCATGTACACTATATTGTAATGGGTAATGTTGTAGTCCAGCAGTTACTTTGTTGGCATGTTACCATGGAAATGCTGAATTAGGTTATATTCTAAAACTATGTTATACTGTTCAACTTCCTTTGTCAACAGGTATTCTGTAATGAATATCTTGTTTTAATCACGATATGGCTGCATTGTTGTCGATGTGATTTAAATGTTTATTACATCATTGTATTCCCCACATTGAAGTTTAAAGCCATTTTCTTCATGTCACATGCCCTTATATTGTTTTCATGTTACATTCACAAGGTTTTATTGCAGAATTATGCCTGTGTATTTTAAGTATAAGTTGTTCAACTTTGAGCTTGGATGTATTGTCATGTTGGTTCATGTTGTAGACGTGCGGTTGAGTTGTCATTTGCGTTGATCAACTCCAACAATGTGCGTGGCATGATGAAGGAACTACTCCATTTCCTGGAGAACTGTGACCTGGAGTTCAAGCCTGACTGCTGCTCAAACATCATCATGGCGGCCACGAAGTTAGTATATTGCTTTTGTGTCCAGACAAAGTATCTTTATCATTATTTTTAGCGGACTTGGTCCTTGTTATAGGCTATTACCATGTGTGAAAGTTGCACTTTTTGAAGTTGAATTTTTGTGTTTCTTATTACATATAAATTTGATTCTAAACCCTCATCAAGTCTTGGAGCTATGATATTGTTGACTGCTATTCAATCCCCTGTAAACATAACACAGTGTGAATATTTGTAGTATACTCTCCACTTTTGATAAGAATAATTAATTGGGTCATTCTATCCAATTATATACTGAAATCATTTTGTGTCATGGAAAGATGAAAAACATGCACATCAAAATATGTATATAACAGATTGCTGTCTCTAACCATTTCATTCGTATTGGAATGTCTTTGTCATGTCGTCATACCGAAGACCCGGGTTCGAATCCCCACATGGGTACAATGTGTGAAGCCCATTTCTGGTGTCCCCCGCCGTGATGTTGCTGGAATATTGCTAAAAGCGGCGTAAAACCAAACTCAGTCAGTCAGTCTTTGTCATGAGTAATGGCTTCAGGAATTGTTGTTCATTCATGCTCAATATGTTTGTATTATTTATCTGAATGAAATGTTGAGCATGAGGTAATAGAGGCGTGATATTTTGATTCCTTTTCCTCTGTAGATATGCACCCAACAAGAGATGGCACATAGACACAGTTATGAAAGTTCTGACAACAGTGAGTGTTCAGATCTTTGGTATATTTACTCTGCTCATGTTTCAATGTCTTTGATGGTTGGTGATCTTATTGTAGTCTTCATGTATCACATATAAGTATGGTGTTACAAGGACTTATTCATTTTAATCTCAATAATTATTCATGGAATCTCAATAATCTGGGATATAAATGGATTTGGATATTTTCTGTTTACATGGTTTACCTAAAAATCCAAGGTAGACATACTACTCAACAGTTGACTTCGATGGTGACTGGTACTGATTCCATGTGTGTAGTAATACTGTAAACGTACTTATTTTCGCGTGGTGCAATTTTTTGCGGAATTGACAGTTTAGACTACATCGCGCGGTCAATTATTCGCGCAATCAGTAATTGCAGGAACTGCCAGCTGTCTCTTTGGCCGCCACTAATAGCAGTGAAAACAAACAGAGTGGCTTAACCTGTCAGGCGGCGTTTATTGCTTACTCACAGGAAATCCCTATCTGTGCGATATCCTAGTACACAGTAACCCGTTTACTCCCGGAAGAGATGAAAAACACATCAGTCTTATGTTCAGAATTCTGACGATCTGATGAATTAACTTATACTGTATATGAAGCTTTTTGTGATTTCAAACAAGCCGGGTTGTTGTGAATGAGATGATTGAGTGTTAAGTGACTATTCGCTTCATGATGATACGTTTGTATCTAAATGAATAAATAAAATACTGCTGTATTATTTCTTTCCGAGTCGTTTCATGGTAGTCTGTTTTGTATCAAACCATCTGTCATGTGACCAATTTCCATGGCAGCCACAACACACATTGCTGTTTTCGCTAATTCGGCGATGGGATTTGGCTCATTATTTAATTATGTTTTGGGAAATCCATTACAGCGACAGTTAAGTATGATTCCCGTAGATTTCTGTCTTCAAACTTGATGTGTTATGGTTTATTCGCGGTGTATAAATTTTCGCGCTAAAATGTTTTGCTCGAAAAGCGCGAAAATAAAACCTGCGCGAAATATACTACGTTTACAGTATTCAACATTTTCAGCAAACTTGCATTTTGTTCACATGTTGATAAATTATCAGACCTGCGAGGATCTGGGTTAGAATTGGTCTTAAGCAGCTTATGCTGTCATAAGAGGCGACTAATGGGATCGGGTGGTTAGGCTTTCTGACTTGCTTATCCCAGTTGCGTAGATTGATGTTCATGCTGTTGATGACTGGGTTGTGTGGTCCAGACTCACTCACAGACTGCCGCCCTATAGCTTGAATATTGCTGAGTGCGGTGTAAACTAAATTCACTCACATCACTCAGTCAGTGGATTGTCTGGTCCGGACTCGATTATTTACAAACCACCGCCACCATATAGCTGGAATATTACTAAGTGCGACATTAAACAACACACAACAATAAATGATTGTCTCTGGGATCTGTTACTTTAGGTCTGATCTTGGTATTCTTATCAGAGTAGTACACAAGACCAGGCCCCGATTTCTCAAAACAAACTTAAGTTTTTACTCAAATTTCAAACTGAGTTGGACAATTTGAAACAGATGAAATTTTAACTCAACTGCATTTTTTAAATAAAAAAGCCCAAACAACTTAAGTAATCTATCCACCAAACTCAAATTGTCTACTATGTTTGAGTTTAATATCGATTTTAGTTCATTCTGGGAAATGGATTTTCTCAAATTTGAGTAAAAACTCTAACTTAAGTCGAAACTCAGACTTAAGTTTGTTTCGAGAAATCGGGACCTGGTTTCATCTTCCGTCTCTTCTTTCAGGCTGGTAATAGTATGAGATCAGAAATTGTGTCCACACTGATCCAGCTCATTGCCGAGGCAACGTCTTTACACGGATACACAACTGTCCAGCTGTTCAAGGCCATCCGAGATGACCAATCCCAGCAGCCTCTAGTGCAGGTCGCTGCCTGGTGTATCGGAGAGTACGGCGAACAACTCTTCTCTGAGACCATTGAAGATGAGCCACCTTTGAATGTGAGTTCAGGTTTGATTATTGACTCATTTTAAGTGAATTACATTTTGGTTGTGAGTTGAGATAGGTTCGATTATTGACTCATTTTACGTGAATTCCAATTTGGTTGTGAGTTGAGATAGGTTTGATTATTGAATCATTTTAAGTGAATTCCATTTTGGGTGTTATTATTCTGCCTGTTTTGCTCAAATATTGAATGTTGGTCACTGGATTGTCTGGTCCAGACAGTTATTTACAGCCTGACATCGTTTAGCTGAAATATTGCTGAGTGTGGTATTAAATAACAAACAAATCAAATCAAGTGATTTCCATTTCATGCTTGAACTCAGATATTATTATTGCATCCATTTTGCTCAAATATTGAATTTAATAATCAAAATGATTTGTGTAATATTGATGTGTTTACAGGCTACAGAAGAAGATGTTGTGCAGGTCTTGGAGAAAATCCTGGCCGGCAGCAACTCGTCCATCATCACCAAGGAGTATGCCATCACTGCCATTATGAAGCTCAGCTCAAGACTCCCACGTGCTGTACCGTAAGTCATTCCTCTGGCTGCATATCTGATTACTTTGTTACATTTCTGATTATCTCTATGATTTCTAATGAGAGGCTGAGGATTACATCAATATTCCAGCCAAATGTTGAAAGGGGAGATCAGAAATGGTGTTGATACATTGTACCCATGTATGGAATTGAACCTGGGTCTTCAGTGAGCAAACACATGGCACTAGACTTTTCCCATCCCCTGATTATCTCTTTTATATGCTTTGAGAGTGCCAGGGGTCCCAGAGTCCCAGGTCCATTACCTTTTAAAATGCAGTGTGAAGCCCATTTCTGGTGTCCGCTGCTGTGATATTGCTGGAATATTGCTAAAAGCAGCGTAAGACTAAACTCACTCATTTTAAAAGCATATAATCATTTCAGATTTATGTTGGATTGAAGCTCATGCAGGGCTCCAGATGAGGGCTGGTTTGGCGTATGTACGGACAGAAAATATGCTCGATACGATAGGAAATAATTTAGAAAACGTAGCAGATACGCACCACAGCAATGGTGTACAGTCTTAAAATCATTTACAGACGTATTTGTCTGATAAAGTATTGTTTTATTGTTCACTGACCTGTTAACACAAGAGTAGCAATGTTGTAGTGCACATATGAAACGAAACACAAGATTACTGATATGCCATCAAATTCCATTCAGTACTCTAAATGTACTGTTTTTCCAGTACTCCTATATTGAAAAAATAAGGAATACGTACTCCTGATGTTGAAATATTATCTGGAGCCCTGTCATGTTTCTTAACATGATACCCGGGTTCAATTCCCCACATCGGTACAATGTGTGAAGCCCATTTATGGTGTCCCCTGTCGTGATATTACTGGAATATTGCTGAAAGCGGCATAAAACTAAACTCACTCGCTCACTCTTAACATGATGTGATGTGTTGGGGTGACTATTGAGGGAGGAACAACTATTGCGATAGCGATAATCTATTATAAGGGTAATGCTATTTTTGAGGGCATTATCATTTGCAGAAGCCCTAAGTCTTCCATTAAAAAGACCCAGGGCTTCTGCAAATGATAATGCCCTCAAAAATAGCATTACTGTTATTATTTATAAAATACATGGACCTTGTGTTGAATTTGACTGTAAGTTTACTCAAAACCAACTTCTGACGGGGTTGACTGACCGAACAATTCAAGTGACGTCACAACAGAACATGACGATATTCGGCCTTGGCCTTTGACAAGACCATGGCCTGCAACATGTCAAACTGTCAGGCACAACGTCACTTTTCAGTGTTCGGTTTTGGTCCAACAACAACGTTAATAGTGCAATTGTTAAGGTTAGCACCAGCAAGAAAGCCAATATTACCGCTATTTCAAGCAGGAATTCGGGTTGCTTTGACTTGTTGGCCCCAGAATATCTGCCAGTCCAAAGCCAATGTCAAATGAACCGTAAGCCCACGCACCCACTATGACGTCATTTGACAACAGAACTGATAGTGGCCCGTCGTTAAAGTTGAGCGGTCCAATATCATTTGCAGTGGCCCGCAAATTTCTGATAATGGGAAGGCCGTTTCATAATTCCAAGTATTTTGCAGGAACATCCAGCGAGTGTTGGAGGTGTATGGGTGCCATACTGATGTAGAGCTGCAGCAGAGATCCGTGGAGTTCACCAGCCTCTTCAATAAGCATGACCACATGAGGTAATACCGCTGTAGGCTTTGTACCTGCCAAGGTCTGGGTTAGAATTTATCTTTGGTAACCCATGCTTGTCGTAAGAGGCGACTAACGGGATCGGGTGGTCAGACTCGCTGACTTGGTTGACACATGTTATTGTATCCCAATTGTGTAGGTCAATGCTCATGCTGTTGATCACTGGATTGTCTGATCCAGACTCGATTATTTACAGACCACCGCCATATAGCTGGAATATTGCTGAGTGTGGCGTAAAACTAACTCACTCACTCATTGTAGCTGCCAGCCTCCATTTCCTAGTGTATTACAATGAGTTCCCTGAAACCATTCACTACCAAGATTTATTTTGGAAGTAGGGGCGTTATGGTCAACTTCCTTACAACCGAACTAGGAATGAATTCATGTTACTCAGGGGTGTTTATTAAATAGAATGAGGTATTATACACTGGAGAGGATATCAAGGCTGTAGATCAGCCTGCCTCCTGTGAATATACTTGGCTGGAATAAGACCCCATACCCATGCTAGAGAGCTCACTGAGGGTGGTGTGGTCACAATATGAAATATTGTTCTTGTGTATATATCAGAGCGGCCCTGCGCCTGCCTGTGTGTTCAATAGAATATGAAAAGGTTGTTCGTCCTCAGATGATGGAGTATGTCGCCTTCACACTGGATGTGTTGGGAGTTAATATGTCATAGCATGCGTCACATTAAATCCTTCCTTCCTTCAACATATGCTGGGTTTGATAGGTGACAGAATAGATCAGGTGCTCAAGGTTCGGAGACAAGGTCTGTAAATATTCGAATCTGGGCCAGATAATCCAGTGATCAACAGCATGAGCATCAATCTACGCAATTGGGATACAATGATATGTCAGGTCAGCGAGTCTGACCACTCGATCCCGTTAGTCATGACTAGATTGTACCAGATTATTTGCTGGCTGCTGTTTTATGGATGACATGTTATTGAGAGCCTCACTAAACAACAACTAACCCTGCCCTCTATTTGTCTGTCTGCCAGATCTGCCCTGTTGGAGCGGATGCCTCTGCTGGACCACTCCAAGTGCCGCAACATGATGGAGAACGGTGAGGTGACCAACGCCGCAGAGGAGGACGATCTGCTCAACACCAACATGGTGGAAAGGACCAACGCCATGAACCTGCAGAACAATCAACAGACAGAGGTAGGACACCTTAGTCCAATGTAGATTCTGGATTATACTGAAGAAAACATATTTCGTTTCTTGTTTTACAAATGTTTTAGTGGAAAATTCTTGTCACAATGCAGGGAAATATAAAGAACTTAGAGGACATTTCTGATTTCTTCTTTAAGAGGTTATTTGACTTTTTTCCAAATATATAGTGCTTTAAAGCCAATATCATTAGGCCAACGGATATGGATACTTCAAGTATATGTTTTGGACTCTGCTTGTTGTTTCTGACACAAAAAGGTTGCAAAGTATAGTTCTGTCTATGTTCCAATATTGCAGTCAGCAAATATCCTTGATATCCTGGGTAATGGCATCTCAAGTCCTGGCAACAGCACAAGTGAAACTGCAAAGGGCAGTGGTGTTGATGACCTCCTTGACCTTCTGGGTGACCTTGGCCCAATGAGCTCTCCTACAAACTCCGGTGAGGACATTTTTAGGAGAATAGTTTAGCTCAGTTGTATTTGGTCTCTATCAATGTAGCACATTCCAATATGCAACATCTCCTGCAATTCTATATGCCAACAATTATGTGATTGAGCATTTCCTTTCAAAATGGAGTTACTACTGCGCTCTACAAATGTCCATATTAAAATGGCCTCCATTGTTCAGAGACAGCTTGGTAGTATGGGAATGAAGTCTTTCAATACTAATGTCACTCTGATGTGCAGGACTGTGGGTATTTTTTTTCTGGTGTCCCCTGCTGTAATATTGCTGGAATATTGCTAAAAGCGGCATAAAACTAAACTCTTAGCATCCAGATCATTTAATGATGAGTTGTACAGTAATCATTTAGTTCTTTAGTGTGTCACATGCTCACCCACTGGAGCGGCAAACTCACTCACTCTCAGCTTCTTGGTCATTTGATGATGAGTTGTAAAGTAATCATTTAGTTCCTTAGTGTGTCACATGATCACCCACTGGAGCGGCAAACTCAGCAGATATTAGTGAACAGTCTACCACATCACCTCCGTGTGTGGTGAACTCTCAAGCTCATGCTCACAGCTCAGAACTGATCTCTTTAGACTTACTTTTTCCAAATGACTTGTTATTGACATTCACTTGTTGTGTTGCAGTGCCGGTGCCTCAGAACAACCTCATGGAGGGTTTTGTACAGCCATCACAGCAGCCCCTCAGCAACCAGATGAACGGAGGCACGGGTAAGCTCACATTGTCTGACGCTTGCAGGGATTTATTTATGTAAGAAAGGGAAAGAAATCCAAGCGTCCAAAGCTACAAAATGGGTCCTGAGAAATCATAAAGCTGACAATTCGAATTTTTTTTATTAAGTTACAGTTGAAGAAACACTCAAACTTGTGTATATGTTAGTTAAAAATAGATATGGAAAGCCTGGAAGCTAATTAAAAACATGCTCGTGTACCATTGATTTCCACAGGCTTCCTGCCTATTGTGGCTTTTAACAAGAATGGGCTGCTCCTGGAGTTCAAGTGTGAGCGTCAGGGAGGCCTGGCTGAAACCACCATCATCAACATGAAGGCCACCAACTCCTCCGCAACTTCAATCTCAGATTTTGTTTTCCAGGCAGCCGTTCCAAAGGTGCATAAAATAGAGTTACTGAGCATGTTGTCATAGTATTGTATGGAGTTAAAGAATGGGAGTTAAGGTTAACCTTAGAAAGGTTCCTCCCAGTTTACCTCTTTATTTGAAATTTATCCAGACTCATTGATTGAAATCTCTTCATTCCCCTAAGCTGTAATAGAAACTTCTCTCCCAGAAGGCACAGTAGAGCAATGTCCCAAAACCAGATACAGTAAACTATGTTTATAAAGGGCACGTTTATAACAAACTTATGGATAAAATGAACTGTTCTTGTTTTTTGGTTTTGCTGTATATACAAGTTGAAATGCATATAATGAACTACAGTAATAACACTGGTGGTGCCTTTGGGCTCGCTATTACCATAGTTTACTGTAGGTAGATAACAGTGAAATATTATCCAGTGCTTTCTGTTCACAGTCATTCCAGCTGCAGCTTCAGTCCCCCTCGGGTAACAATCTGCCGCCAATGAATGATGGGTTTGTGGAACAAGTCATCTGCATCCAGAACCCCTCCAAGGTCAGGGCAATCACACTACTATACGTTTGTATTACATGGTCAGCCTAGTCTTAGCTGCCCAGAGTTGCATTACCTGTTATTGTTGGTTTGAATCCTAGATGACTGGTTTGTCTGCACCATACCCATGCTTGTACGTTTGGAAATGCCTTAGACCTGAGTCATTTTGGGTTTATCTTCCTCATGAGGCAATAAGTGGTACCTGTCAGAGACTTGCATCTGCCCATTTTGAGTTAAGCCATGATGTAACTGAAATACTGTTTGAAGCAGTGCCAGAGATAACTCACTCACACACCTAACTCCCTCAAGCGATCAGAGCCCATTTTTTGGTGTCCCTGCTATGATATTGCTGGAATATTGCTGAAAGCGGTGTAAAACTCTCACTCACTCATGATATGGCAGGAATATCCCTTGTAGTGTTTTATCTACTGAATCATAATCCCACGTGGAGATTCAGTTAACCCCACGTGGAGATTCAGTTAACCCATGCTTGTCGTAAGAAGCGACCTACAGGATTGAGTGGTCAGGCTCATGATGCTGATCACAGGATTGTCTGGTCCAGACTTGATTATTTACCGCCGCCATATAGCTGGAATATTGCTGAGTGCTGCGTTAAACAACAAACAAATGAACCAACTCCAGAAGCCGATACTGGTCTTAACAGGTGACTTAATAGTTGGGTCATAACCATGGGTGACTTGGTGGCTTGTCAGTGAGAGCACATGCTTTAGCCACAAGGCTACCCCACTGCCCTTGTGTCATTGTACCCGGTGGAGTCCAATATCTACAGGCTTCAATCATATAGTGCTGACTAACACTCCAGTAAGGCTGAAATATGGCTGGTTCAAGTTTAAATTCTAACTCCTTCACGGTCTCGTTATGTACAGGGGTTGTGGGGTAGTCTAGTGGTTAAAAAGCGTTTGCTCCTCCTGCCTAAAGCCTGGATTCCCCACATGGGTACAATGTGTGAAGCCCATTGCTGGTGTCCCCCGCCATGATATTGCTGAAATATTGCTAAAAGCTGTGTAAAACTAGACTCACTGACTCATTATCTACATCTTGTTTTACAGCAAGCCATTCGAATGAGGATACGAATGACATACACCCAAAATGGAAATGCTGTAACAGAGATGGGTGAAGTTTCCAATTTTCCCCAAGGCCTGTGGCAATAGCATAGTTGGCTGTTTCTGTAGAAATGACACGTTTGCCCAGTCACGGCTTCAAGTCTTTCATGGATGCAAAGTTTTGTATAGTGAGTTCTTGGGAGCTGTAAATCAAGTCCAGGACAGTTTCTCCATGATGGACTGACAGACCACTGACTGAATTCCTAGGCAGATCTGATGTTGTGGTCCTGCCCAGCTGAACTGTGTGCTATAATTTGATGTTAATCAGATCTCGCAGTGCTAAATTTTGTCTGTCAACCACTCCTGATTGACTGGTGGATATTCACTGACTACAGCAGTTAATCCTGAATCAGGTACCTATGTCACTATAGGTATGCTTGAAATCTAATCTTAGTATTTGTAGCCTGTATGCTTCGCTCCATGCTACGGACGTTGGCCTTGTTGTGAACATGTTTATTTATAAGAAATTTGGACAGCGTAAATGCACATTGATCAGAACTATCACATATTTGTGTTTTTTTCAAGATGGGCACAGAACGGTAAAATGCAACGTTTGTATTTTCTGTCACATAGTTTGTGATTATTTTGTATATACTCTTGTTTATAGTGGAATTGTGCATGTTGGTGAACCTCGATGTGTAATCATCACCCACCTTGCCATCATCTTGACGCAACACCATCACCATCATAGTAGGATTATCGAAGGCATTGAGTAGAACAAACAGTAGATCAAAATATGCATGACTGAAACTGTAATTATTAAATATTTGTATATTCTTTATATTATATTGTAATCAGCCTGGAGAAGATGTACATACTGACTGTACCATATTCCTATATAAATTATGATTGATAATAGTTGGGTTTCTGTGGCAATATATATTGGATGGATAGTAGGGGTAAAAAGGGGATAGATAGATGTGAGGTTTCTATTGCTAATGGTTGATTTGCATGTTAAATCTGAAATTAAGTTTCCTGTGTTGAGTTATAAAGCTTTAATCTGTTCTATAAGTGGCCAAATTGGCAGTCCCATCCAGTTTTGTTCATTTCATGAATTACCTACATTACATGGAGATGGTGTGTCAGTTTGGCCCTTATTATCTTGAGACTGGAAAGGAGCTCCACACCAAAGAGCAGAGGACGTTTTCTTGCAGGTTAGGCATGGATTTGAAAGACTTCACTCAGTCTGAAGGTCACAAATCCACACATCAACTCCAGCAAGAACCAGATAGTGTCATCATGAGTTTGGAATCAGCTTTATATTTATCAGTATGTTCCACCTTTTAGCGAGATATGTAAGTTTACGATTGGACAAATGTATCGACACCTCGGGATTCATGGCAAGAACATAGTAGCGCTGTTAGTTTGAAAGTATCAAGAGGGGGGCAGTGGGGTAGCCGATGACCCGGGTTCGAATCCCCACAATGGGCCCATTTCTGGTGTCCCCTGCCGTGATGTTGCTGGAATATTGCTAAAAGCGGCGTAAAACCAACCTCAGTCAGACAAGAGACAATGTGCTACAGGACTTGGTTAGATTGTATTGGTTTAGGGAACTAATTCATCGTGGATAGTTGCAGGTATTTCACACCTATTGACAATCTTCAGTCAAGAGATGAAGGATATCAACACATTTGTTGACTTAGATCATGTCACTTGTTCCGTGCTGAAGAGCTTTCAGGGTTGCAACCAGTATGCAGAAATGTTGTTCCTATTGTCTGAATTGACCTGGAGGTGGTGCAATCCCACTTTTTGCTGACTTCCCTGCTTGGAAATTAAGAATATCCTATCCAAAGCTTTATGCCAATAAGTCCCTATTTCATCACTGATGGGCTGTGTGGCGTTCTGAATGTGTGCATTTCATCAGATCATCTCAGCCTCATTCATATTCAAGTCAATGACGTCAGTGGTTCATGTTTTCATATATTGTCACTATTTATTTTCAAGGTAGAAAATGTCTTCTTACCAAGGTAATACTATTTTTTTCACGAGTATTATTTGTGCAGATTGATCTTGAAACTTTCAAACTAAGGGTCATGGAACCTTGAATATTGTCATAATCTTTTTTAAAGTTCACATTATATTCTTCCAGGCCTGCTTTCCAACAAGACCTGACTGTAAAATGACATTTGATTTTGTTGTGATTTTTTGTGTGTGCTATTGTTGTCACAGAATGCATGTTCTAGACCAGGAAGATGGTGTACATATTCAGAAATAATTGCTATTTGTAAAATTCAGCCGTGCTTTGTAGATACCGGATGAAGTATTGATAAGACTGTATATATGAACTAAGCCTGTCTGTGTAAAATAATGTTTTTCTGTGCAAAGTGGTTGATCACCACTGTGATGAAGAGCTATGGTTCATTATTATCCTGCCAAATAAAATTCATGTCCAAATACATTGATGCTCTGTGTTATATTGAAAATTCTTTCGGGAAGCGAAGGTAGGTGGGATGACAGGGCTTAAAGTCTTAGTCTCTGAGTGCAGCTTGGAGGTAATATTAAAACCATCTCATTGAGTCTACGGACAGGGTGGAATGATACTTTTGATTATCAACTGTTCAAATGTTGACCATAGCTTTTTTCAGGAATGGGGCGGTGGGGTATCCTAATGGTTAAAGTGTTGGCTCGTCACGCCGAAGACCCGGGTTCGAAGCCCATTTCTGGAGTCCCATGCCGTGATGTTGCTGGAATATTGCTAAAAGTCGCGTAAAACCAAAGTCAGTCAGTTTTTCAGGAATAATGAGCTATCCTCATGTTGGGGTTTTCAGACACCTAAGAATATCAATTTAGAAATTATCGTTTCTTTATTGGTACAGACATTGGTACAGGTATGTATGAAATAATATGCTACTCTTTTATTTATTTTTTGCTTCTGAGATCAGAAATCAAAATTACTCATTTGTATAAGCTTTTCCGCTAAACAGAAAATTCACATGGATTTTGTTTGAAACTCTACATGACCTCATGATTGAGCTTCCACATTTACAAGGCTGACTTCTTCACTGCATATAACTCTTTGATGTGGAGCATCTGCCCATGAGGCTTGTGTTTCATTGACAATCATCAGTACACCCATTGTTGTTACATGTCATTAATGATTTTATTTAATGTGAACATCAGTGACGTATTGTGAGACATCCTGTTGGGACACAACAATTACACAGCTGGTACAGGATTTAAGCAGCTGGTTGTCGGCATGATGCCATCATTGTTTTGGAGATTCTATTATTTCTTAAGACAGATATTACTGTTAGTATTGAGTTGGGGGAAATAATAATTTTGCCTACCTACAATAGCAAATTTAATCAGCAAAAACATTTCAGAAGCCAATGGGTTTCATGTACAGTTGTGTTTGTTTTGTAACCCTACCGTTGGCAATATTCCACCTATATGGTGTCAGTCTTGACCAGACAATTCTTTGATCAACAGCATGAGCATCAATCTGCGCAATAGAAATATGTGTCAACCAAGTCGGTGAGCCTGACCACCTGATCCCATTAGTCGCCTCTTATGACAAGCCTGGGTTGCCAAAGACCAATTCTAATCCAGATCTTCACGGGTTGACCCGATACAAAATGTGGAACATTATCATAAATACATTGTACAACATACTCTTTAATCACCTGAAGTATACAGCTTTAACTTAAATTCCTCTGAAACAAATACATTTTTACTAACAACCTATATAACATACTTAAAGCTTGCATCTGAAATGTTAAATCCAGGGCATCCTAAACATTTAACTTTTAATGCTAGGCTTATAACAAGGACCCTAGACCTTCATGCCTTATTTAACGTTAATAGCTAATGCTCCAGACATCCATGTTAACTGACACTCTCATGATCATCCAAATTTAGACATAAACCAGTTGTGCACAGCTTGTGCAGGCAGACTTTAGGTCAGGATACACAAATTTATACCCACTTTCTAAAGTCCTTTTGGGCAACACTTTCTGCCCCTCCAAAATTATCTTGCCTCTTTCTTCCCCAAATACAAAATTCATGACGAAACCAGGCACTGGGAACAAGGCTGGCCTCCACATGGCCCGGGCAAAGGCTTTGGTAAAGTCACTGTTGGTGGCAGCTTCAGATGCCACTCCATTCAATACTCCTTCAACACTGGGATTCATTATTCCATGTGTAAACAGCCCAGCAATATCAGCAACATGTATCCATGGCAACCACTGGGATCCAGATCCTACCCTTCCTCCCACTCCCAGGAAGAAAGGAATAAACATCTGCTGAACCATTCCACCATCACGACCAAGGACCACACCTAGAATGAAGATAGAAAATGTTGATGACTACAAATACAGCGACATCGTTAAGATTCATGTCTTCATATCGTACACTCATCAATATTCCCATTACATGAGACTCCTCTGAAAATAATCAAGTCTGGACCAGACAATCGTTTTTCGAACATTTTACATTCTGAATAAAACACATCTTCACTTTCATGAGACCGTGCTTCTGATTGTCAGGATTCCCATGGTACTTGGTTTCTGATGGGGCGTTGGGGTAGCCTAGTGGTTAAGGCGTTTGCTTGTCACACTGAAGACTGGTTCGATTCCCCACATTGGTATAATGTGTGAAGCCCATTTCTGGTGCCCCCTCCATGATATTGCTGGAATATTGCTAAAAGCGGTGAAAACCCAACTCATTTGCTCACTTGGTTTCTGACACACATCCTTGTAATAACACTCTTCATTACCACATGAAGTTGAAGTCAACATGTCATGCAAATCTGAAAGGGATACATTCATTCAAAACACTGAGGTGTGCCCAAATGATGTCAGCACTATACTAGTCAAGCACAGTATTACAACAGCAGTTTGTGACAACAACCACTCCCTGACCTGATCTCACAGTGACTTGTCGGACATCGATGGAGTCGGGTAGTCTGGCAGCCGCCTCCCAGTCTGTCGTCAGTCGAGACAGGAAGTCGTAGTCACCTCCTGAGCTGTCCTCAGTGTACTCCGCGGTGGGACTTGGTGGGTAGTAGGCTGCAATCACAGTGCGTGAGTATGGTTTTAGGCCGCTTTTAGCAATATTCCAACAATAACACGGCAGGGGACACCAGAAATGGGCTTCACACATTGTACCCATGTGGGGAATCGAACCCGGGTCTTCGCCGTGACTAGCGAACGCTTTAACCACTAGGCTACCCCCCCCGTCCCCTCAATCACAGTGAGTACAGATAGTAAACATAATACCCAAGCATAGACCTTGGTTTCATAGACAGGCAGACTTGGCTAAAGTGTTATTTTCTTCTAAAAAGTTTTTTTTTTAAATTGTAATATTCTGAATTTCTGAGATATTACAACATAGTACTGTAACACTGCATGTACACCCATAAAGATTCGGGTTAAAATCGTCTTCAGTAACCCATGCTTGTCGTATGAGGCAACTAACGGCATCGGGTGGTCAGACTCGCTGACTTGGTTCACACATGTCATATCCCAATTGTGGAGATCGATGCTCGTGCTTTTGATCACTCTGCTTTTAAATCTCTGATAAAAACCCATCTGTTCACTGCTGCCTTTCTGTAAAACCCATATGAACTATTTCCTTCCCAATATTGTCACAGCGCCACTGAGCATATCTATGGTGGATATTAGGTGCTTTATAGATAAATCATTATTATTATTATTAATCTGACTGCAACACATTGATCACAAGTTGACATAACTTAACACTGTTGCTGCACTAAACTATTATCAGTCTTGATATACATAATGAAAAAAATTGTTCTATTCTCCATTCATACTGATCCAAAATACATCTGCTTGTAGAATCATGTGGGTTTCCATTCTGAACTTTATTGTACAGGTATACTTGCTGATAAAAATATGTTGACGACCATCCAACCTTCCACATTTATACTATAAGTCTGATAAGTACTGGTGGACTTACAGATGAATCAGGTCATCCTTATCATTTGTTGTGTAGTATTTTAGACAATGATCCGAGGAACCCTTAAGTGGCCTTCACACGGCAAACTAAAGTTTGACAACAAATGTTAAAATTTTAAAAGGTGTCAAACTCGCGTTTTTATACGTCAAACACGTGTTGTCAAACTTTCGTGTCATTTGAGCACCATGTCTCTACTGGTGCGGTCACTTGACAATTTTGTTGACTGTGATAGGTTGTTTCACCTCACACGTCAAACTTGAGTTTAACAACACCGAAAGTTTGATGGAAAAGTTGGTGAAAATAGAGACCAATCCTATTTCTCGATAACAGTTTGACAACTCTGAAATTGGTGTTGGTGGCAAGTTGTTGGAATGTTCACACTCTCAAACTTGAGTTTGGCAACATGTGTTGTCAAACTTTAGTTTGTCGTGTGAAAGCCGCTTTACTTAATAGCCACCTGCAGTACCTATGACTTTATGGATTTGTAAGGATTCATGATCATGTCAACTAAACTAAACCAGAGACCATATAATTAATAATTTGGTTTCGGACCAAGGTACATGTGACTACTGGATAACCTTTTTAACAATAGTATCACAATAGTTGTAAACTGACACTATAGCACTGATGCACTTGATAGTCCACCCATCACACTAGTCTCATTACGATTCACTCACGTAGTCGGTGAATCAAGCCACTACAATATCACTATTTTGGAACTAGTTTCTTGTTTATTTATGTGAGATATGCAAAATGGAATATATCCAAGTCATGTACACTCTCGTAACCTTGATTTGTGGATATAAGGGAAGTGCGGCGAAATTCATATATTAAATGCATGATTTCATTTTGTATACACACTGATTATATTATTCATTGATTCAGCAAATTGAAAATGCCTAATATTCCACTCGTGAATAAAACGTTTGTTTACGGAAGCCATTTACAATCATCACCCATTCATGTGCCCATAAAATGTGACGTCACCTTGTTTCGTGGATTACATAGTCGGTTACTTTATACCACTATGTACGACATCCCACTGCAGTAAGTACTGACACCAAGGAAACCAGACAACAAGAAGTGAGAAGGTTGGAGCAAACGGTATTGTTGTTGTTGTTTTTTCACATTGTACGTGCTTCTGCATAAAACTCATCATCACCCCCACCTTGCCATAAATTATGAACGGTCCCTAACCCCTATTGTCAAAGAAGGATCTCTATACTCACCCACTCCTGACATAGATACGAATACCTCCGGGAGCCTTGCTAGCGGCAGAGATGGCTGATGACAGTGCTTTGGTGGTGGAGATGCGGCTGTTATAAACCTCCTCCTTGAATTCAGGTGTCCATCTACAAAACATAAACCGATGTCAATACAGCTGTTTAGCACCAGGTTCAACAGTGATTTGGTTAAAGTGCTTTGGAGAAACAACTATTGTGACAGGACTGTCAAAATTATATCTTAACTTTGCAGAGTTTCTTATATTACTTTTCTGAACATTCTAAAGTATCTTACATGCCTTCCAACCTCTGTGTATATGAGAAAAATCAAGACAACATCTTGTGACAACTATAATCACACTGATAGTTCAACCATCTCTGTTGATTGTTCAACATCCCTTAATATTGTCTGACAAAATATTGCCCATATTTCCTTAGTACAGGCATTTCTACTGGTCTACATTCATCTATACCAACCAAAGATAACTGACAGTAACTGCTTTGGTGATCCATAACTGACTGAACAATCTGATACATTACAGTAAGGTGAGGTTTCACAACATAGAGCCTCACACCTCAAGAAGATTGTGCGATTTACTCACCTTCTCTTTGGGTTGAGAATATTTTCCCCCGCCATGCTGACAACGGCTGTACATCCTTCTGGCAGGCCATAGCGACTCAAGTCATTCTGAATAAAATTGTAAATGTAAACATCAATGTCTTACATGAAAATATATAGAACTAATTTCAAAAGACAATGTCTATACCAAATGTTTGTGAATATATTGTTATAACAGTCTTAGGAACCTGGACCCCGTTTCACAAAGCGTTCGTAACACTACGACTGATGTAACTCCTACAGTTTAACATAGACTTACGACAGTCGTAACGCTACATTATATCTTTGCGAAATGGGGCCCTGGGTTCTTAGTCATTGTTATTTCTAAATCCTGGTTAAACATATGTCCAATATTGTCACAGCACCACTGAGCATCTCTACAGTGGATGTTAGGTGCTTTATAGACCTTGAGTCTTCAAGCTGATTAGATAGTTCTGCAAAAGAACACTGAACAAAACTGTCATCCAACAACTATCACCCAATTCCTAGTCTAGTCTCTGTTGGGATCCAAGAATACAGGTCACCAGCAACCTATGTCAGACTGATCAGGTGGTCAGGCTCTGTGACTTGGTTGTATGCACGTCATTATAACCCAACTGAGCAGATCTGTGATTATAGGATGTATATATAGCGCACATATCCACGCAACTAGTGCATGCTCAAGGAGCTGGTATTTTTTCCCTCGATCATTGGATGTCAATCTCAACGGCACATCGTATTATCAATCCCAACTTGCTGGGGAGTATACAACTCTTGCTGCCACTAGGCGCACCGAGTTATTGTGGCTTTCTCATCCTACCGAGGTACCCATTCACAGCTGGGTGGACTGGGACACATATACAGTACTTTGTCCAAGTCCACTGCACGTTTGTTTTAAACACGAGTGAGTGAGTAATGCTAAAAGCTGTATCAGCAGTTTTGCAGACATTCGCAGCCTGTGTTAAACAAGACTGGCCCAATGGTAACAATCCTTGACTAGGATATTTATATATTTCATGGTCAGATTGTCACAAACACGAATTGACAATGGCCACTGAATCTTTGCTTACTGACTGATTAGCTTAATTACAGATCAAAGGAATGATCTGAATATTCAATATAACCTTACAATCCTGTGGACCTGAAGCTAACATGCAAACATGTTAAACGCATGAAACATCAACTTGCAGGGATGAAAACATTCATGTGTACAACCAGGCAGTCATAACTGTGCAAACCGGGCAGTCATAACTGTGCAAACCGGACAGTCTTAACTGTGCAAACTGGGCAGTCATAACTGTGTAAAACGGGCAGTCATAACTGTGCAAACCGGGCACTCATGACTGTGCAAACCAGGCAGTCATAACTGTGCAAACCAGGCAGTCATAACTGTGCAAACTATGCAGTCATAACTGTGCAAACAAGACAAAGTTTTACGCTAATCAAACTTGGCAAATGTCATTTCAAACAGGTTAGAAAGTAAGTAGATGTAATTTTGACAGTTACTATAACTTACCCAGGTGATTTTATCCGGGCCAGTCTGTCTTGACACAACAGTGACTTTGAAGCCATTTTCTACAAGAAGCCTGCTTAAATGTCGTCCAATGAAACCACTGCCGCCACCTGCATGGAGAAGTGGTTAACTTTACACACAGATCCAAACCAACAACAACCTCACTATCATGATAGGGCCTGGCAAATTCATTTTCTTGTTGTAAAGATTATTTAACTCTTGATGCCAGAGGTAAAATAATGATAAATATATCGATTAATAACATATTTTTTAGGACTGATTCAAGATTAAACAACTGAAACAAAATTGACTTCTATAAAATGAGTCTAGATTTTCAACAAATGTCCTCTTCATCTACCAACATATCAAATAAATGTTGTGAGGAAAACCCTATCTTCTGTAGGAAATGCAACTTTTCCGTGTGTGAGGCAGGAAAATGTTATTTCTTTCAACCCTCATCAACTAGATGTAGATACACTAAAGATCTGGTGGGACTCCTCATGGACTAGAAGACACAATGATACCTATTGTTGATAATTCCTAATAAATCATACTCTATCACATCATAGTGAGTATACACCAGAGGGACAGGTGGCATCTACTATCTCTAAATAGCTGGCAACAGTGACATAGGAACACATTAAACATGTATACACAGGGAAAAAAGGAAGTATATGGATAGTTATTTTGATTTAGATGCTAAATGGACATAAACAGACATAAAAGGCTTACAGACATAAAAAAAACACAACAGTTTGCTCTTACTGCTGTAAGTTATCACTATTCTTTGTGTGTTGACTTTCTACCCTGACAGAGGCAATGGACAAATAGAACCAATGAATTGGGCAAAGTGTGATGAATAGTATGCTATGGACTGGTATATATGAGTGAGTGAGTGAGTTTAGTTTTACGCCACACTCAGCAATATTCCAGCTCTATGGCAGTGGTCTGTAAATAATCGAGTCTGGACCAGACAATCCGGTGATCAACAGCATGAGCATCAATCTGCACAACTGGGAACCGAACACGTGTCAACCAAGCCATTGAGCCTGACCACCCGATCCCGTTAGTCGCCTCTTACGACAAGCATGGGTTACTGAAGGTTCATTCTAACCCGGGCCTCCATGGGTACTGGTATATTTGAAATTTTGCACTGTACAGTGACATTAACCAGGAAAGGTCAACCATAAAAATGTCCAACATGTTAAGTCAAGCTCCTGTCACCAAAGATTTATTCCAATGCAATGTAAATATCAAATTAACTCAGTCTTGTATTTGGACAGTGCAAACAGATTATAACTTAATATCTTTTGATTCCTATGTTAAAATAACACACTTTTAAGATATTGTTTGTTGAGGAACTTCATATGCACTATGCAGAATATAATTTAAAACAGACTATAGTATTCTAAGGTTGGCAATGGCACCCAAGGTCCTTGTTAGTTTGTTTTGCTGATTACACTGACTGAAGGGACATTACTGGCTGGTTGATGGATGACTGTGGAGACATTGGTGCCATCCTGGAGTTCGGTCAGGTCAGCTGGGGGAATCAAATAACAGTGATACACACGCACCATAGATCACCTAACTATGGTGTGGTCTGCACACACACAAAAAGTAGAATATATGTTTCTGATATAAACAGAGACAATGTAACATTTGGCGTCTGATTTAACTTACTTTCATAATCATAAGAAACTATATATTTGTTATTTAGAAACGTTCATTCTGATGTTTTATCGAGGCTTTTTATCTGACATGCCAAATAACTGACTGACTCGTATCGATAGGTGTATCATAAGACCGAATGTATCATCCAACTACATTTGTTTATCAAGCACCTGGTAAGGCTGGTGTGCATACACTGTGATTTACTGCTGATGTCAAGAATTAGTAAATTGTCACATATGATGAAATGCAAATGTCACATGCAGCATAATGTTAACATGCTTGCCAAAATATAAAGTTGCCATGACCCGACACATGCACTTTGGCCTAAAGCAGGAATTGTATTTCCAGTTTTGGACTTTAATATCCAAGGGCATTCGTAAATATCACTCCCTGTGTTGTTTCATACCATTGATAAACAAGGTATACTTACCAATTAGGACACTCATTGCTATCCACCAAATATCACCTTATGCAAGCGCACATTTCCATCGTCTGCATGACCGGCCTTGAAGTATTAGCGCTTCCGGGTCGCATGGAAAAGTATAAACCTAAAAACTATGTAGTATAACAAACAACCCTAATGTCAGAAATTACTCAACTTACTTTTATTTTATGATTTTTTCTTTTCTTTTCACGTTTTGAACTTCAGGCTTTGTCTTTATAACTAACGTCCGGTGTGAATGAGTACATATTTGCGTGGAACGTTTAAATTTCAATGGAGTAAAAGCTAGTTGTATTAATTCAACGTAAGTACGAAAACTTCCGGTTTAGACTCGGACGACATTTTGAGATCGACATTTGTGTTTTGTTTTATGTAAGTCTGTTATATTTGTTGTTGTTATCGTCATGCTTGTTCAGTCTTTATGACCTTTCACTTTCCACAAGAGGTGCACGAAATTATATCAGTGTGAGATATATTTTGATGTCGTTGACGTAAGATGTCGTTATCGGGATTGTTCCTAATGTTTTTCTGTTCCGTCTAGACGGGTCAAGCATTTACCGACCGGTACTGTCTCAGAAATAATTTTTGTTGTTCGGGAACAATATCCACGTATCTACCACATTATGACAATGATTTTAGTCGGTCAGTCGCGCTTTTTAAAGCGCTTCTGAACTCCACGGTTGCATTCTACCTCTACTTGTTCTAGAACATACGGCCGAACATACTCGTACGTAACCAGTGTTGTTTAATAGGTAGATAATACATGGTGGATGAAAATGTTATTTCAATGAACAGCATGCACCCCACCAGCACTGAGGTCATATAGCCCAAACGTTTGTTAAATGGATTTGTTTATATTAATCATAACAAGATAATTCATATATTTCTCTGATTCTGAACAATTTCACATCATATTTGTTTCTGTGACTGAAGCCATATGCATGATACAAATATCTCCTTTTGTTGTCGTTCATCATTTTATAATTGTTATGCTGAAATTTTTGTCCTTGCTGTTTTAAAATACACCACTTAAAACAATAGATATGATAACTGAAAATCAAGGTTCTGAGTTTCTACCTGATTTCTTCTTGTTTGTAACCAAACACACTTACTTTTAAGTTATAATAGATGGGACGAATGCAAACCTATTGGCATGCTCTCTCTCTATATACATGATATATCTACACCACTACAACTGCCACAGTGAGGTGTATGATGACAGCTTTCTCAACATGGTCAAAGTGACCAAATGGCCAGCTGTCTGTAGTGTTATGATAACACATTGACAGAAGGATAAATATGCCAGTGGAACTAGTTTTTCACATTTTAGGATATTTTGTCAATTAAAGTCAAACATTTCCTGACATATTTTGAACTAAATGTGTAGAGTTGTCCAAAATGAAATAGATGAGATGGACATGAATGGACTTTGTGAGGTGTGACAGGGCAGTAGATGACTGCAAGGAACACTAGGTACGGGGCTGACTGGCTTCATAAGACCAAGGCTTATTTATTTTGTATTATAGGCTTTGAAATACATTGGCTTATCATCTAATTGTCATCAATTAGTATTTTATAACTCATCCATAAGAAAAATTCACGAACTTTCTCCTCGGTTTGCCTCTTAAAAAAAACAAACATGACTGAAGCCAGTCCAGGGAGACTCTATAAGGGGAAGTGGTCTCCTCGAAAGCTGCAGCCTGTTTGAGTTGTCAGCTTCATTGTAGCCGGTTTATTTTCAACAGCACTTCATTTTAAGTCAAATACTTGTTATTAGTGTCAGTATAATTACAGTAGCTTTGTAGTAAAGTTTCAAGTGGGCATGTTGTAGCTCACTGGCTTCAATTCTCAGTACACAGCTTAAGAAAGACTAACTTATATCGCTAAAACTTCTTTCACATATTCGTTTAATTTTTTAGAAGGGAAATATACCTTTTGTTTAAAGGTGTTTGCAAGTAATAGTGATATTTTTATAACTAAAAAAATGTGTTAGGGTGTATTTGAGGTGTGTGAAAATATGACATATCACCCGATCTGCCATTGAAATACTACTACAAGCTTGTTTGAGTGTTTCTAGTTAGTGTTCAAAACATCTTTCACATACACCCTCAATTTTTATGAGGGAATATACCATCAGGTGAAAGGTGTTTGCAAATAATAGTAATAGTTTTATAATTTAAAAAAATTTGTTAGTGTGTATTTGAGGTGTGTGAAAAAATATGACATATCAGCGATCTGCCATTGAAATACTACAGAAGTTGTTTGAGTGTTTATTGTTCTAAAACATCTTTCACATACACCTTTAATTTTTATGAGGGGAATATACCATCAGGTGAAAGTTTTTTGCAAGTAATAGTGATAGTTTTTTGTTTTTTTGTTAGTGTGTATTTGAGGTGTGTGAAAAATATGACATATCGCCGATCTGTTCTGATCGCCATTGGTGCTTGTGATGCTTGAGTGTTATAGTTCTAAAACTTCTTTCTTTCTTGTTGATCTTAGTATTTGACAAAACTGGAAGGTGTTTGCAAGGCTTTGTGATAGTTCTTAACATTATGTTCTTGAGGGGTCTGTGACAGTGTCAGTTAACATTCTGTCAATGCCCATGTCATTCCACACATGCAATAAGATATCTGAATTAGTTACTAATGTAAAAAAAAATGTCTCAAAGTAGATTTTTATAAAAGGACAGCTGATGTTAACATGTGTTCTACCGATAGTTTTGGCGTTCTTTAACATGTTTGGGGAGGGATGGCAGTGGTGTATCATTTATTCTTTCATTCATTCACATATGTTCTTTTCTTTTTGTTCTTTTTCTTAATTTCTTTCATTCATTCACATAAAATTCTTGCTCTTAATTCATTCATTCATTCATTGTAAAATTCCGACCTTTTCAATACACTGGCTGAAGTACTGTTAAATGCAGCCCGAGTTTAGCTTGGGACGAACCAAGTCACTGTGTAATGCGTTGGAGCATGGCCGAGGCACTGCGTTAATTAGTACAAATGGTAAAGAAAGCAAGCCCGAGTGACCTATCCCTGTTGTAGATTGTACAGAGCTCTATTACTTTGGTGCAAGAATTGAATTGAACATGAACATTTTACAATTATAGACTGGTGATGAGGTCAATATCTGTTTTTATGGACCCGCGAAAAGCAATATTGACATAAAAACAGGTATTGACCAAATTCGCCAGTCTATAATTGTTTTATTATGTAATTACCGAAAAAAAGCTTCTAAAATCCAAAACATGTCAATTTAGTCAAGAAAAGTAATTTTATTTTCACTACAAACCGATAACGTTATGTTAACAATAATGTGACATGTAAACAATAAAATGACGTCATAGCTTGACGTGAATGGCGTCATAGCTTGACGTCATAGTAATTCAGGTCAATATGACTTTTGGTCGGACCTGGGTTGGAGTCAATATGATTTCTGTCGACGGTCACGTGACTGCCTCTAGACCAAAATATGCTTGTATAATAATAGATGTGATGTCACACTCATGTATCATTTTGAAATGCACAGAACTGTCAACCCACTGTCCCTTTAACATCTTTACACAATAAGAGTGGGCACCATGCAGGGGTGGAAATAACTTTAAAATTGCTAGTGTACTCCGGTACAGTGGCACATGTAAAACCACTTGCCCTGATAATTTTTCCACTGTACCGGCTATTTTCTTGTTGATTTTTTAAATAAACAACATAATTAACATTGGAATATCATTCTGGACACAGGTACAGTGTGATATACAAATTTGCTTGCCCGACAGAAAAAAACACTGGCGTCGGGCAATGGGTTATTTCCACCCCTGACCATGTGAAGTTACCCTCCCTTCTTGCAAAATAACTGTAGTGCAAATGTAGAAGTACAGTGATTTCCAGTCCAGTTTAAATGTCAACAAACATTTGCTCATAGATGTGGGGTCTTTTATACTGTGGAGATTTCTTTACATGTGAATATACCAGTTATCCTTTAACAATGCTATAAATCGGCATGTACTAATACAATAATGTACACAGAGATTGACTTAAATACAAAAACAAAATATAAATAAATTGTACTCAAACATACTGCTCAAATAATTTATGCAGAAAGATATGTACTATGGCACTGAACATGATTGCAACATGGAGATATACCCCAGGTCTTGAACAAATGTAAAAAATATAATGCCTACCCTGTAAGTAATACAAGGGTGTGATCTGAGCTGCCACACTTTTGGAGTGCTATAATCTTGGACTTGAAGGAGATGTAGACTAAATATAATTCAGTAATGCACATATACTTTTCACAATGATTCACGAGCATTATATATATCAAAATATGAGACAAACTATCAACAAAACCCTACCACGCATTCTCAAAATACAATATTACTTGCACACATCCATTCATTCAGAAGCGACAGAATATTTTGTCTCATATTACGCACATTTTGTTTACTGAAAGAGGCTATGTTAGCATATTGTATTATTTCTGTACAATACAATATATAGATAATGGCCAATTAACTTACTATATTTTTTATCCCAACTCGTCCCTTCGCTGACCTGAGCAGTTCTGTGATGTGCTGATGGATGTTTAGGTTGAACAAAGCATGGAGTATAACAATAGGTGTTAGCTTGGCCAATCAGTCTATTGAGCTTCTTGGTATGTTGAAATGCACAGAACTGTCAACCCACTGTCCCTTTAACATCTTTACACAATAAGAGTGGGCACCATGCAGGGGTGGAAATAACTTTAAAATTGCTAGTGTACTCCGGTACAGTGGCACATGTAAAACCACTTGCCCTGATAATTTTTCCACTGTACCGGCCATTTTCTTGTTGATTTTTTAAATAAACAACAATATTAACACTGGAATATCATTCTGGACACAGGTACAGTGTGATTTACAAATTTGCTTGCCGACAGAAAAAAACACTGGCGTCTGGCAATGGGTTATTTCCACCCCTGACCATGTGAAGTTACCCTCCCTTCTTGCAAAATAACTGTTGTGCAAATGTAGAAGTACAGTGATTTCCAGTCCAGTTTAAATGTCAACAAACATTTGCTCATAGATGTGGGGTCTTTTATACTGTGGAGATTTCCTTACATGTGAATATACCAGTTATCCTTTAACAATGCTATAAATCGGCATGTACTAATACAATAATGTACACAGAGATTGACTTAAATACAAAAACAAAATATAAATAAATTGTACTCAAACATACTGCTCAAATAATTTATGCAGAAAGATATGTACTATGGCACTGAACATGATTGCAAGATGGAGATATACCCCAGGTCTTGAACAAATGTAAAAAATATAATGCCTACCCTGTAAGTAATACAAGTGTGTGATCTCAGCTGCCACACTTTTGGAGTGCTATAATCTTGGACTTGAAGGAGATGTAGACTAAATATAATGCAGTAATGCACATATACTTTTCACAATGATTCATGAGCATTGTATATATCAAAATATGAGACAAACTATCAACAAAACCCTACCAAGCATTCTCAAAATACAATATTACTTGCTCACATCCATTCATTCAGAAGTGACAGAATATTGTGTCTCATATTACGCACATTTTGTTTACTGAAAGAGACTATGTTAGCATACTGTATTATTTCTGTACAATACAATATATAGATAATGGCCATTTAACTTACTTTATTTTTTATCCCAACTCATCCCTTTGCTGACCTGAGCAGTTCTGTGATGTGCTGATTGATGTTTAGGGTGAACAAAGCATGGAGTATAACAATAGGTGTTAGCTTGGCCAATCAATCTATTGAGCTTCTTGGTATGGGGCAATTAGAGAGTGACACAGAAGTACAGATATTGTGTGTTGTTGCTGACTGAAAAAAATGAACAAACTGACAACTAATTATTTATAAGAAATATATGTAAAATCTTTGCATTTTAAAAGAAACATATCTACAAAGAACTACATCGTTCACACAACTTTTTACAGGTTTTAATTGACTGGCCAGATATAGGGGTATGTGTCAAACAGGTTCAGTGTTTTAAATGTAATTATGCCATCCATATTACAGTCCGTTTGAGTAAGAAACGAACCGATGAATTCCAAATTTTAACATTGTACAAAATTGCCACATAAATATAAATAGTACATATGTTTATCATTTACTAATACCCAACAGCTTTCTTATATTCCGGAAACGGAACAGCCAGTCATGGCCGGGGACATCTCAAAATCTATTCCGGGAGACCTGTCGATTCCTCGTCCGTCGTAGTGTCATACTCACGACTTAAAAGGGATGACAAGTGGTGCCATAGTTGCCTGTTGTAAGCCATCCTGAGACCAGTAACCTTGCTCAATGACGTTAGCTACCTTGTTGACACAGTTTTGCCAAGTTTCAGTCGTGATTTTGTTAAGGGATTCAACCAAAACCTCTACGTCACGTAATCTAAAAGTTGTGTTTGATCTGGCAACATCTCCTTTGACAATACCCCATATCATTTCAATGGGGTTACGGTCACAGTGATAGGGTGGAAGTCGCAGAATATCGTGACCCTTACTTTTTATGTAACTGTCAACCTTGTAGAAAGGTTCACCTTTGTGGGTTTTTATGATCTCATATAGCTGAGGCTTCGTTGCCTTTGAGGGCGGTGGGGTAGCCTAATGGTTAAAGCATTCGCTCGTCACGCCGAAGACCCGGGTTCGAATCCCCACATGGGCACAATGTGTGAAGCCCATTTCTGGTGTCCCCCGCCGTGATGTTGCTGGAATATTGCTAAAAGCGGCGTAAAACCAAACTCAGTCAGTCAGTCTGTCGTTGCCTTTGAAGGCCGTGCGATCTGAAATTTGTCAAGCCATGATATCATATCATCTTTTCAACTGTACGATGTTGGGCCTTTACTGTCGGGGTCCTGCACGCTGTTGTATGTGGCATTGTTCATTACGATAAAAGACTTCTCTGGTAGAGCTTGTACCAACTTGTTTTTAACCCAATCGAGGAAAACCGCACCATTCATCTCGGAATGGTAGTCTCTGTTATCTGTGGACTTTGCCCTGAGTACCAAGTTGCAGCCTGGGAGAAAGCCTTTGCTGGAGCAACCAGCATGGAGAATGATTAGTCTTCCTCCTTTCCCTAGAGGCAGCTTTCTACGTGACCCCTTATCACCCCCATCGGGTACCCACTGGCTGCTGGCAGTGTGCGAGGCATTGACCCAGGTCTCGTCCAAGTACACTGGCTCGAACCCTTCCTCGCTTCTTCTTTATAACCCTGAGAAAATTATTTCTCAAGCTTAACCATATCAGGGCTGCTCACAGAGTACTGACCTATTCTCCCCCGAATTTTCTTATAACGATACCCGAAAGAGTGTAAGAGTCGCCAGAGTGTGTACTTTGATACTCTGAGGTTGTGTTCTTGCTTCAAATGCTTTTTTAAAATTTTCAGCAACATGCATTTGTTTTCAGAATTGAGCTTGTTGATAGACTGCCTTACAAGGTTTTTTTGAAAGTTGTCCAAATGTTTTAATTTGTGTGATTTTGACACGACCCCTACCTGCTTCGCATCACCCCCACAATGTTTGTGTTCCAGAACATTTGTCAGTACCCTTACTGATACTCCGAAAGCTTTTGCTGCCCGCATACGGAATTTATTAATGGCATAAAATGATTTGCCCCTTTCGGCTTCAGCACGGAAAAAAATTGTACACTTTAATTATCAACTGTTTCACGATTTTTCATCAGGCATGTGTATCCCGTTCACGACGAGATAGTGGCTGTTCCGTTTCTGCGGTTTCACCCCACTGCGACAGATCACAACTTTTCCGTTTTCAATGATGATAGTTTCTTAAACAACTTTTTTGGTGGAGTTCTGAAAATTTTCAAATATAAGAAAGCTGTTGGGTATTAGTAAATGATCAACATGTGTACTATTTATATTTATGTGGCAATTTTGTACAATGATCAAATTTGCAATACATCGGTTCGTTTCTGACTCAAACGGACTGTAATGGCACTTATTACAATTTATACAAGAACGCAATTATACATAAAACATTATTCAGTATAATTTAACGAAATGGTCCCAAACGCCCCATAATACTTCTGTCCTGGGCATTTTCTGTCAACATCCACATAATCCTGAAAATCTGATTGTTATGTTATTTAAAGAGATTACGGGGAGTCCCTTACATAGTATTATCAACCAAACCCCCAATTATACTTCCGTCCTTGGCATTTTCTGTCAACATCCACATAATCCTGAAAATCTGATTGTTCCGTTATTTAAAGAGATTATGGTAAGTCCCTTACATAGTATGATCAACCATGTTTTACAAACAATTTGATCCAGTCACAAATCAAGCTTAGAAGGTTTATTCTATGCCTAAATATATGAACATTCTGATGAATTCACAAGGGTTCAAATGTAACAAATGTTATATTTGGGATTACACTTTCTTAGTGGAGTACACAAAGAAAGTACTTGAATTCTTTCTTTACTTAGAAATTTTAATCCCAGATATTACATATGTTACATCTGTGTCAGAGTCCATGTCAGTTTGTTGATGTTCTGCAGCCTCTAGTGGAATGGGGTGGTGGGGTAGCCTAGTGGTTAAAACGTTGGCTCGTCACGCCAAAGACCCGGGTTCGAATCTCCACATGGGCACAATGTGTGAAGCCCATTTCTGGTGTCCCCCGCCGTTATGTTGCTGGAATATTGGTAAGAGCAGCGTAAAACCAAACTCAGTCAGTCAGTCAAACACTGGGATCCAATAACGCTAATATCAGCATGATCAGAGGTCTTGTTTCAAACTCACTATCAGGGTAAAATATGTTGTTGAAAGTATAGATCTTGCTTCTACAATTATTTATTTTTCTGTGTAGGAAAATGCCAGCCATCTTACTGGAGAGGATTCCTTTGCCTAGCCTGCAGACGTACACAGCCTTCAGTACAATTCTGTTGGCATGTGCACTCTTCTACACGCATCAGACGGTCACGTCCACTCCATTCGAAAGTCTGGAACATGAAGATGCAGCTCCAATCCAAACTGAGATCCCGGTAACAGAGAACCTGAGTGAAGATGATCCCGAGATCGTGATCTCTGACCCATGGAACACCACATTACCCTACGACTCCTACGAGTGGAACTTCCTGTTTGTCATGACAACTCAGGCATGGTGTGTTTGGGTGAGTTGTGAGAAAACTTTGGATAGATTTAGACACATACTGAACTTGTACAAGTTGGGGAACAATTTTCATTATGAGTACCGATTGCTCAAAGTCACACTTAAAAACTCTGTAAGAAGTTTTAGAGATTGTTACTTATACATTACAGTAGTAAGGACATCCCAATGCAGGTTACATCATAACAACCATTCACACACTTTGCTTGGTCTATGAAATGGCTAACATTAGTCAATAATATTGTGACTTTGGTAAGCTTTATTGCAGTTGCTTTCTTTTAATTACAATCTTCAGTTGAAGTGTTCAAAGTTAGAAATCTTTAAAAAGTAGGATTTTTACATTGATATAAAACACTGCAGTATTGTAAAACTCAAAGATACCCTCACCTTTACTTATTTCCAGCACCGTGAAATACAGTTGAATGTCAAGGTTGTTCCCAGTGTAAGTTTGGCAACATCCAGTAGTGATATTCCAAGTTGCATGTTTGTTGCAGACCCTGGTAAATACAGCCTATTGCTGCCTGATCCTCTTGGGCAAGCTCATTCAGCGCATGGTGTTTGGGGAACTCCGAGTCAGTGAACAACAGGTAACCAGTTGATTCAGGGAGTGCTAGTTGAGTGTTGATTATAGAGGTGTAAATGTTTTTAGAAATCAGTAGTGAGTGTTGGGTTGGAGCCCTGTCCATCTGCTCACCTCTATACCATAGACAGAAGCTAATTGACTTTCTGTCTGCTCAGCTCAATACCATTGACGGAAGCTAATTGACTTTCCCTCTGCTCAACTCTATACCATTGACAGAAGCTGACTTTCCGTCTGCTCATCTCTGTACCATTGACAGAAGCTAATTGACTTTACCGACTACGTTGTGTGAGGTCTCATTCTGGCAATGATACTGGAAGTTTGTCAGTGCATATGTGGAGGTTATGCCACTTTTTGTGGTTTTTTTTTTTTTTTTCATCTTTTTATTGATATCACTTTTACTACCGGTTTAAACTTAACAACTTTAATTAAGTGAGTCACTTCAGAGAAGAATAATTACAAAATTTTCCATATCCTGACTCATGCTAAATGCTTGTCTCCTTCTTCTTGCGAATGATAGTGGAACACTTGAAATCCCTTGAAGTTCCCTTCTAAAAAAAGCGGACGTAAAATCATCAATCTCCCACGGGTGGCCTCCCTTGCTCCTTTGGCGCCCTTTTAGGCACATGACCAGCCATGTTTTGTCACTCTCTCCTTCGCCCCTTGAGGATGGTTGTGGAAGCACTTGGGTCCCTATACGGCACATATTCTTTTCTATTTAGGACCTTTACATCAAAATAATTGCTGTATACAGCTTTTAGGGTTGTATTCTACTCGTGTTTACATTTGATGAAAACTTGTAATCGTTGTAGGTACCTGTTGTCTGCGGCTGACTGCGGTTGTCTGTCCTGATTGCACTACTTCATGTACTTTCAGCTCTCGCTGTAAACATTGTCTGAATTTAACCACTTTTGAATTCAATAACTAGCTTTTTTTCCATTCATAGACGTGCAAAGGACTGGGTAAGAAGGTATTCACAAGTCATGTCTAAAACGAGTGATTGCGCTGATAACCGTGTGTTAACTACTGCTGCCGATGTTCATAATTCCAGTGAACTGCCGAGCATTTTACGGGGGCAGGTCGCTGTTCCAGTGATGAACTCTTGAGCCAATAAGAGATCGTCGTCAACGGAGCTGTCCTCTTCGCAGACGAAGAAGACTAGATCGTCTTCAACGCAGAAGAAGAAGGCTAGTACCCATAAGACTTAATCGAAGTCTCTACACACCTCTACGCAGAAGACGAGATCCTTCTCTGCCGAGATTGTACCTCCGGAAGAAGCAGACGTGTATGATGATCCCCCCATCCTCATACCTGAAGTCACAGTCGTCAGCAAGAAGACGAAGCCTGCTTCTACAGTGACATCGGCAACTTTATCAGCGCAGACATTGACAGAAGACCTTCTATCAACGCAGACATTGGGTACCAGATATAGCAGCAGCATCAACTCTTCTCAAGTGCAGCGTACCTTAGAAGACACCTCATTGTTGTCAGAAGCATCATCAACCCTGCAGCAGTCTCTTCAGACATCACAGAACTTCAACCCGGGGCTGTTCATGCAACAGTTTACAGACCAGATGATGTTGATGATGGAACGTCGCTTCACGCAGGAGAAAGCTGCTACGAAGACCACTACGATGACTACTAGCCTGCGTGAATATTCTGCAGTCTCTCCAACGCACTTGGAAGAAGAGGGAAGCCTGCGTGAAGGCTCACGTACCTGACAATCTTCCCCATCTGAAGTTAGGAGCCTGCACAACGCTACAACGTCAGCTCAATCTAAGACGTCCCTGAAGGAGCCGCTAAGAATTCTCCACGCAGAAGGCGATCGCAGCATTCTCCCGAACCCTACAGACGTCGTAGATACGGGTCGTCATCACCATCGGACTCAGACGCACATCGGGAACCTGCACGCAGGCACTCCACATCTTACAGAGGGGAAACTACGTCTAAGTATCAACCTTTACGAAGGCCTAGAGAGAGATCTCAAGACTCCAGGAAGATACAGGATCACATCGGGATCGTTGACCTGCGCGCAATTCATCATACAGATCTTCACACAGAGACTCAAGTCGTCGTGGATCGTCAGAGTGGGAGATGTCTAAATCAGAGGAAGAAGGTGAAGTCATATTCTCAGATCCGGAAGTAACCTCATGGATTGGTAATGGCCTGGACCTAGCATCACCTTCCAAGGACACAGGCGAAGCGTTTACATACAAGATGTCCAACGATGATTTCGACACACTCACCTTTCCGCCTATCGACCCGATCTCCCAAGTACCGGACAGTCTCAGCTCAGCTTTTGATAAGGCTACCAAGTTACAGAATCAGCATATCACAACGTTCAACGCCAGGAAATTTCCCTTACATCACATGGAACCCTTCCTGAAGGCACCAGAGATTGATGAGGACTACAAGATCATCAACAACTCCCGCTATAGAACTAACAAGATAGAAGATAAGAAGCTAGCGTAACTGGATACGACTACTAGATGTACCTTCTTCGGACTAGCCAGGTCTAGGGCTATCAACGAAGCACTCATCTCGAAGTTCAAGAACTCCAACGATGAAGATGACCGGATGATATAGTCTGCGCTACTGACTCAGAATAAGGACCACTAATTTATGTCGGAGCATCTGGCATCCACATCAGCGGGCCTAACTCTCCTGAGGAGACAAAGATTATTGTCATCGTGCACCTGGAGTGAGCGGTTCACCAAGTCCTTATACAGAGCCCCATGGTCAGCATCATCAATCTTCGGAGGAGGAATTGAAGAAGTCGCCAAAGACGTTACACACGAATCAAGGGTGGTCATGATGATAAAGATACCTTGGCAAATGTGATTCGCCAGACGTCCCAGCACTACTTCAACAAATCCTAGTTTGCAGGAGTCCAGAGAGCCAGAGAAAAGAAGTATTCCAGCTCAAGAGGAGGAAGAGGTTCATTTCGTCGCCCAACCGGAGCCCCCAGAAGTAACCCCAGAAGAGGCCGAGCACCCAGGGGTACCAGGGGAACCAAGCGCTGAAGGACAGGTTTGGAACGACTGGAGTCTTCCACCCCCAGCCGTTCCTGTACAACCTTGGACAGTGGGTGGACGTCTTCAACGGTACTGGGAGAATTGGGGAATACTACAGGACGACTACGTATCCCAGATACTACGCAGAGGGTACCAGATACAGTTGGAAGCCACCCCGCCGCTTACAAGCAGCCCGCTGGCCTTCAACTATGCTGCCGACCAGACAGAGAAACTGGACGAAGCAATCAAGACTCTACTCGACAAAGATGCAGTAGAAGAGATGAATCAAGATCTCATCACACCCGGTTTTTATTCCCCAATTTCCTGGTACGGAAGAAGAATTCCAAGAGAAGTTTTGGTTCATCTATAACATGAGGAAGTTCAACCAGGAGTATGTCTGCAGACCAGCAAAATTCAAGATGATACATCTTCTTCAGCTCCGACATCTCGTTCGTCCATCAGAATACCTCGTCAGCATAGATCTACAAGATGCGTACCTCCACATCCCGATACATCCAGACTCAAGGAAATACCTAAGATTCCTTTTCAATGTTCATCACTTCCAGTGGAAGGTTCTACCGTTTGGAATATCGTCGGCCCTGGTTGTTTACTCGAGTGACCAAGCCCATCGTCACATATCTACATCGTCGAGGTCTACGCAGTGCTTTTTAACTGGAGGAGAGAATTCAAGTTCATCAAGATCCCAGTCAACTCAGACTGCAACTAGACTTCACCATCAGGCTTCTCACTCAGTTAGGATGGCTGGTAAATCTCCTCAAGTCGGAACTGGAGCCGAAACAGGATCTTCAATTTCGAGGAATACGACTCATCACGGCGGTGAATCGCATAGTCGTCCCAGAGGATCGTTGGGTCAAGATACAACATATGATATCTCAAGCAATGCTCTCTTCATTGACAATGCTTGGCAAAGCATGCTCGGTCTACTCACCTCAGCTCAAGACATGACTCGCAGAGGGAGATTACAGCTGCGCCCACTACAAATATTTGTGAACGCCCATCTCGACAGTCTGGATCTGCTGATACTACCGGACAGCCTGAAACCATACCTCTTATGGTGGGCTCGGAAGTTGAATGTTTGCGAAGGAACCTTTATGTCAGAGCCGGTTTGCAACACTCATCTCTACGTGGATGCATTGCTACAAGGATGGGGTGCCCACCTCGACAATGAAGTGGCAGCAGGGAAGTGGTCGAGTCAGGATCAGAGTCTGCACATCAACCTGTTGGAGATGAAAGCAGTGATCAACACTTTACATGCCACATTCCAGGAGCAAAGAATGTCATAGCAGACGCCCTATCTCGTCCACTACAACCATCCCCGATGGAATGGATGTTACACCCAGAAGCGTTCCGGTTCGTCATACAGACAATAGGATCTCCACTGATAGACCTGTTTGCAACAAAATTCAACAAGCAACTACCAACATTCGTCTCACCAATTCCAGATCCTCAGGCATGGGCAAAAGACGCTTTAAGCATCTCATGGGAAGGATTAAACGCTTATGCATTTCCACCTCCAGCACTACTACCACAAGTAATACAAAAAATCAAGCAGACGACAACGCTGCAACTGATTTTGGTCGCGCCCCATTGGCCAGCGAGGGTATGGTTTCCCATCTTCATACAAGAACTCGGAAGTCCAACCCTGAAACTACCAGAGTGGTCGAACCTGCTCGTCCATCCACACAGCAAGCAAGCTCTCGGGAATCCGGCATTATTCCAGCTACATGTGTGGAGCGTATCTAAGCTTGCCTGAAGACTAGAGGGTACTCCACCAGAGCAGTGAAAGCAGTGACACTAGCTCTACGCATATCAACTTGCAACTTGTACGACGACAAGTGGCAGAGATTTGAACAGTATGCAACGAGGAAAGCCTTTACAGCGGTAAAGGCAACCCATCCTCAAGTGGCGGAATACCTGTGTCATTTGCGACAGACGAGACACTTAAAAGGTTCAACACTGTCAACGTACCTGGCTGCTCTCAGCACAGTTATCACCATGAAAATGGGTGTTAAGCTGACCGAAGTACCAGAGATACTGGCACTACTACTCTCATTCAAGTTGGAAGACCAACAACAGAAATTCAAGGCTCCTGCCTGGGATCTCAACGTAGTTCTACAACATCTCACCAGTGACGCCTACGAGCCTCTAGAACGGACATCCTTTGAACTACTGACAAAGATTACGCTGTTCCTGATCGCCCTAGCAACAGCAGCGCGGATGTCAGAAATACATCCTCTGGACTTTGAACGAAAACGATTTGAATCAAGACATCGTGACATCGTAAATCTAAGACTGAGATGGGACTTTATTGCCAAGAACCAACTGCCCGGCCAGCCTCACAGACAGTTCCACATCCCAGCAATCTCTACAGTCCTTGGGCCACAGGATACACAGCATCTATCCTTATGCCCTGTCAGAGCACTAAAAGTCTACCTAAAAAGGACAAAAACAAGGAGACGAAAATTCAAGCGCCTATTCATCCCGTTAGCCACTGAGACGCCCACGGAAGTCTCACAGACAACGATATCGATCTGCATGAGAGCCACTATACTAAGGGCCTACAATCCCCACGAAGTCAGAGCCCTGGCATCTACACTTGCTCTGCATGGAAACTGCTCGATTACATCAATAATGGAGGGCTGCTTTTGGAAATCAGACACGGTGTTTGTCAACCACTACCTCAGAGACATAGCCACCGAAGACGTCTCAGGCATTCACCAGTTTGGGCCACTTGTTGTAGCACAGCAACTAACAGTTCCACAAAGGCGCTGAGAAAAATCTCACCCTTTTATCACGTGACTTGTGAAAACCAACGCTCTGGAGAGCAAATGGTTAAAGTCCATGCACACGTCTTGCGTGCATCAAGAGATGAAGTTTCAATAGATAACTAATGGAACATAAATATATCTAAAACCCACACAAAAATGTCGAGAAGTTTCTGAAGAAATCTGACAAGTTGTGGTTCCCCCCAGACTCATTAGAGAGAAGTAGAAAGAACAGAATCATCAGCAGTGCCGTCATAAGTTCCCATGGGGGGTAATACAGGACGTAAATTAACAGCCAGTGAATCCAGAAGTGGCCTGTCCCACCACTGATTCCGACGGATTCTGCAAGCATTTAGCATGAGTCAGGATAAGGAAAAATTTTCTGACTAAAATTGATATTTTATACTTATCCTGACTCATGAGGTCAGCCCTCCCAACCTCCCCTCTCATGGCACTCTGGATTTCCCTGTAAATCCGGGTGTCAGGCATTCATGCGGAGAGAGTGACAAAACATGGCTGGTCATGTGACGAAAAGGACGCCAAAGGGGCAGGGGAGGTCACTCGTGGGTGAGTCATGATTTTACGAAGGGAACTTCAAGGGATTTCAAGTGTTCCACTATCATTTGCAAGAAGAAGGAGACAAGCATTTAGCATGAGTCAGGATAAGTATAAAATATAAATTTTAGTCAGAAAATTACATAAATACTCCCTATTCACATCCTTTCTTTTATACAATTAATTAATGTGAGGGACCTATGTCCTAATAAGTACTAGTATCTACACTGTTGGACAAGCAAGTAGTATTATCAATTTAGAAAGACATTTATGATCAATCATTTCTGTTTGACTATTTATTGCTTTCCTTTCATTTTGCTCAGCACCTGAAGGACAAATTCTGGAACTTTGTGTTCTACAAGTTCATCTTCATCTTTGGTGTGATGAACGTTCAGACGATGGAGGAGGTTGTGCTGTGGGTGGCTTGGTTCTCCGTCCTTGGCTTCTTCCACCTCCTCACACAGCTCTGCAAGGACAGGTTCGAATACGTGAGTACACTTTATACATGCTTGGCTTATCATGGCTTTCCTGGACATGAAATGGTGTCTCAGATATTCATGCCAACTGTGAATGGAATCACCTTCATTGCTGGTCATCTGAGACACCAAAAGAGTATGGCTGTGCTATAAAATTTCCAAGTCCTTCCAATGTACATTTGACTATTGCTTATGTTTGCAGTTGTCATTCTCCCCAACCACGGCCCGGTACTCCCACGTGAAGCTCCTCAGTCTGCTATGGGTGATCCTGGTATCGTGTGGAGGCCTGCTCCTCGTGTGTGTCTATGTCGGACTGCAAGTTGGACTGACTATACTGGCCTTCATGGCGGCTGAGGTGAGTTTGGGACACTTCAACCCCAGGGGTCTGGTGGTTGAGTCTCATGGCAGCTTTATGTATCATACTAGAGACCTAGGTTTAATTCACCAAATTGTACAATTCATGTATCATATTCTTGGTGTTCCTCATAATAATAAAATGAATCAATTTCTTGTATCCTATGGTTATCCATAGCTCACTAACAAGGAAAAGGATTGGGAGGCTGATTCTGTTGTAACATTGCTGCATTCGTCAACCTTCACTCTAGTGATCTCAAGCTTTGAAATGATTGACTTACTTCCATATTTCAACTGATCTGGATCTTGGATAAAATAGAGAACTAACTTGGCTGAAGTGGCTGTTGCACTGTGGTATGCCACTTATTTTAAGAGGTTTTAAAGTGCAGTGTGTTAGTTTAGTTTTGCGCCGTTTTTAGCAATATTCTAGCAATATCAGAGCAGGGATACCTGAAATAGGTTTCACACATTGTGCCATTGTAGGGAATCAAACCGGGTCTTCAGTGTGACAAGCAAATGCTTTAACCACAATGCTACCCCACCGTATGTCTGAATGGATTTTTCCTGCATTATTTCTTGTCTTGTTCCTTTGTAGTGCTTGCTGCTTGGAATCAGGGCTCTGTATGTGGTTGTGAGGTAAGTAGCATGTCACAACTATCACTCAGGTGGTGAAAACTGATATAAATGTAAACCGGTATATATCTCACAATCACGCCAAGACATTTAAGAAAATATATCTCTTTTGTAAAGATAGTTGAGCATTATTGAAGTAATCTACTTTTTCCAGCCAGGTTAACTGTCTAAACTTTCTAACCATGCCATTATTTGACCTGTTTTCTGATATGATTTAGTTCAACCTATTAATAATAAGAAGCTTTCTGGGTGAAAATGTCAATGCAAGGAAATTAAAGTATAGTTTTATAGGGTACATTCTGTTTGTCCATAGACAATAAAAGTACAGAGATTTCTGTCTGCCCAGAACTCAAACGTACCAGGTACCAGGCATGTTGGGCCCGGTGTGCCCTCATCCTTGTGAAACAGTTTTTATCAACTATGAAGTTATTCATCATGTCTTCTGATAAAATCAAGTCTAGCACTGTCAGTGACCATGCACAATGATGCCATGTGATTGTGTGTTAGGTACATCATCCACCTGTGGGACATGAGCAAGGAGGGTGTGTGGGAGAACAGATCCATGTATGTGTACTATGCGGAACTCGTCTTTGAATTGGCCGCCCTCTCCATCGACTTCTGTCATCATTTACACATGCTGGTGAGTGTCTTTTTATCATTTTGTTGTCTGTGGTCTATCTGCTTAGAAGGTGACTTGTGTCAAGTGTTCAGACCAAGCTTCATCCTGTTTATTACAATGATAGAGCTGTTAGGTCAGTGACCTGCCAGAATTGTCAACATTAGGTATTCTGTAACATGTAACTGGAATACTGTTCAAGACAGAATTTAAACAAAACCCATCACTCCTTTGAGAAGATTGACAGTAAAAGTTCCAAGCTTGCCCAGTTCAGATTGGTGTTCATTGCAATTAGATTTAACACAGCCGACAAGCAGGGAAGTGCAATTATCAGCTGTGAGAGAGTGAGTTTAGTTTGATGCCGCTTTTAGCAATATTCCAGCAATATCACAGCTGGGGACACCAGAAATGGGCTTCACGCATTGTACCCATGTGGGGAATCGAACCCGGTCTTCATGGAAACACTATGCTACCCCAATCGCCCCAGCTGTGACTGGGTTAGTGGGAAACTACCCTGATTGTTGGTCAAGGAAGTGATTGAAGTGTAGTTTTAGTACATCACTGCAGCCTGTAATTATACTCATGGAAACAAATAAGGGAACACATGAAAGTCCACGTGTTCCCTTATTCTTTTCCAGGTTTCTTCACAAGGTATGTATTGCACTGTGAGTGAAATTCTGGAAAAGAATATAGGAACACTTGTACTTTTATGTGTTTAATTATGTGTTTCTATGAGTATACTCAAATCAACAGAAGGCAAACCAGTGGCCAAATGCATGAACACCAGTTTATGATGTCATAGTATAAAATCTGCTTGGGCATGTTAATAGTCACACAATGGGGCTGAGTGTTGATTTATGCCCCAGTCAGCAATATTCATGATACAAACCCAGTGGATGACAGCATGAGCAACAGATAACTCCATCTGAATCTGATATACAAACAGCCAGGTCACATGATAAAGGGCTGATCCTCAAGGTTCAAATAGGTCTGATGGTATAGAATATACAAACATTGCTAAAAATTTAAAATGTCCTATGTCTTGTCGTCAGCAAAATCTCTGTGTTGGACATTATGCAGGAAATCATTCATTGGTTTGCCTTTCCAAGACTTGAATATAAGAGACAGATGTGATATAACTGGAATAATGGCTAACCACTGTAGTGGGATAAGAAGCACTGGAGTCTGATAACCTTGTATGATTGTGGTGTGTGTTTCTGCCGGCAGCTGTGGGGAAACATCTTCCTGAGCATGGCCAGTCTGGTGATCTGCATGCAGCTACGCTACCTGTTCTATGAGTTCCAGAGACGGGTGAAGAGACACAAGAACTACCTACGTGTCGTCAAGAACATGGAGGCCAGGTTAGTAGAATGAGTAGATGGTGTGGACATTCTTAAACAGATGGAGTACATAAGATTTTAATTCAAGTTAAAACCATACAAAATATTTCACACAGATTTGAAGAGGATTCCAGCTTAATAAGTGCAATTTGTTCTGCTAAACGTAAACTTATCAGTAGGATTATCCTTGATTATTGTGACTGACATGAGGGCTGAGTGTCTCATGGGAACTGTTCTGTGTTAGGTTCCCCATGGCAACACAGGAAGACCTGGAGCAGAACAATGACGACTGTGCCATCTGCTGGGAGAGGATGGAGTCGGCCAGGAAGCTGCCCTGCGGCCATCTGTTCCACAAGTAAGTCCTGATATAATGAGGGCTGATTAGCGGGGACATTTTACTCATGCTTCAAAACTTCTGACCCTTCTCTCATACTTCTGATACTATTGCACTTGTGTGAAACTCTTTCCAGTTGTGGGTGGTGGGGTAGCCTAATGGTTAAAGCGTTGGCTCGTCATGCCGAAGACCCTGGTTCAAATCCCCACATGGGCACAATGTGTGAAGCCCATTTCTGGTGTCCCCCGCCCTGATGTTGCTGGAATATTGCTAAAAGCGGCGTAAAACCAAACTCAGTCAGTCAGTCAGTCTTTCCAGTTGTGTTGTAATAGTATAGAAGTACCTTCACCTTCCAGTGTAGCAATGTGAAGTGAGAATGTGATTTGGGCACCATGTTTGAGATCCAGCAGAGGTTGTTCAGGAATTTAGGGAGGTACTTCGGCATATTTTCTGATTATGAACATATTCTGAAACATACCTGTTTAAACATGGTGTCCTTTGGGCAGAAACAGATATCTGTGATATGTTAAGTAAGGCAGCTGACTTTGTGTGCTGCGATTAGGTGCCTGACCCTGGGGGTGTGGGTTTGAATCCCGTATGGGACTCAACCCAACAAAGCTACTAGAATCTGTACTTTACTGAGAACGTATAATCCCAAATATAACATGTTACATTTGACCACTTTCTAAATGGCATTGTGTATTCATCTGTGATATAGCTGACAGATATCCATCATTTAGCGAGGTGGTGGGGTAGCCTAGTGGTTAAAGCGTTCACTCGTCACGCCGAAGACCTGGGTTCCATTCCCCACATGGGTACTATGTGTGTCCCCGCCATGATGTTGCTGGAATATTGCTAAAAGTGGTGTAAAACCATACTCACTCACTCGCCCATCATACAGGTGACAGATATCTGCTAAACAATTTGGAAATATCCATGATATATATGTGACACAGCTGTGACACAGCGATGGCGCTGTCAAATACCTATGGTATATCAGGGAGATATCCATAATAAATCTGAAGGATATCCCTGAAACAACAGAGATGGCAATAATATATCAGCAAGATATCCATGATACAGCAGAGATGGCAATAATATATCAGCAAGATATCCATGATACAGCAGAGATGGCAATAATATATCAGCAAGATATCCATGATACAGCAGAGATGGCAATAATATATCAGCAAGATATCCATGATACAGCAGAGATGGCAATAATATATCAGCAAGATATCCATGAAACAACAGAGATGGCAATAATATATCATCAAGATATCCATGATACAGCAAGATATCCCAAGATAACAGCAGAGATGGCAATAATATATCAGCAAGATATCCATGATACAGCAGAATGGCAATAATATATCAATAATATATCAAGATATCCATGATACAGCAGAGATGGCAATAATACATCAGCAAGATGGCAATAATATATCAGCAAGATATCCATGATACAGCAGAGATGGCAATAATATATCAGCAAGATATCCATGATACAGCAGAGATGGCAATAATATATCAGCAAGATATCCATGATACAGTAGAGATATAATGATATAATGGTTATGCACTGTTCTGTTTGTAGTTCCTGTTTACGATCCTGGCTGGAACAAGACACTTCTTGTCCAACCTGTCGCATGCCACTGAGTGACAGTCCACGTGAGAGACAAAACGTGCCACAAGGGGTGCCCCCTGAAACAGGGAATACTGGGGCACCACCAGCGCCACCAGCCAACCAGGCAACCACGAATCACTTCTTTCATTTTGATGGTAAGCAGGCCTGAATGAGGTAGTGATGCAGATGTTTGATTCCTTGACATGGTTACGTTATAGATTTAGCTTCAAGTCTAGCCTAGTGGTTAAAGCATTCGTTTGTCGTGCTGAAAATCCAAGTACAATGTGTGTAGTCCATTTCTGGTGTCCCCTGTCATGATATTGTTGGAATATTGCTAAAGCGACATAACACTAAACTCAAGATAATTGGAGGAGAGAAAATTGGCATACAAAAGTTGTTGTTTTTTTCCAACATGTTGGTTTCGCTTATCAGCAGTTAGTGCTGAAAATTTTTTGGTTCTTTGCAAGGAAGCTTTTCTCGGCTATAAAAATGTTTTTGTTGTTTCAGCATCTCGCTATGTGAGCTGGTTGCCGAAGTTTCTCGGTGGAGGTGACTCACACCAACCTGTTGCCAGGACAACAGCAGGCACGGGTGTCCCCCACCTCCCAGCTAGATAACATGGTGAGTAAGAAATCAGAGGTAATCTGTTTTGATACATTGTCAACACAGACTGAATGAGCCAGACAGTCAGATTTGTTGACTTGGCTGATCAGTAGTTTGGTAATGTTACTCATGTTGTCAGTCACTGGTTTGTCTGGTCCAGACTCAGTGATGTACAGGCTGCCATGATATAGCTGGAATAATGCTGACTGTATTAAACAAGAAGAGGAAAGAAAAAATGATGAAAAAAGACTATGAAAACAAATTGTTATGGTTTCAAGTATTCAGCATTGTTAGACATTGTTAGATGTTTCTGTCCTTGTTTTGGGGCAATGGGGTACCCCAGTGGTTAAGGTGTTTGCTCGTCACGCTGAAAACCCGGGTTCAATTCCCCACATAGGTACAATGTGTGAAGCCCATTTTTGGTGTCCCCTGCTGTGATAATGCTGGAATATTGCTAGAGGCGGTGTAAAACTAAACTCACTGTCCTTGTTTCAGGCTAGGCAGGTGCAAGCAGTATTTCCTAACATGCCTCTGGCTACCATTGTGGATGATTTAGGAGCTACTCGGTCAGTGAACCTGACCATAGACAACATTCTGGAGGGAAGACTTGTAGCTCCACCAGTGAGTATTGCCATCTTAGTTCTTGCAGTGAACATGCAGCTTACCCAGTGGAGTAAGGCGCTGTATCTTACTGTGCATGGGTGCCGTTGTACAAAGCGATCTTAGTGCTAAGATGATCATACCTCCCATTAACATGGTGTTTTTCTGTCGGGCTACTGTACCGGTGTCCATTGACTCAGGTTGCTTCCTCACCAGTACAGCACCCAGATTTGCAGAGTTGCTTTTCATGAGAGTTTGAATCCCAGTTTCTCCCCTGATTATGATCCTTGGGTTGTCAGCACTATACCACTTCTTTATGTGTCACCATAGTGCTGATGATCCTTGGGTTGTCAGCACTATACCACTTCTTTATGTGTCACCATAGTGGTGATGATCCTTGGGTTGTCAGCACTATACCACTTCTTTATGTGTCACCATAGTGGTGATGATCCTTGGGTTGTCAGCACTATACCACTTCTTTATGTGTCACCATAGTGCTGATGATCCTTGGGTTGTCAGCACTATACCACTACTTTATGTGTCACCATAGTGCTGATGATCCTTGGGTTGTCATAGTGGTGATGATCCTTGGGTTGTCAGCACTATACCACTTCTTTATGTGTCACCATAGTGCTGATGATCCTTGGGTTGTCAGCACTATACCACTACTTTATGTGTCACCATAGTGCTGATGATCCTTGGGTTGTCAGCACTATACCACTACTTTATGTGTCACCATAGTGCTGATGATCCTTGGGTTGTCAGCACTATACCACTACTTTATGTCACCATAGTGCTGATGATCCTGGGGTTGTCGGTCAGCACTATACCACTTCTTTATGTGTCACCATAGTGCTGATGATCCTTGGGTTGTCAGCACTATACCACTTTCTTTATGTGTCACCATAGTGGTGATGATCCTTGGTTGTCAGCACTATACCACTTCTTTATGTGTCACCATAGTGCTGATGATCCTTGGGTTGTCAGCACTATACCACTTCTTTATGTGTCACCATAGTGCTGATGATCCTTGGGTTGTCAGCACTATACCACTTCTTTATGTGTCACCATAGTGCTGATGATCCTTGGGTTGTCAGCACTATACCACTTCTTTATGTGTCACCATAGTGGTGATGATCCTTGGGTTGTCAGCACTATACCACTTCTTTATGTGTCACCATAGTGTTGATGATCGCTGTTGTCAGCACTATACCAATTCTTTATGTGTCACCATAGTGCTGATGATCCTGGGTTGTCAGCACTATACCACTCTTTATGTGTCACCATAAGTGCTGATGATCCTTGGTTGTCAGCACTATACCACTTCTTTATGTGTCACCATAGTGCTGATGATCCTTGGGTTGTCAGCACTATACCACTTCTTTATGTGTCACCATAGTGCTGATGATCCTTGGGTTGTCGATGCACTATACCACTTCTTTATGTGTCACCATAGTGCTGATGATCCTTGGGTTGTCAGCACTATACCACTTCTTTATGTGTCACCATAGTGCTGATGATCCTTGGGTTGTCAGCACTATACCACTACTATGTGTCACCATAGGTGCTGATGATCCTTGGGTTGTCATAGTGGTGATGATCCTTGGTTGTCAGCACTATACCACTTCTTTATGTCACCATAGTGCTGATGATCCTTGGGTTGTCAGCACTATACCACCACTTTATGCAGTGTCACCATAGTGCTGATGATCCTTGGGTTGTCAGCACTATACCACTACTTTATGTGTCACCATAGTGCTGATGATCCTTGGGTTGTCAGCACTATACCACTACATATGTGTCACCATAGTGCTGATGATCCTTGGGTTGTTGTCAGCACTATACCACTTTCTTTATGTGTCACCATAGTGGTGATGATCCTTGGGTTGTCAGCACTATACCACTTCTTTATGTGTCACCATAGTGTTGATGATCCTTGGGTTGTCAGCACTATACCACTTCTTTATGTGTCACCATAGTGTTGATGATCCTTGGGTTGTCAGCACTATACTACTTCTTTATGTGTCACCATAGTGGTGATGACCTTTGTCACAGTCGTGACAGTTGTAACAGCACCATTTCCATGTATGTTTCCACTGTACTTGTAAAGGGGCGGTGGGGTAGCCTAATGGTTAAAGCGTCGGCTCGTTACGCTGTCGACCCGGGTTCGAATCCCCACTTTGGCACAATGTGTGAAGTCCATTTCTGGTGTCCCCGACCGTGAGATTGCTGGAATATTGCTAAATGCGGCGTAAAACCATACTCACTCACTCACTCACTGTACTTGTAAATGTTCATGAAATTTGTCACATCGGATGTCTATGACATTTGTTAACCCATGCTTGTCGTAAGAGGCGACTAACGGGATCGGGGTGGTCAGGCTCGCTGACTTGGTTGACACATGTCATCGGTTCCCAACTGCTGTTGATCACTGGATTGTCTGGTCCAGACTCGATTATTTACAGACTGCCGCCATATAGCTGGGATATTGCTGAGTGCGGCATAAAACTAAACTCACTCACTGTGACATTTGTTGCATGATATAACGCAGTTGACAAACACTGTTCAAAGCGACACTGTAACAGCACCTCTCTTCAACTACCATTGATGTGTTTCATATTGTAGTTACACATATAGTGAAACACCTTCAAAATTATCAGAGCATGTGATTGTGCGAATCCTAATATAATTATAACAAATAATTTGAATAATCCATGTAGCATCCATGAGCCACTCTTGCAATAAACTAGATATGTGGTAGATGAACAGAATACACTTATATATCCTTGTGGTTTATTTAATAGCATTATTAATGTACATTTGTGTTTTTCAGACACCAGTACTTGCCAACAGGCCCAGTGTTGACAATGACACCGATGATGAACAGAATATGCAGGTATGAGCAAAATGTATATTGGGCATTTTGAGCATAAATATGGTTGCTTCTTTTCTTACCCGTACTGTTATCAGAGATTTTGTATGATTATGGAAAGTGTTTTCTGGCTTTATTCATCCTTGTTTGTCTTATACAGTCTACATATGTGTACGTATGCCATGTCTTTTAGCAGATAGCTGTGCCGTCCACAGTGTCTCGGACAGGGCTCATGGGATTGAGGGCTGCATTGGCTGACACCCATCAGTTAGTTGAGGATAACTTGGACAGACAGCCAGGCCCCCTGTTGGCTCAGGCTGAGGCCATAGTTAATAACTCTGGGGACTTTAGACACAGGTAGGTGATGGATAGTACCGTGAAGCTGAACCAATACAAATACATGTAGGTGCTGAAATGTTCAATACTGTAGCTAGGAATATTCCAGCTGTATCACATCCACCTGTCAGTCATTAGGGAGGAGACATTACCTGATGTTTGTTTCAGTGACGAGGTGCCGGGATCGAGCCCACCTGTGACCGAGTGTAAAAACCTGGAAGTCAACTTTGTGTGCAGACTCTTTCAGTGTTGTCACAACCCCTAGTGTACAGTACACAACCCTGAACCCACGAATCTGTTGGTAAATACCACCATATAGCTGGAATATTGCTGAGTGCAGTGTAAAACTAAACTCACTCACTGTTGGTAAATGACCAGATGGTGGCCACATAAATAAGTGCAAACACCTAGTGAGTGAGTCAGTATGGTTTTATGCTGCTTTTAGAAATATTCCAGCAATATCATGGCGGGAGACACCAGAAATTGGCTTCACACATTGTACCCATGTGGGGAATCGAACCCGGGTCTACAGCGTAATGACTGAACGCTTTAACCATTAGGGTACCCCACAGACACCTATGTACGCATATTGCAATGTGCAGTAAAACTTGGACGAAGTACTGTGACTATGTGTCCCATAGTTGTGTTGTGAATAATGGTGACCTCAATGATCGAGAGCGATCGTGTGGAAAATAGCATTCAGAATTGTTCGAGTTTTCGAAGTAAAAGCTCAAATAGTTAAGTGCGAATAATAACTTTCGCGATTTGGTAAGCTGTGATTGGTCAATTCAAAAGGTTAGCTGATGCGACCTTCTACTAGGGTTTGTTACACACAGTATATCACTGTAACGAATAATACTGAGCCTATTAGGCTGGTTATGCCAAGTACTTCATGCTGGATGTTGTATGACATGTTTCAGTGAGGTGTTGTATGACATGTTTCAGTGAGGATGTACCATCACCATTAGGAGGAAGGTTTTCCAAATCTGCATCTGAGAGAATGTCAATGTTAGAACACAGAAAAACATCCATGGTTGATCAAGCCAGAAGGTAAGCCTTCTCTAGTTCAAGGATGATTTACAAACACATCATTAAAAGGACATTATTATAAGGGTAATGCTATTTTTGAGGGCATTATCATTTGCAGAAGCCCGAGGTCTTCCATTAACTGCCCGACGAAGGAGAGCAGTTGAAAAAGACCGAGGGCTTCTGCAAATGATAATGCCCTCAAAAATAGCATTTAGTTATTATTGCTAAAATACATGGAATTTGTGTTGAAAAGAAAAAGGAAACAATGAAGGAATTTGACTGTAAGTTTACCCAAATCAACTTCTGACGGGGTTGACTGCCCGAATGCAATTACGTCATCGAGGAATTCAAGTGACGTCACAAGAGAAAGTGACGATATTCGACCTTGGCCTTTTGACAAGACCATAGCCTGCAACATGTCAAACTATGTCAGTGTTCGGTTTTGGTCCATCAACAGCCTTAATAGTGCAATTGTTAAGGTTAGCACCAACAAGAAAGCCAATATTACCGCTATTCAAAGCGGGAATTCGGGTTGCTTTGACTTGTTTGACTCAGAATATCTGCCAGTCGAAAAGCCAATTAATGTCGAATGAACCGTAAGCCCACGCACCCACTATGACGTCACTTGACAACAGAACTGATAGTGGCCCGTCGTTAAGGTTGCAGCGGTCCAATATCATTTGCAGTGGCCCGCAAATTTCTGATAATGGGAGGGCTGTTTCATGATAATTCCATGTATTTTAGCTATAATCAATCATAAGCTTTGATTACAAGGAAAATCGTAGCTTTGTAGGGATATCCGTATTTGCCAGATGAAAGTAAGATTAATGTATCAGGTGGCAAAAGATCTGTCAGTGTAACAGATTTGGGTAAGGGACCTTCATTATTTATAGCTATGGGTGGTGATGATTTTTATGGAGCAGCATGTACAATGTGAACCTCTCTTTTCTCAACCCCTCTCCCCCCCCCAACTTTATGTACAAAGTAAGTCTCTCTCACACACACACATACGCGCACACACACATGCCGCAAGTTGTGTACAAAATCAATGACAACCCCACCCCACCAGTACATGTGTTCAAAATTGATGACCCTCCCTCCACACACACCTCCCCAGAACAAAATGGGTGACACCCACCCCCACTTAAAGTCATGGTCCCTGATGCCAGAAATATCTTGAATTGGTAGTTTGCTTTCAGTCTGTTGTATGTTTCTCTTTCTTGTTTTGTAGGAAATACCTTCATAAGAACAGACACAGTGCAGAAGCATGTGATCATTCATCAGGGTCTGATCAGTCGGACGACCCCAGGTCACAACAGCGTGAGGTGATATTTCAGGCAGCTCAACGCAGACTTAACTCCTTAACCCACTCTCAGTACAGCTGATAACGGAGCTCCATCATCTGTATATACTTTGTGTACAAAGTACTTCTTCGGAATTATTTCTGGCCTGGAGTTTACAGTATTTGTGATATTTCATTTTTGTCGGTGCTGTCTATTTTTAGACATGCCTTAAATTATGCATTGGTTTTCATTGTAAGATTTAATAGGCATCCAAGCTTACCTTTATCCCAGATTTTCTGTCTCCTTTCTTATGAATGTGTAACTAAAGACCCTTTGGATCATAAGTTGACTCTTAACATAATGCATTGAACACACTGTTCAGAGTTCTGTCCCTTGCTGCAAGGACCCACCGATTGGGGGTTCAAGGTCTAGATGTGATCCTCATTCTGTCAGTCCTATGTATTTGTAAGTGTCATCAAAATGGAAAACATGGTAAACATTTTATAATCCATAACTAGCTTCCACTGGAGATATCGTATCACAGTTCTTTGCAAATAATTGTGACATAATAAAATTTCATTTCTTGGGTCCTTTTTTGAAATATGTAACAGGGAAGCATGTTAAATATTTTAGTCCTGTCTGGTTAATTTTCTTGAAAATTCAAGTTTTCCATCCTGTATTTTGTTCATTGGGTCCCAATGTTTTCAAATCTTCTCTGAAGGTGACTGGATGCCTGAGCATCACAAGAAGAAAGTTGATGCAGGATTAAATGTGTGGTACTAATCGAGCGTTTTCATGGCTTGCATATACTGTGTAGCTCAACATAATGTACAACTGTGTGATAAAGATATGTTCATGTAATATATTCGTATAAATAATCTCATCAATTATCATCATCTTACCGCTTGTCTCACGAGATGAAGGAATTAATGTCTGTACATTACTTTCGATGTTGTTGACAATCTTTGTGTAGATTTGAAGCTGTTAATGAACAAATAGTCAGATTTATATGGTGTCCAAATACATATTTGAATGGGGACTGTTTGACATTATTACAGAGCACTAAAGTAAAGTTTAAGATAGGTCAACCTGGGTCACTTCGCCATAGAATGATGCGATCTCACAATTGCGATTTTCCTTATCCAAGTGTAAGTGATCTCACAGATGTCTGTGTCAGAAGGGGCGGGGGGGTAGTCTAGTGGATAAAGTGTTCGTTCGTCACAGCAAAGATCCGGGTTCAATTCCCCACATAGGTACAGTGTGTGAAGCCCATTTCTGGTGTCCCCGGCTGTGATATTGCTGGAATATTGATTAAAGTGGTGTAAAACCATACTCACTCACTCGATGTCAGAAACTGCTTGCAGACATTTCAGAGATTTAATAAGTTGTACAAAGCTTGCTCAATAATTATCAAGAACCTGATGAAATAATTTTTTAGATGATTAAAATAGACTAATTTCCTATGCAGATGAACTTCCCCACCCGATGGTGGCATACCAAAAATGTGTATACAGTATAATAAACTGTTGTTGGGTAAAGTTTGTATTATTGTACAACCAAATTATCATGACTACTGAACAGATTGCTTTAAGAATTATTTATATCATAATGCTCTTGAACGTAATTATAATTACCAGATGCACCTCCTCTTTCCAAAACGATGTATCCCCGCATGTATAATTCACAGTCTGTTGTCAGAACTGCCAGAACTATGACTGAAACTGATCCAACAAACTAACTGAAAGCCATTTCACATTCATCTGATTTGGTTGCTACATGTCTCATGAGAAGAATATTATTACTCAACTTTTGATAGGGATACTGGAACTGCAGAATGAATGAATGAATGAATGAATGAATGAATCCATTGTCCAGGGTAATAATACAGCACATGTGCATTCACTTAGTGAATGGAATCAGATGCATTATACATGGAATTTGTATTATCAGCTTTATTATAATTAACCAGGCGTGTACATGTAAAGCATGTTGTTATAACAATTATGTTCCTTGTTATGTTGTCATTAAATGCCTCCTGTGAAGGACTAATAGATGTATATTACTCAAAACAAGCGAGACAACACCTATTTTTTTCAAAGACTATAGTTTGCCAGGTGGCGTTCTTCAGGTGTTCCTTAATTTCTTTTGAGTGGTATATTTGTTGTAGCTGTTATGAATATGTAATATGTGCAGATCTGTAAAGGCTTACCAGTGATCTTTTACATTGTGTCCAGTTTACTTTTGTTTTCCTAATGCTAACTTTGGATATAAGAGATCTATAAAATTTGCATGTCACTTCAAATATCTGCTTTTCTAATAACGTAAAAAATTAATGCAAACATATGCATTAGACCTATTTTACTACCTTGAATTGTCCTGAACTGATTGATGTGATTTTGATTTATTTATTATTCTTACTTGTTTCATGCAATTTCTTGTTATGAATTCATCATATTTTGTTCTGAAAGTGTCATTTTGTTTTGAAACTTGTTTTTGCTGGTTTGAAAATAATCAAATTCTTACAATGAGGAAACCATGTTTCCTCCTTGATGCCATTTGGCCAGTTTGTTAATCAGTCAAAGATTTCTGCACACTGGAAGATGCATTTGTCCTGCATGTCTCCGAAAGCCATCTTGTTGACTCTTTACAATCTGACAGTGTTTTCTAATTGAACACAGGGATTATCTGGAGTGGCTTATTGAAGTCGTGTTGTTATTTTATGTACCCAGATAAAGTTTTAACATACCATTAGAGGTATTCAATAAATTATTTTTGTGTCACTAACAACTCAGACTTCTGTTTTTATGCACTAATCAGCAATTTTCAACCTTAAGGGTGGTTGTGGCAACTCTAAAGTTTAACAAAAAATTAAAGGGATTGTTCCTGTACACTACTGCACTTTTGGTACAGTTGTCATGGTTACCATGTACTCTTCTGTAACTAACTGATCACCATTTAAGTCAGGTCATGGGTAAAGGAGAGCAAATCCTGAGCAGATAAATACGATCATCAACATCAAAGCAGATACACAGTGCTGCAGCCAGGATTTCCTTGGAAGGGTCTAGTCGGCCCCTACCTTTGGAAAATGTGGGTCAATGAAAAGATCTGTAATTCTTCTCTTTGACATTTTGACAGCCAAAAGGATTCAATGATAAATTATGTACATCAAGTCAAGCTCCATACAGTGAAACAAGTTTCTTACAGCGATTCATATTACAGTTTCGTATGCAAATTGACGTCCTAAATGTGCAGATCTTAGGAAGACTTTTTGAATTCAGGTAGTTTCAATATTTTGATTTCTGAATGTTTTACAGCGTTTTCAATGAAAATACAAATGTAGTATTTTGAAAATAATTACATGCCTGATATATAAATATGTGTTAAACATATGACAAAGTTTAAATGTTAGTGTTATTCATATTTGATCTGTAATATGAGAAACGATAAGAAAGACTGCAAGTTGTCAAGTTCATGTCCTGAAATAGAACCTCTCAATGTACTGCAGTTATTTTCTGTCCACCTGTACACAAGCTGAGATTTGACATTTTGTGTGTACGCGTGTAAGATCACATTTATTGAGTATTTACAAAAATTGAAGCGTACCGGTACGCAATAGACTTAATATGAACTGAGTTTTCACATAAATATTTGCGTAATTTACGCAGATACAGAGTTTATCTGTACCTCTGCAGCATTGTTACCTACTGCAGCAGTCAGCCAATCAATACAACCATTGACCAAAAGGTTGCACCAACTTCATGTACAGCTGACCGCCTCCGTGGTGTAGTGGTTAGAGCGTCCGCCCTGAGAGCGGAAGGTCGCGATTCGATCCCCGACCGCGTCATACCAAAAGACGTTAAAATATGGTACTTGTTGGTCCCTGCCTGGCGCTTGGCATTAATGGGTACAACAAGGACTGGTCGGTTCGGAGTTAGTATAATGTGTCTGAGTGGGGTATTCATGCTTCACTGCGGCATGGTATCTCAGTGGGCTAGCACTATAAAAACAGCTTCAGTCTGGGCTAGTACAAGCAGCCGCACCTACACATACACACACATGCACGTCGTCATATGAGCGAAATATTCTCCAGCGCGACGTTAAACCCAATTTCACCTCACCTCATGTGCAGCTGGGTTTTTTCCAGTCTACAGAATGTCACATGATCAGCCAAGTCATCAAGCTGTTTCAGGGTCCCTGGAACGATTCTGCCTAGAAACAGTTTGTATGCCTGCTTTAGCCTGCTCTCACTTCAAGCATGAGAATACCCATCGGTAAAAGAGCATCACAACCTGCATCAGCCAATCACCCAGCAGAGCCGGTCCATGATTCAATTTGCCTTAGGCCCACACGATCAAACTCAACAATACACTTCTTGGATCAATACAAATTGTTTCAGAAACTGAAATAATTAGCTAAAAACCACTACACTGTAAATCGTATCCTATTTTGTATCCTTGACCTTGGTATGTTCATAACTTCAGTATATCCTTGACCTTTGTCTCCATGACTTTGATATATCCTTGACCTTTGAGTGTCCTTGACTTTGGTCTATCCTTGACCTCATGAGATCATGCTCTCATGATTCCACCGGTTTCTGCATCACGAACATAAACATAACATACAAATTTGTACTGTTAAATTAACATTTATTGATGATTGTGTTGTATATGCATGAATACCCCCCTGGTCCCCACCCTCCCCTTGTGACGGCCTCAATCTTGCCACCAGTGTCTGCTGTCCATCAACTGAAATGTAAGATAATGTATCACTTAAAAGAAACATCATTTACACCATATCATAAACAAGTTCATTCCATCCAAATCATTGCCTCTTAAGACCAGCAGTAGAATGGGAGTCATTAGTAGTGATAAATACTAATATGACATCACTTTGACTACATAGTGTACTGTGTCAATCTCTGCAAAGAAAACTGCTGAGGTGAAGTTAGCCCTAGTTTAACTAGCTCTAGACAAGTTGCTAAATTGGAACACTGACTACATTCATATATATCTTCCTTCGTGTAAACAATACGAGTAAAGCAAAAATAGCACTTACCCCAGAAAGTTTATAACGACTAAGTGTAGAATGACGTGAGCAAATACAAAGTCAGCAAAGGCTCTTTCAGGGCTGATTCCGACAAAGTCGTTTTTATTCTGGGGATTCACCTGAAGCCTTAGACACACTGAAATTAAACAAAAAACAATCTTTCAAAGAGTTGTACATATAAGCACTAGGTATCAAGCTGACACTGTTAAAGAACTAGTACACACAGAACATTGAGGATTGAATAGGTTTTGTTTGTTGTTTCATGCAACACTCAGCAATATTGCAGCTATAAGAGTGAGGTCTTCAAGTAATCGAGACTGGACAAGGCAATCCAGTGATCAACAGCATGAGCATCGATCTACGGCATTGGGATACTATGACATGTGTCAACCAAGTCAGTGAGCCTGACCACCCGATCCTTTAAGTCGCCTCTTAAGACAAGCATGGGTTGCTGAAACTACACTTCACAACATGATCAACATCTAGCAACATGGACTGTTATGAATGTTTCACATTTTATGATTTTTAAGTCATACAAAATACTTTTTGCGTGTTCCAAAAAAAAATTAGAAACATGCCAACAAATTATTCATGTGGACCCAGACTGACATTTAGTCTGACTTTATAATATGGAAGTGCTTGTTTTCTTTCATCTTTCGGAAAGACTTCTGCCTGTATCCCCCTTAAATTTCATTTTAGTCAAATCATATCACTTGAATATATATATTTCTCATCTGATAAGGATGAGTTTTAACATGTTTCTTGAACTGTATCTGAACATACTGAAAGACATATCCAACTTTTGAAAATGCCTCTCAAAGAATTTTTCCTAATCGTTAAAATTAAGGGGGATACGATCAGAAGTCTTACCTAAAGTCGGACCAAATTAATAAGTCTTCTCCTGTACATTTTTAAAATGATAAAGTGACGGTAAGAGAGAGTTTTAGATGTAACCGATAAATCAGAAGAAAATGTTGACATGGTTATAGACAGGTCAAGTTAAGACATAAAATAGCACTGTTTTACACATCACTTCCATGCCTCCTAAGTGGAGAACTCTGATTGGTTCTTCTCTTTACCTCCAGAAATAGAGGCTGTAACGTGGTCCAGTAATCAAATGTACGAAGTCTTCTGGTAGGAGTTTGCACAAGATGAATTGTGCAAATTATCTTTCATAACCCAATAAAACCATTCCATGCGGGAATAGTGTCCCCAAAACACGCTAAACGTACCATGCTTTCTGTGAAACCGGTGTGTGTCCATAACCGGCAAATAAGCCAAGCTATAATATTCTTAAGCTATGAGAATGATAGGCCAACAGCATCATGACCCAGTATTATCAGGATAACATCAATGGCATATTAGTGCAAAAAAAAAGTAATCAATACTTACCTCCCAAAACAAATGAACCAACTGTTGAAATAAATCCAGAGAGAAATGAGTTGAATGGGAAGGTTCCCACCAAACAACAATATCCGAACTGGAATACTCCCGTCAAGAACACGTACACTAGGTAAGCATCTACAATTTTAAGTCTTTTGGGTGTTGACTGGATATATTCGTCATAAAACTTTGCAACAACAGACGTTAATTTCTCCGGCATTTTGATGTGTCCACCCTGCAAATCGTATCAATGTTCACGAAACGTGGCAAGTGCTCTTCCGTCCTCAGCAACAACAAACTATTTTCGTGGCGACTTGCTACAACATAACGAGAACCAAGGCCTCTGTTGGACACCAAGAGTTGGATGTTTAAATGACTACCAAACTGGCTCTTCATTTTTGGACATGTAATCGATTAATCCACGAAAATGATGACACACAAGGCTAGTCACATGCATCCTGTAGCAATATATATTTGACCCCACAACACGAGGTTAAGTATGTCGGAATAATCACAGCTAGTGATTTATCGGGTCAGTATTTTGCAGATCGTCTCAAAATATGTGTCCACAAATAAGTCATAAAACAAAACATATAAAACGTAAATATTGTCTTCGTTATTTGTAACTTCATTCAAATCTAATTTGACAAACTGCACACCATTTTGACGAACTTACAGAAACCTATTTATGTGTTTATGTAGTTGCTACTATTTGGAAAATGCCATATTATTGTAGACATTTTATTAAGTTATAACATTAAACACTACATGGCGCAATACAATTTCACCGGTCTGGGGGACTCATTTTGGTGTTATTACAGCAATATCACGCCGGTAGCACACGGATTCGTCACCACACACCTTCCGTAACCTCGAAGACGATATATACAGCTTGGAAAACCGGAACTGCAATGTCACAGCACCCAATAACGCCGCTTTTAGCAATATTCCAGCAATATCACGGCAGGGGACACCACACATTGTACCCATGTGGGGACTCGAACCCGGGTCTTCGGCGTGACAAACTAACGCTGTAACCACTAGGCTACCCCGTCGCCCCTAATGTTTACATGAAAGACTAATAGACATCATAACCCGGATTGGTGCAATCAGTAACACGCACACCATTTCACTTCCTCTCAACCTCACTGAAAATAAAGTCACTGATATCTGGATTAGTCTAACACTTTGTATCAATATAAATGATATAATTTGGATAGAACCAACTAAATCTAATTAAGCTGAAAAGTTTAGATTTGAAAAGGAGTCTCGGTGAACCTGCAGAAAGTTTCGATTTGCTTCGTTTGGGTCTTTAGCATGCAGATAGAGCTGGGCGGAGGGGAGATGCTGGGGTTCAGGGGCTGTGGGACAGGCTAAAACTGGACATATAGTCTCACGCCAGCTGAACCATATTGTATTCCGTACAGCCTAGACTAATGCTTAGTCTCTGAATATATATAATTTTGATAGTAACAAACAAGCCCATTTATATTGAAAAGGAGCCCTAGGGAGACCAGAGATCCTGAACCTGAGGAAATCTAGACTTGCTTTATTTAGGGCTTTAGCACTGCAGAGAGAGAGCTTGGCAGTAGGGAAATTAATGTGGATCAGGGACTGTGAGACAGACTACGTCCGGCCCAGCACTGCCTTCAATGCAAACGCCTAAATGAAGAAATCAGATTTCTGCTATTTGTTTCTCTCTGAGTTAGAAAGGTTGTTATGTTTGAGCTCGAGCTTATTTTGTTCTCCTCATATCTGACTGACCTGAGTGAACGTGATGTAAACAGGGTTGGAAACATGTCTGCAGTTTTACCTGACTTCAGTCCTCTTACCTCTATATCACATGGACTATGAAATGAATAATACCTTTTGTCACCTCAAGACCGAAGTACAAATGCTCGATACAATATATGCTGTTGGGAAACAATTATTTGAAACACTGCCAACAAATCAGTTATCTTTATTTGAGTAAGAATGATGTTCTTGATATTGCATTTGTTGCTAAGTACTAGAAAGATAAATATATATGTAACATTGATTCACACTTTTTATGTTTCTTTTAAATCGATCATATTTCAAACCACGTGACTTTCTCTGGCGTACAAAGTTGATCACGTGACATTCTTTATCGCCATCTTGACCGAATGGAGCAAATCCGAAAATTTCAGAAAATGTCAAAGATGGTGAGTACTGTTTGTTTATATGAGCTTACAAAAGACCCAGACCACATACAATTTCGATTTACTCAGTTTTTGATCAATTGAAACTTGTTTCGTCATGATTGTACATGTTTTGACGGGAGCCCAAGAACTGTCAAGTTCAGGCTCTCGAAAACGCGCGGTTCTTGACAAATAGATGCCATGTGCTCATCTGCCACAGATGGACATGCATTTCGTGAAATCGAAAAATTGCAACTATTGACATGAGCGTGTGCATGCTATGTCCAATATTTTTGTCTCAGCAACTCCGTGCCAAACGCAATCCCAATTCGTAGCGTTTGCGTTCCAAGTCTGAGTTAGGCAAACACTGACCGGCTGAACTGAAAGATGGAATAATTTGATAAACAGCGATAATCTCTCAGTTTCTGAAGCTGGAACATTTGTGAAGGGTCGTCAGTTTCAACCTAGTTAGATGACGTCGCGTTGATTCTGATATATTTCCTTAAAGTACCGTGTGAGATGCTGTGTGCCTATAAATGCACACGTCTGCCTTTGTTGCTAGGCTATAAATGCCCAAGGCGATGTCAATAATTATGGACATATATTCAGGTCTTGCCAGTATATGAAGAGTGGCTCCAAGTTCTCAAACACACAGTTCAAGAAGTATTTTTCATCCAACTTCTGCAACACTGTCATCAAAAGGACAATTATTTAAAGCTGATCAATTCTGTAGGGAATATGTAGTTCACAATCACTAATATTAATAATATTAAGATGTCGATGTCACTGAATTAATCAAATGAAATATGTAGGGAGTATGTAGATCAGAATCGCTGATAAGATTTGAAATTTACTGAACAGACATCTCTTTCAAATAGTGCTCTGATTGTGTTTCAGTGTGTGGCATCATTTTTCTCTGGTCAAAATGGAATTGATGTATTTACTTTTTAAACACTAAACTCCATGTATTATTAAGAGCATGCATGTTATATACTGAACCACAAAAGAAACGTTGCTTTGCAAAACCCAATGCAAAATTTTGTTCTTGCAAGGTGGTGTTTTTATTATGTTTGTACCGTTTTCTTGACATGTTTTTCAATCCAAATTGACAGTTATTACCAACATCAGTGTGTTTTCTGATGAAAACGCATATCGAAAGGTTCCGTATGACATTCGTGAAAATGAAAATGCATGTGCATGTCGTGACAACACTACTAATGAAAGCGGGTTCCAAGCTCGCCTGAAATCATTTTTGTTTTGACACAACCACCATGCCACGTCTTACGAGAGATCAGAGGAACCAAGTCGTGGGACGATTGCAAGTTTTCCAGACTGCACAGAGGGTAGCCAATCATTTTAATGTTCATGATAGGACAGCAGGAGTGGTATCAGGTCACTAAGAGCATTCAAGACCGTCAACGCAGTGGGCGACCTTCAGTAACATTACAACGTCAAGAATGACAGGCTGTGCGCAACCATCTGCAGGATCGCTTCCCCAGAGCAGCACGTAAGACCATTTCTGACTCAAAACAGACCCATCAGTGCCGATACAGTGCGTCAACGTTTGCGCGTAAGAAATCTCTGCTGTCACAAATGTTATCGTAGTCCTGTCCCCACCGCTCATAACCACCCAAACCGACCAAAATGGGCAACTCAGCATCGAAATTTAGGTTATTGACAATGGAGAACTGTGCTGTTATCTCATGAAAGCCGATATTGTGTTTCGACAGTTGATGGCAGAGTGAGAGTATGGCGAGGGCGTGGTGAAATGTTTTCCAATGAGTGTATTGTTGAAAGAGACTCTCGGGTGGTCCAAGCATCATAGTGTTGGGTGCAATCGGTCTGAACAGTTAGTTGACACCGTGGTGTTCCAGAATCTTGCTCCAGGATGAGGAAATGACAAGACAGCTGCTCGCTATATGGATTAAATCACAAGACCCCACGTTGTACCACATTTTGGACGTTATAGAAATCACATCTTCCAGCAAGACAACGGTCGTGCCCACACTGCCAGAGCAACATTGGACTTCCCAAGACAACATGGCATCCAAACCCTACAATTGCCTGCACTCAGTCCGAATTTAAGTCCAGTAGAACACCTTTGGGACGAAATTCAAAGAAGACTGAATGCCACCAACCAAGGCCGACAACTGCGGCTGGACTCGATCAGGCATTTCGCAGAGTATTGACCCATGTGCCTATGGCCTTCATTGACCGGCTAATTCATTCCATGTACAGACGATGTAACGATTTCATCGATGACCATAGAGGCCACACATGGTACTGACTTTGGGGTATCTTAATGGTACCATTTTTGGTTAATTGTTTGTGTGAACTCTAAATGTGATTCCCGAAAATGTGTTAACCATAATTGTCAAGTTTGAACTCAGTCCTCCTATTTGATTGTTAATTAGAGTGAATTAAAGTGTGTGCTTTAAGAAACTCCTATCAGTGGGACATTTCTTTTGTGGTTCAGTATACATTTTCAATTCATTTGTAAACATGGTTAGAAGATGGGTTCTGTCATTGCTGGTACCCTGACTGGCTGATATCAATATAAATTATGAGTTAATTCACTGACTGGTGAGTAAAACTTTAAAAAGTCAGTTGATCAATCAGGGTTTCTAAAGACAAATCTTGTCTTGACAGATGTTCTTTAGTTTTCGCAACAGTTTAATTTGTCACAATATTTTGTCAGTTAATTTGATAAATCATGGAACATGGAAAAAATAATTGATGGACTGTTGGCTGATGCTTAATATTAGGTTGCCTTGTAGTTATAATCAATTATGTTTCCATTTGATTCTTACACATGGCTACAGATCGGAACAGCTTCGACGATAATAAATACATAAAAACACTAATAAATACATCAGTGTTTTTACATTTTCATCCCTCAAAACCCTAATGTCCACCCAAAAATGTTTCCAGTGACATATTCAAAACTATTTTCTCTTTATATCAGATCCAATTTTTAGCATCATGTCCTTTCAAAATAATAAAATAATATAATTTTGTTTGTTAAACAAGTGTCTGAAAGGGAATATCTTTGACTTATTTTATTTTTGGGTTGTTGTTTTTATCCCCCCGGCATGTAATGCGGGGGGATATAATCGACGCCGAGTCCGTCTGTCCGTCCGTAATCCAGAGCATAACTCAGAAACAAAAGTTGGTAGATATATCAAACAGAACCTAAGGTGGTGCCTTTTGTTTTTTACAGATTTTTGTAATTTTTATTTTTCTCGGTTTCCATGGAAACGATTCGGACTTAGTCCCAAAAGGGAGGGGTGGGCTTCGTTTCTGGAGCATAACTCAAGAACCGTTCAATATTTTTCAACAAAACTTGCTAGATATATCAAACAGAACCTTAAAGGTCACATAAACCCTAGGGGGTAAAAATACATAAATCACTAACTGGCATCGTTATAAATGAAACCCCGTCATTAAAACTACTCATTTCGACCTTTAATTGACTTAAATCGACCTTTTTGACAACAGTGCACAATTCTCACCCGCGAACGAAATTTCAACCAATCAGAGCGGCGCGACTCTGTGACGTCATATGAGGAATAGCTTTGAGGGCCGATGCAGAATTCATCTACATTTTAGGGGTTAAATTATCTTGTTTACAGGCTTGTATAAACCTGAAATCGTGACAACTGTTGCGGAAAATGAAAGCTATATGTTCTCACAATCTACTGGCATTTAATTTTGTCTCCTGCTTTGCCTAGTTTCCGAGTTACAACTTGTTTTCATAGACGCTTCTGTCACAATTGATTGGTGTCGTTAGGCCCTATTTGTATAATGACTGATCCAAATTGATCCCATTTCTGTGTTTTTTACCTCGATATTTAATCATGTCATGTAAAATTCTGTTTGTATTCTCAAAACAGTGTCGGCCCATAAGTTTTCACATGCAATACAGCAATTAATACTCCCTTGTTGTAACCCGTGTTAGGTGGTATAAACCTACACATGTTATTTGTCATCATTCACTTGATGGTCAGTTAATGAATTTATAACAGGTATAATTAGTGGTAACACACTTAGATTACCCGACAAAGGTTCCCATTTGGCTTTTCTTGTGTCTGGAGTAAATATTCAACATTCAACCGATAACACGCTGATTGATTAATTACTTTTATCTTACACAGCGGAATTGTCAAAAGGTAGTGTTTATGTATGTAGATTTACTAATCTATACTGAATACACTCTGCCGTGTTGCTGTCTGCGTAAAAACAACGTCCTTCTTTCAAAGGATTAACCGGCAATACATTGATTGATTGCCCATTATTGGCTAACTAAATTACTGTTTTTAATGAAAGGCGGACATTATGCAATTAGTTGCCAGGTGTGCTATCTTGGGTGACCAATGATGCTATACACCAATACCTGAAAAGATTTATCACTTTTTCGTATATTAAACTGTTAAAAGACACATCATTTGGAACAGTTTTGTGGATATTGATGGATACATTCCTCAAACAAGGTAATGGCCTGATATTGTTCCTATAACTTTAATCTGTTTTAATTTTAATATTTGCATTTTGTTTTTATTCATTTGTCGTAGCATTCAACAGAATCATTGTTTTTGCCGTGAAGTGTAATGAGACAGACAACATACACTAGGGTGTGTGTGTGCGAATTATGATTCACATTGGCAAACTATAAAATGTCTAGATATTACAGTTCTGTTATAAATTCACTATAAGTATCAGCAGATCGTCAGCTTTTTATTTAGTTTCAAAATGCATAAAAGTATGATAATAAACTAATTAGGATTATAAGACCAAATATAAAGACGCACATTGACTAGTATCTACATACTGGTGAGTGGACATTAACCATGTGAATGTAGCAAGAAATTTATCACGCAGTATTGTGACTTCGACCCCCACCTCGCTTCCGTGGAAGAAATCGTTATGTTATAAGTTGTGTCATGCAAAATCCTTTTGGTTATGATTCCAATACATATTTAACTACGAGTAGAAAGTAGTTTTGATTTTCTAACTTGATGAAAACAAACTATAATCTCATTAATTCTAACAGACTTTACGATTTTCAAAATGGCGGCGCCTCTGTCGGGAACATCCGCCAGTCTGTGGATAAATGCTATTTAGGTTTATTTTCACCGAAGTTACAAAATCAAAACTACTTTCTACTGGTAGTAAAATATGTATTTTATTGATGGCCAATAGGATTTTGCATGACATAGCGTGATAACATAACAATTTCTCTCGTGGAAGCGAGGTGGGTGTCAATATAATACTACTTACAATATTATTGTTACTCGACCACAACCTCGCTTCGAGGAAGAAATCGTTATGTTACAAGTTGTGTTATGGAAAATCTTTATGGTCATCAATCATATACATATTTTACTATAACTAGTAAGTAGTTTTGATTCTTTAACTTCCGTGAAGCGATCTGAACACAAGTAAGATATCGTTTCAGGATTCCACAACGCCGCCGCGACTCACAAACATAACCCATTTAGCACCTAACTGCGGGTCCTGTGGAAATCTGTGCATGGTGACACCATCACCTGACCCCTAGGAGCAATTGATGACAAAGCAACGATTCGGCATGTCGTCGTTCATGTCGAGAAATCATCAAAATGATGAGCGTGCTACACACTTTCTATACAACTAACTGAAAATCGTTCCTCATATGACGTCCCTGCAGTGCTCTAGCGACAGAGTTACGTAACCTGTCTGGTTTCGTTGGCGGGCGAGAGGGAAGCAGGCGACTTTTTGGCCACTTTTAATCGCTCGGTATTAATTAACCACAAGTTTTTAAAGAATAAATTTGGTGTTCCGCATAAGACTAACCACAAATCTTTCATATGTAATGGTTAAAAGAGTAACAAAAAACAAAGTTTAGTGGTTCTTTAAGTGGTGCCTTTTGCTATTTGCAGATTTTTGGCATTTTATTTTCCCCGGTTTCCATGGAAACGATTAGGACTTAGTCCCAAAAGGGAGGGGTGGGCTTCATTTCCAGTGCACAACTTGAAAAGCGTTCAATATCTTTCAACAGAACTTGGCAGATATATCAGGCAAATTTTGAAATGGTGCCTTTTGCTATTTACAGATTTTTGACATTTATATTTCTCATGATTTCCATCGAAACGATTTGGACTGTCAGATTTGTTCTTTCAAATATGTGGGGGCAGGGGGGATATGTCATCTTCTGATGACTCTTGTTACAAGAGGTAATGAAGTAAAAGTAGTAATACAATGTACCCGGTATCTTAGATGTTAGGTAGTGGCTTGGGTCAGAGATGATTCATACTATGGGTCTGTGTTTTGGGTTGGTACTTTCCCAACCCCTTAAAGTAACTTTTGTGTACCCAGCCATGAAATTCGAGACACATGAGTTTACATCCATGTATGGCTGTCACCTGAGAATTGAGTCAGTCTCAACAAAATGGCAGGAACTTATTCCTGAAGTACTACTTCTTTCCAGTCTATGAAAACTTAATATGACACGACAAGACAGCAGTCAATAAATTATTTGTTTTTTTTTTCAAAAAACTTATTTCACTAGTTCTTGGTGTTTGTAGCTAATTGTTTTAGAACAGAATAAAACTATTAAATATGTCTTTTTTTCTGTTCACTTCAAATTTGAGCAAAACTGGATCAGTCTTATATCCCTCAGATGCTTCTAGCCAGTGAGGACTACCATCATTTGATATTTATCCCCATGGCATGTAATGCGGGGGGATATAGTCGTCGCCTCGTCCGTCCGTAATCATTTTGTTACTGGGGCATAACTCAAAGACCGTTTGATATTTTTCAACAAAAATTGGTAGATATGTCAAACATAACCTAAGGTGGTGGCTTTTGCCATTTACAGATTATTGTCATTTTTATTTTTCTCTGTTTCCATGGAAACGTTTTGACTTAGTCTTAAAGAAGGATGGGCTTCGTTTTCGGAGCATAACTCAAAAACTGTTCGATATTTTTCAACAAGACTTGGTAGATATATCAAACAGAACCTTAAGTGGTGCCTTTTGCTATTTGCAGATTTTTGGCATTTTTATTTTTCCCTGTTTCCATGGAAACGATTCGGACTTAGTCCCAAACGCGAGGGGTAGGTTTCGTTTCCGGAGCACAACTCAAAAACTTCTTAATATCTTTCAGCAGAACTTGGCAGATATGTGAGGCAGATGCCAAAGTGGTGCCTTTTGCTATTTGCAGATTTTTGTCTTTTTTATTTTTCTAGGTTTCCATGGAAACGATTTAGACTTAGTCTCAAAAGGGAGGGGTGGGTTTCGTTTCAAAAACTTCTTATTGTCTTTCAGTAAAACTTGGCAGCTATGTGAGGCAGATCTTGAAGTGGTGCCTTTTGCTATTTGCAGATTTTTGTCATTTATGTTTTTCATCATTTCCATGGAAACGATTTGCACTTAGTGTAAAAACAAGCTGGACTTTAAGTAACTGTCAAATGATTTGTTCTTTCAAATATGTGGGGGCCGGGGGGATATGTCATCTTCTGATGAGTCTTGTTGCTTTCCCTATAACAATGGCACCCGTGAAGATCCGGGTTAGAATTGGTCTTCAGTAACCCATGCTTGTCGTGTAAGAGGCGACTAATGGGATTGGGCGGTCAGGCTGGCTTACTTGGTTGGCATATGTCATCGTATCCCAGTTGCATCGATTGATGCTTACCTCACGATGCTGATCACTGGATTGTCTGGTCCAGACTAGATTATTTACAGAATGCTGCTATATAGCTGGAATATTGCTGAGTGTGGCATCAAACAACAAACCAACCAATGTTATAACAATGTAATGGCATTGTGTTTGAAGGTTAAAGGGGCGGTGGGGTAGCCTAGTGGTTAAAGCGTTGGCTCGTCACGCCGAAGACCCGGGTTCGAATCCCCACATGGGTACAATGTGTGAAGCCCATTTCTGGTGTCCCCCGCCGTGATGTTGCTGGAATATTGCTAAAAGCGGCGTAAAACCAAAACTCAGTCAGTCAGTTGAAGGTTAAAACAGGTTGAAACCTGAAGTGGTAGGCCCCGTTGCATAGCCTTTGCGTATAAATGTTTTGCAATGGTTGTATATTTCCTTTAGAAGATGATTTCAGAGCTGATTATTTTCTTTGTTTCAGATTTTCCAATTATGGTAAGATGTCCTGGAACATGACTGTCCACTGTTGTCTATGGATAGTGCAGGATCCATGATGTAACTCCTCTCTGAGAGAACGGATAGACTTAGATCTGAATCTAGAATCTTCTCGACATGATCTCATGTTGTCACTGATCTTTAGGAATCCATCATGTCTGAAGGTTGTCCAGTGTCTCTTGTACCTGTGACCAGAATGGAAACCGTTGCCACCCATGGATCTGAAAGCCTTGTTGTCAAGGACAACACAGTACCATCTAGATCTGCTCCTGTTATAACTATTGTAGCATCATCTCCCTTAAACACAGATAACCTTGATAAGGATGCTATACCCTGTGTGATCATTGAACATGTTGGGACAGTTCCACCATCATCAAGTCCAGGACAGGCTCATTTATCTGATGCTGTCCATAAGTGTGATGAGTGTGATTACTCCAGCCACAATAAGCACTACCTGAAGCAGCACATTGACCTGGTTCATAATCCTGAACGTCCATACAAGTGTCCATTTTGCGATTATGCTGGGAAACGTAGTCACTCATTACGTGAGCATTTAGTCGTCCATACCAATGAGAGACCTTATGAATGTGAACATTGCAATGCCTCATTCAGGAAAAAAGGGCATCTCACAAATCATATCAAACTACACACAACCCAGAAATTGATTAAGTGTAGTTTGTGTTCAGTGTATTTGGCTGATCAAGATTCTTTTGAAAAACATCTCAAGGATACCCACAATACTGACAGAATCTATGCTTGTGAACTTTGCGACTTTGTTGCAGGCGATCAAAGTCTGATTGTGAAACACATCCAGTCTCATGACAAGGTGTTCAAGTGTAGTGAATGCTCCTTTGTAACAGCAGATATTAACAAGCTCGCCTCGCATGCTGACACTCATATATTGAAACCACTTCACTCCGAAAAGTCAGTTTCTTCTTTGCCCTCAACAACTCAACCTCCAAGAACCCAAGCAAGACCTCCGCTACCTCCGGGAACAGCTCCTAAAGCGGAGCAGGGCAAGCATGTCATGATCAAGTGCACTGAATGTGGATTTACTGCTCCAGATGCAGACACCATGAAGACACACATGTGGTCACACATCAAGACTGAGGCACAGGTAGAAAAGAAGCCTGATGTTGCAAAACTAGTTGAAAAAACATCAAAGATTGGCCAATCTGCTCCTAAAGAGATACGAGTCATTGAAGCTACCCTCCCAGACAATGCAGCTTACAAGTGTACAGAATGCAGCTTTGTCCACAAGGAAGCAACAGTGTTTATCAAACACATGCTGACTCACAGAGTGAAGCCATCTGTGAAAGTGGACCAAGAAAAGCCACAACAACAGCAGCAGCAGCAACAACAACAACAACAACCACCTCAGCAGCAGCCACAGCCACCTGCAGAACTGAAGGCGGATCAGACATTTCTGGTTGCTCCAGTAACGAAAGAAAATACATGCAAGAACTCTGAGAATACCCCTTTCACACATGACCCATCCACAGGTCGATTCAAGTGCATCATCTGTGGCTACACTTGTGAGTATCAGCGAACAATCAAAGCTCATATCTGGAAACACTCTGGAAACCAGGCCATTGACTACCCCATGTTTCAGAATGGTCCTCTCAGTATGTATGATGACATACCAACACCAAAAGTACCTCCCCAGTCATCTTCTGGAGGTACTGAAGATGCAGAGACTCAGGAAGATGGGAATGTCTCAACTCCTCTTGGTGACTTCACTGTACAGAAGACTACTACAGAATCTCAACAGACCCCAGCTCAGACTGCTGCACCGGTTACCCATGTTTTTAGATCTGTCAGTGACAACACTATCACGAATATCAAACTTGTTAAAACTGACATTGCTCCTAAGACAGTTGCAGGAGGAACTGCAATTTGCCAGATGCAAACCATTGATGGTAAAACACTGGCCTTAGTTAGAGAGACTCCTCAGAAAACTACTTCTGTAATAAACATCCCTTCATCAAGCAAAGTACCACAGATGAAAGAATCTGTTCCAATTGCACATGTTGGAAATGAAGAAACTGTCACTACTTCAGAGTTGAATCTAGTTGAAACATCTAACAGTCCAGAAAGAAGACTGGTTATCGCAGGTGTGACATTAGCTGGATCAAAAAACACTAGTCCTTCCAAAGCATCATCCAAATTGCCCAAACCCTCTATCTTAGCCAAGAGTAAATCTCCATCCAGTGAACAAGGTTCACCATCAACACTGAGTAAAGAGTCTTCTGAATCTCCTTCAGCTGGTGCAAAGCTTGGCCCAGAGAAACCCATTCAGAGAGATGATACAAATATACTGCAAGTAGCCAAGAGGATCTGTTTCGATAAAGAGGTCGAAGAGTCGAAGACGGAGGAGGTTAGTGTGGTAGTTGAATCAGTTGACTCAGTTCCCTCTGCTTCTGGATTTACTGGCATGAAGAGTCAACAGAACAGTCCTCGTGTGGCGGAACAGTGCCAGCATGATGAATGGACAGATCCTGCAGGGTCACCTGAAACTGTTCCAGTAAGTCAGAACAATTCTCCTTCTATGGTAACAAGAGCTCGCACGCGACACGCTGCTAAGGTTGAAAAGGATAAAGCCAAAGAGAGGTTGGAAGCAGTTCAAGCCAAAAAGTTATCCCAGTTGGAGAAGATGACTGTTAAAGAAGAAAGTGTTTCAAAGGGACCTTTAACCAGGGCTAAAAAGCACAGTGAAGAAGCTGTCACACTTTTGTCCTTGCTGAAGAAGGGTCCCAACCGCAACCCAGTGTGTGCTCTTCAAGCTGGTGAGGAAGAAAATATTGTGAAGCCAAGTAACGATTCATCTGAGGTTGATAGTGACACAGAATCTGATGATGAAGTTGTTTCAGAAGATTTGTCCAGCGAGTCTGCAAAACCTAAAACAGGCATTTGTTCCTCTCTCCTTGCTGTCATTGAACAGCTGAGAGAACGGTCAAAGTCTGAGAGCGAAACTGATGAAGCTGCTAAGAACTTGCCAGGCAGACGTCAATCAAGACGCAGGAGTAGGAGGGAATCAAATGAAGATGAACTCAATGTTGACCCTATTGAGAACATGGAGAAGATTGAGGAAGATGGAGAAACTAAATACAGATGTAAGCTTTGTCATTACAGCAACTCGAGAACACTTCTGATCCGATTACATATGCGTCTTCACAAGTCCAAGAAGCCCTTTGAATGTTCCCTGTGTGACTTCATTGCAGGTTCCAGTGAGTCTCTGCAGGATCATATGATTCGTCACTGTAAGATGCGTACCTATCCATGCAAACTATGCCCCTCCACCTTCAACTACAAGAGTCAGTTAAGAGCCCACATGAGAGCTCACAGTGACAAGGACCCGTTGATCTGTCACATGTGTGACTTTGAAACTAATGACCCAATGGCTTACAGGAACCATCTACGCTTCCATGCTGATCAGTATTACCACAAATGTGACCTTTGTAACAAACTGTTTGTTACCAAGCTGGAATTGCGCTCTCACAAGCAGGAACTATGTTACAAAGATCAGCCTGAAAGCATTGAAGATTCGGATGCCACTGATTCGGACTATGAAGTTCCAAAGGATTTCTTCCCCAAGAAGGAAAATCTCAAATGTTCTCAGTGTGAATTCACTACCACAAGTGTAGCTGTTTTTACAGATCATGCTCGCATCCATGAAGAAACTAAAACTCTGAAATGTGAGATGTGTGACTTTACTGCGGTGTCTAGTAGGAGTTTGAAATCTCACATGAAGCGTCACATCAACGACCAGCGGTATGTTCAGCAGCCCCTGGAACAGTACAAGTGTAATCTCTGTGGCTATGTCTGCCACCATTTGCCCTCACTCAAGTCTCACATGTGGAGGCATGCCAGCGACAGAAACTACAGCTACGAGTTCACCAACGATGTCATCAATGCCGCCATTGACTATGACTGTCGTATTGACAGCAGCAACACCAGCGACCCCGACATGTTGGAAAAGATTCTCATCTCAGAAAAGAAAATACTCGAAGGGAGATTAAATAACTCTATGGGACCTGATGGCCGCCAACCTGTCTGCTGGGTGGTATTTAAATGCTGTCAGTGTGGTTTTGAAACTATCAACAAGGCACAACTTAACGTTCACATGAGGTCACACTCAGACATTATACAACGCACCCTGGAGGTGAGCCAAGGACTGGTTCGACATGCTCCAGGGGGCAAGAGATCTGCTGGGGACACACTGCTGAAGGGAGATAACCCGCCAAGTAAAATAGTCAAAACTCAGGACCATGGCTGATCTTGTTGCTACTGATATCTATTCTGTGCTTGTTTGGGGGAAAATACTCACCTCATCTAATGGACACATTTTTCTGTTTGTTGATTTATGTGTGAAATTATATGTGATTCCTACTGAAATTACATTTGTCAAAATGAATAAATATATTTTTGTTTTTTGACGCACAAACCTAGAGCATGTGGTTGAAATACAAAACTTAATGGAAATATAGTTTAATAAACATGTTTTTTAAATGAATTTAAGGATAAATATGAAAAATATACACATGTAAAAGTATAAATATATGTTGTTTAATATTTAATTTTGGGTGGTTGGAACTAAATCCATGATCAGGTAAACAGGTACCTAACTCACAGCATTATCATTGATGTCACATCCAGTCTGAAACCTGTAAGTGACCTGTCTGCTGTGTCCATTAGTTGAGGTATTTCCAGATCCTACAACACAAAGACGTCCTGCAGATGCTTGTTGGAAACAAACTGTTGTGTTGAGCAGTGTTTCAGTACTACCTTTGCACTGCTGCAGTAAAAGGCTTTAGGAAAACCCTCAAACTCTCAGTTAACCAAAGATACTGCCTACCCTGTTTTCCCGCTGGTGGAGGGTCTGATCCTGAAGCCTTTTACAGCTTGTGCTGATGGTGGTTCTCATGTAAATGTTTCTTACCTGCAGCTGAGTGTGGCCATGATTTGTATATTTTTACAATTCTGAAGTATGACCTATCTGAAAGTGAAAAATAGGTACTTAGAAGGTTCCTTGTTTGATTCATCTGTACAAAATCAAGATTTATCTTGATGGCTAAAGAAGTTACTGTTTTGTGTTTTTGTTAGAAAACTGCAAAAAAAGAATAGGCTTGTAGCTGTGGGTGATATGATGCCCGACTATATTTTTCAGAACCAACAAAAAGTTTATACGTGCCCAATATTTCTTACACACTAATATTGTCATGCACAAGACTATGAATAAGAATTATGTTTTTCAGTTTCTAGTCATATGAAGAATTAATAGTGCACAATGCACATTTGTTTTGCAATAATGTTCTCATAACATTTATGGTGTCCCTTGCCGTGATTTTGCTGGAATATTACTAAATGCGACGTAAAACCAAACTCACTCACTCATAACATTTAGTTCACAGGGTAGGTCCCAAATCATCCTGATACGGTTATTTCATCAGGGCATAGAACCTGTTTTAGTCACTGTGTGGTATGTACATAGTATCAATGTACCCTGTATCTGATAATGCCAGGCCACGAGTCCTTGGTGCCAGAAATGGTACAACTTTGTGTCTTGTGCCTATGTTATTGACATTGTTAAATTTTAAGTGTTTTGGTGTAAATTCTTTATACAGTTCAATAATTTGTGCACTTATGCAAATTTCAAGATCTCCTTTTTCTCATCTCTCATGACCTTGTATAATATTCATAATATTTAATTGTTGATGATCTGGAGTTGTCACTGCTAGTGCTTCCTTTACCTGTGGAGTATCATTGTTTTGCTTTTAGAATTTCAGTACCATGTGTTTGTGTGTATTCCACTGATCATGTTGAAGTACTAATGGGTTTTTCTCAGTGTTTGGGTCATGGGTTTCTTGTCTAAGATGTTTAGTTGAAATAACACAAGTTTGTATTTTGTATCTGTGCATGTGCGAGAGTGAATAGGCAGTATCATTCATGAGTAGAACATGGTAGCAAGTGCGAGGATTTGTTTTATGCTGTACTTTCGTGGAAAGCCATCAAACATGGACTTCAAGGTTTAATATGCAGTCTGTTTTCAGTTTTGTGTTCACATGAAACAAGCCGACTCATGTGCAGACCAAGTAAAACTTTCTAAGTGGTTGGTGACATGCATCATTCAAATCAGTTGTTTCTTCTTTTGTGTTTGTTTTTTTTGTTTTTAGATATCAGTGATTTGTCGTTCAAATCAAAGGTAATGCGGATCATGTCCAAGAATTGCCTTTAAAATGTTTGAAAACATTTTCTTCTCATCTCAGATTTTCTTAACCCTGTTTTAATGATCACAATGGTCATTGACATGCATGCAGGGTTTTACAGTTTGCCAATGTAGAGAAAGGACTGAAGGATGCACAACATTATTGATTGACTATTACTTTGCTGAGTGTGCCACAAAAGGCGACAATGCTTGTCGTAAGAGGCGACTAACGGGATCGGGTGGTCAGGCTCGCTGACTTGGTTGACACATGTCATCGGTTCCCAATTGTGCAGATAGATGCTCATGCTGTTGATCACTGGATTGTCTGGTCCAGGCTCGATTATTTATAGACCGCCACCATATAGCTGGAATATTGCTGAGTGCGGCGTAAAACTAAACTCCCTCACTCACTCACTCCCTTTGCTGAGTGTTTGGTTGTTTCTTTCAGAGCTGTTACGTGCATCATTTCATTCACCAATCCACATGATCAATGATTCATTCTAGGCTCTAAAGAAATTATCAAAACATACAGTTCTCTACACCGTTACTTCACAGGACCCTCATATTGCCTGCAAGGACCCTTATAACTAATAATTTGGGGTCCCCGCGACCCCCGTGTTTGTGAATCAAGGTAAAAAACCCCTGCATGCATCCATACTTGGAAGGCTTTTAGACTAGGGCTGAGACGATACACTATGTCACAATAAGATATATATCGCGATATTTTACTTGCGATATGATACGTATCACAATACATACACCTTGAAAGAATGACACGGTATCAAGATTTAAAATGATTTATTTCAAGGTATTTGTGTTCAACAATAACACTATTGTAATAAAGAAACAAGTAACTCCATCATACTTGCGTATTTTACTCTAAATAAGAACTGAAACATGTTTAAGATAATACTGTTTTGAAAAAAAGTTGTGTATCCTTTTGTATCAGTACACCAGTCCACGATACGATAGCTGTATCAAACTTAAATGTATCACGCGATGCATCGTTGAATTGTCCCAGCCCTATTTTATAGACACCCTCTGGTTATTTGCCCTTATCTGCATTGTGAGGAAGAAAACCATCATTTTGGTTTTACCAAAGGTTTTGCCATTAGGACCTTTTGTGTATCATTCAATCTCATTAAAGTCAAATCTTACTGCTTGCTGCCACTGAGAGCTCGTTTTAATGAAATTGGTGCATCATGTTTAGTGACTGCTGAGATAGAAATAATATATTTTCTTTAAAAATGAATTCTCTCAGATAGGAATACATTTTCATCTCCTGCAGGTGAAAATACTTCTATGCATTTTAGCCATGTCAATGTGGTACAACCCTCCAAGACTGTCCAGACAGATGATCGCTAATACAGATATCCTTTAGTACATATAGTACACATATAGTATCCTGTTCATTATTTCTACACAAGCTATTCCTTCAGAAAATGTGTTCATCTATTGCCCCAGTGTTCATCATTGTGATTTGTCATTGTTAATATATGTGTCTTCCATGTCATCTAGTGTGCTCTTAAACCTTTTTTGCAATATAAGATATTCAGTACAACCAGAAATTATTGAGAATTTAAAGATTGTAATTTTTTATATATTTTTTCACTCATTACTCAAAGACAATTTAACAGTTAGTATTTTGTCAAGTCACCATGGGCAGCAATGCAGGCTTCATTGCGGTGGGGCATACTACTGATCAAAGAAGTTAGAAAGTCGTGGTCCATGCTGTCCCAATATCGGACGACCTCTTCTTTCATTTCAGCAATATTTGTCAGATTTTTCTTATTGGCACTTTCCTTCATAAGTCCCCAAACATTTTCTATTGGATCTAGGTCAGGGCTATAGCTTTGCCAATCTAATAATGTCATATTTTGGGTCCGAAACCAGGCCTGTGAATACTTTGAACGATGCTTTGGGTCATTGTCCTGCCGGAAAATCAAAAAAATTCCATAGAACATGTGAGCAGATGGAAGTAAATGTCCCTCAAGAATATCTGTGTACTGCTCACTGTGGCCTAGAAATCCATTTAAACATATTCTTAAAATTCTCAATAATTTCTAGTCATACGATATTTACCATCAAATAACATTTATTCATTTTGATTCAATTAGGAATTATGGAAGATTTCTGTGTGTATATTTTTCGTTGTTGTGATATCTACTTTTATTGGTTACCAGTTTTGGAGAGTTATCTTGCATGGGTATGTCATTAATTATTGTAAATCACATTGTTTTCATTCCTTATTTTGCTGTACAATTTCATTGATAATTACTAGAATGGGTACAGTTAATTATTAATTATTTTTGCTTTATGTCAATCTCAGATAAGATCTTTTACTCCAATATCATGCCTCTCAGGTTTGAGGAATGGCTGTAGGGTAGATGAGTGGCCAAAGTGTTCGCTGAGGACCCGGGGGTTCGATTCCCCACATAGGCACAATGTGCTCAGCCTATTTCAGGTGTACACCACCATGATATTGCTAGAATATTGCTAAAAACAGTGTACAAACTCACTGTGTGAAGATCTGAGAATATCTCCATAGATGGGCAGCTCATTTGATGAAAGTGAACTATGTCAGTCTAACATCTCATGATGTATGAGAAAGCATTTAGTCTATCATATCCCTCTTCTTGCCTCATTATGGAAGTGAATTGTAAAGTGAGGCGATTGTCCCTCATTCTTGTCTTGTTGATATTTTTCTCATCATCTCTGAGTGCCATGGTATCTGCATCCAAAAGGTGGCACAAGAAAGAATATTCCTGGAGTTAGTTGGTTTCCTTCTGTTGCTAAGATTTCTAGATCATGGGTCAAAAGAAGTAATGAATATGTTGTTTGGAGAAGCTGAGCTCTGATTGGCTGAGGGCGGGTGGGGTAGCCGAGTGGTTAAAGCGTCACACCAAAGACCTGGGTTCAATTCCCCAAATGGGTACAATGTGTGAAGCCCATTTCTGGTATCGCCTAATATTGCTGGAATATTGCTCTGATTGGCTGAATAACCCACACATCCTCCATTGAGATTGGATTGTCACTGAGGGTTCACCTGACCTTACGGAGATATTTCTTAGGGAGGTATTCTATTGCAGTGATTTGAGTTTGACATTAAGGTATGTTTGCAATTCAAAACCATTACATGTCAGGGTTATTTTTTTGTCTTTGTAATAAAGCCTTAAAATCTTGAGATTCCATAAACCAACCAAATCACCCTATATAATAGTGATTATGGATGTGTTGTTCTGTTTTTTGATAGACGTTTTGATACAGTAATATAAGTCTTACACAGACACAATGAATGTATGTGTTAGTTGTTTGTACACATTGCTGAACTGTCAGTATAGTGTAGCTGTTATGGATATAGACATTAACAGAGCCACAGATATCCCAGTCAATCAGGACAGCACCCTCACAGTGTTGAAATCACCTGTAATGTAAACTATTTATTCACCTCACAACAGTCATTATCACATATGCATCCAAATCTTAATTCCTTGTTTTAGCTTATGAACGGAAGATTTCAGATTCTGTAAGTTTTTGGTTACTAAAAGACCCAATGCCAAAGATTATTTATTTCATAAAAATCATAATCAGACATGCTGGTAATGATTTCTTATTTCGTTTGAAAAGTAGAAGTAGTAGTAGTCAAAATGATCCTCAACTTTGTGTCAGCCATGATAATCAATTTATTCGAAATTTATCACTGAATTGTGTGTCTAATATTCTGGCACAGTAATGAACAGTTCTCATGGAAATTCAATGCATTTATGCTAAGATCTGTGTGAAAAATCTCAACAAGTCGTCCAATGCTGCTTGAAGTAAGAGTTCCAGTTTTTGTGGCTAATTGTTTCAAGGAGAATAAGTTACTTTAAGACATGGACCTAGATTTTCGAAGCTCTCCTAGTGTAAAGATGGTCGTAAGTGCCATACATTAACATTAACTTATGAAGAGAGCTTCAACAATCTTGGCCATGGTTTTGAATTTTTGAGGATATTCTTGTCCATGAAAGTTAACTCTGGTTACACTTCTGGAGTGGTGGAGTACCCCAGCGGTTGGTGCCCTTGCCCATGACATGTAAGGTCTGAGTTTGTTTCTCTAGTGGGACAGTGTACACCCTTCTGTATCTGTAGTGCTATAAAGGGAGTTAACGGTAACATAGTTCACTCTGTTAATATTCAACTATTACGTACTTAACTTTCACATTGTTTACATGTGTAAATTATATTTTCCTACTGACCTAACAGTAATATTTTGTATCAACAAATGTGCATGCTTTATAGTTGGCAGTCCATGTGGTTTACTGCAAAGCATAATACTAGTCAGGTATTTTGACACTTAAGTTGTACATAACATAACACGTTCATTTCAGTATGACAGCTATAGATCATTTATGGCATTATTGTTTTAGCTTGTTATGTATAAAATTTTCATTGCATTTTATATGTTACCATGGTTACCAAAGCATCATCTCCAGCAAGCTTCCTTTTACATGTATCATCTGTAATCCTACAGGTATTGATGATGATGATGATGATGATGAATACATGGTTATTGAGCATGATCATTGAATTAAGTATATATAAATGTACAAATATATGGCAACACTATATTTTACTGTGTGGTCCGTGTAATGTTTATTAGTAAATGCTGTACAGTTCCGTTTCTCAAGTATTCTCATATAATATGATACATGTATGACTGAAGTGTTTAGATGCTAGGCAGTAATGTCTTTATTTATATGAAAATACAATGCTAAAGGTTTTTTGTGTTAAAATGTATATGTTATGTTGAAGATTTCTATTTTGTAAAGTCCAGAAAAATATTGACAGAGGGTTCTTTTTCTCCCAGATTATGTTTCCAGGTTTGTCAGGAGACTCAGGACCATATCCAATCATAGGTTCCCTGAAGTGGTGCTCGCCAGAGACCTTTATCTCTTCAGGCTTTCCTCCCAGTTAAGCTGCCTTCCTGAGAAACAACTGGAATACGTACTGTTCAAAGCAAATGTTAAAAGCATTTCACTTACTGACTGATACAAAAATGTCAAACAGCTTGTTTTCAGTCACAACATTGTGACTAAGGTGTGGCTAAGGGAGTGTGGGGTAGCCGAGTGGTTTAAG